GCGCTCGCGGGCGCTCGCGGGCGCTGGCGTGCGCTGGCGTGCGCTGGCGTGCGCTGGCGTGCGCTGGCGTGCGCTGGCGTGCGCTGGCGTGCGCTGGCGTGCGCTGCCTGGAGAACCATTTGGCTATATTTCCTGGGGTCGTTGGTCGTTTGGGCAAATGGCCGTGAAAAAAGGCTATGGCCGTGAAACTGCAGCAGCACGCTGAATGGCCGTGAAAAAGCGTGAAAAGGCCGTGAAAAACGCGTGAATGGCCGTGAAAAACAGGCCGAAACCGTGAAAAAACGTGAAGTGCAAGCAATGGCCGTGAAAAAAGGCAATGGCCGTGAAAACCGAATTTCATGGTCCTGAGCAGAATGGCCCCGTGAAAAGTGGTTAAATGGTTGTCCAGGTGGCGTGCGCTGGCGTGCGCTGGCGTGCGCTGGCGTGCGCTGGCGTGCGCTGGCGTGCGCTGGCGTGCGCTGGCGTGCGCTGGCGTGCGCTGGCGTGCGCTGGCGTGCGCTGGCGTGCGCTGGCGTGCGCTGGCGTGCGCTGGCAGTGCGCATGGCGTTGCGCTGGCGGTGCGCTGGCGTGCGCTGGCGTGGCCTGGCGTGCGCTGGGTGCGCTGGCGTGCGCTGGCGTGCGCTGGCGTGCGCTGGCGTGCGCTGGCGTGCGCTGGCGTGCGCTGGCGTGCGCTGGCGTGCGCTGGCGTGCGCTGGCGTGCGCTGGCGTGCGCTGGCGTGCGCTGGCGTGCGCTGGCGTGCGCTGGCGTGCGCTTGCGTGCGCTTGCGTGCGCTTGCGTGCGCTTGCGTGCGCTTGCGTGCGCTTGCGTGCGCTTGCGTGCGCTTGCGTGCGCTTGCGTGCGCTTGCGTGCGCTTGCGTGCGTGTGCGTGCGTGTGCGTGTGCGTGCGTGCGTGCGTGCGTGCGTGCGTGCGTGCGTGCGCTTGAGTGAGTGAGTGAGTGAGTGAGTGAGTGAGTGAGTGAGTGAGTGAGTGAGTGAGTGAGTGAGTGAGTGAGTGAGTGAGAGAGAGAGAGAGAGAGTGAGTGAGTGAGTGAGGTGAGTGAGTGAGTGAGTGAGTGAGTGAGTGAGTGAGTCTGCGTGAGTGTGCGTGAGTGCGCGTGAGTGTGCGTGAGTGTGTGTGTGTGTGTGTGTGGGTGCGTGCGTGCGTGCGTGCGTGCGTGCGTGCGTGCGGTCGTGCGTGCATGCGTGCGTGCGTGTTCTGTCTGCATGCGGTGTTGCCAGTGCTTCTATGTCCTCGTCTTGGCTGTCCAATTCCACGATCTGATGGTCCCTACCAAACATTACACACCCCAAGGGCTGTTTTTACCACGGCACACTTCTTGTCCCAAATCTGGGGTACGCAAAAGAACAACTTTGTGTTCAGTTTCTGGTCCACATTAAGTCTACCCTTAGGACCAACGTGGGCGTGTGTATTTCAGAGTTCTGTTTTTTAGGAGAAACTATTTGAAACTATTTATAAAAGTCCCAGAAACTATTTGAGACTATTTATAAGAATCCCAGACTGTTTGAGACTATTTATCTTTTTTTTTTAAAAAAAAAAGCCTAGAAACTGTTTGAGACCATTTATAGAAACACTGCAAGAAACTGTTTTGAGACTATTTGTAAAAAAGAAGCAGGCAACCGTTGGTGTATGTGCAAAAGTAAGGGCCTTCTTTGAGCAAGAAGGCAGACAAATGGACACTGTCTATAACCATGTTTTAGGCACTGGGCGCTTCTGGGCCTTTGGGTCCAAAAACAAATAGAACTTACCTCAACAAACGGAAACTAGTTGAAACTATTTCTTTAAATTTAGGAAACTATTTGAAACTATTTGTAAATTGCAGGAAACTATTCGAGACTATTCTTACAATTCCTGGGCAATACTTGAAACATTGTTGTTGTTGGTATTTGAAACTATTGATAAATGTTTAGTAAGCTCTCCGAAACTAGTTATAAACCGACGTCTGGAAGCTATCTGAAACCGATCATAAACAAATGAGTTAACTACTGAAATTTGGAGAAGCTATTCGGAGCCTGTTTCGAAGGTTGTGCGTTTATTCACATGTATCATTTGGTATTCCCACTGGTATTCCCAAACAGCAAGGGAATACTGAGTACAGCGACAGCAAGGAAGTAAATCGCCTTGAGCCGCCCAGTTCTGCAATTCTTTGCCTTGACAGTGTGAGCTCAAGCTGTTTCCGCAATGGGGGGTTGCAGAAGCTTAAGTGTCATGTCTGCGCTGGTTGTTAGCATTATTTCGGAAGCGGGTTGAGCGGCAAGGGGCCTTGCCCAATTGAACGATTTGCGAGGACGAGGTGGGCGCAGACGGTTCGTCAGCATTGAACTAACCATTCTACACGGCACAGCTGCCACACATTGTAGTTTGTGTGTGTTGCTGGTGCAGTGGCAAGTCGAAAAAACGAAGAAGATCGCAAACCCACTGAGCTGTTGTCTTCTGAAGGATGTGCAGCTGAGCACATCGCGATGCGGCGTGCTGCGCGGCACGCAGAAAAAGCCTGTGGCAATTGTGTCAACCAGAAGCGGCAGGCGCTTGCAGTAAGCTTCAAGTTGGCGGCCCGCCGTGAACGCAATCGGCGGAAAGGAGGTTGTTTGGTGGCCGCGCGAGTAGGTGATGTCTCATCATGCAGGTTTCGCTGGGCGTTGCCGTCGGTGGCCGAACCTACGCCCAGCAACATCCTGACAGAGACGCTGCTTCCAAAACAAAGCCTCTGTACAGAATGTTGTAGATTTCGTTAACTGGCGTCAAGTGTGCAAGGTGATGTGATGCGCCCGAGAGCATGCTTTCTTTGACTTTTGGTTGCGCAGGTATCCAAATGGTGCTACGCAATGGTTATGGTACAAAAAAAAGGTTATGTTCTGCCTCTGGATTCGGATCCCGGCCAGGCGTCCAATTAGTTGGCCAATACAAAGGCCGTTTGTTTGCGAGTGATCTGGTTGCGGACTTGTAGCGTGACTGGATGCCCATCTAGGCAAACCTAACTGCAACATGATGGAACTAAGAGCCGCCGCCGTTGTTGCGGACTAACGTGTTGCGTGGCAACTTCCTCTACTTGTGCTTGCCCTAGCGTTGAATCACTGAGAGTTGGTCTTGCGCTGTTGGCAGTCTTCACGCAGCTCACAGAGCCCTAAGCCAAGCTGGGATGGGGAAAGGTCAGGAGGCGGGCCGCCAGCTTACTGCGAACGCCCCGGCGGCCCGCGGAGTCGCGCCGGCCACCCGTAGTCCGAAAGGCTATGCAGAGTGTTGAAAGCTGGCTGCACGCTGGCCCAACGTAAAAGCCGCGTTAACTTTGCCCTGGGCGGCCGGGGGAGTGGCTCGGGCGGACTGACGGTGTCAAGTGGGGTGTGAGGGGGACCGGTCGTGGACTGACGGGGACGGGCCGGGGACTGACGGGGACAGCCGTGGACTGACGGGTGTGTGGGCTCACGCAACACGTCACTTAAAAAAGAAGTGGAAACTATTTCTAAATTTTCTCGAAACTATTTGAGACTATTTATAAAATTTCGAGAAACTATTCGAAACCATTTCTAAATTTGCTGACTTTTTCAAAGACCGCAGATCTTTGGCTGGGGCCCAGAGACTTGGGTAGTAGCCTGGGTTGGCAGGGCGGCGATCATTCCCCGCAGGCCCGCCCTGCAGAACCCGCCTCATCCCCCCCCCCGGCCCGGCCAGCCCGCCCAAGCCCAAAAGCGGATTTGCCAAGCTGGCGAAGGAGGCGGGGCTCGGGCTCTCGAACTTGCGCTGCACCTAGTGGGTGAGTGCCCTGGCAACGCCCCAGGTTCTTCATGGCCGGGCGTGCTGCTTCAAAAAAGACACAAACCGCTGCGATCTGTTGCAACACTTCACTCCTGCTTTGAGAGTCGCCCCAAGCCTTTTCAAGCCATTGCCTGGTTTTTCCAGATCCTGTTTTAGAAATAGTCTCAAACCGTCCCGAACCGTTTCCCGCTATTTCTAGATCCTGTTTTAGAAATAGTCCCAAACCGTCCCGAACCGTTTCCCTCTATTTCTAGATCCTGTTTTAGAAATAGTCCTAAACCGTCCCAAACCGTTTTCCGCTACTTCTAAGTCTTGTTTTAGAAGTAGTCCCAGACCGTTTCAAACCGCTTCCCGCTATTTCTAAAACGATTTTAGAAATAGTTCCAAACCGTTCGAAACCGTTTCCCGCTATTTGTAAGCATTGCGCTGCCCAGAGCCACTTTTCGCTTCGCATAGTCTCAAATAGTTCCAAATAGTTTCAAATAGTTTTGCATAGTTTCCGGCTTCAGCATGCTTACAAATGGTCGCAAACCGTCCCAAACCGTTCCCCGCTATTTTTAAAATCTTTTCAGAAATAGTTCCAAACCGTCCCGAACCGTTTCTTGCTATTTCTAAACACATGTTTAGAAATAGTCCCAAACCGTTTCGAACCGCTTCCGGCTGTTTCTAGAATCCTTTTTAGAAATAGTCCGAAACCGTCCCGAACCGTTTCCCGCTATGTCTAAAACCTGTTCTAGAAATAGTCCCAAACCGTCCCGAACCGTTTCCCGCTATGTCTAAAACTTGTTTTAGTTTGAGATAGCCCCAGACCGTCCCTAACTGTTTCATGCTGTTACAAACTCCTGCTTTAGACAGCCCGTTTGGCGCCATGTCTAAAAGTGCCTTGGCGTTGTTGCCACCAGCGCCAACGCAGATTTCTCTATCAGCCAACATGTGGCTTGAACATGCTTTCCAACGGGTCAGGTTGTGTTGCGCAGCTGCTGTTGCAATTCTGGGCCTGCTTGTCTTGACCGGTGTGATGGGGTGAGCTTTCAGGCGCGTCGTGCTTTCGCTACGAATTGCAAGCAATGGTGTCAGGGGGCCAAGAATCAGCTGCGCCTCAGCCTTCTCTTGCAACTTCTGCGCGCCTTTGTTTGCGAAAGGATGAAGTTTCCTCGGAGTTAGAAACAGCCTCATTGCAGCTCCCTATGATTTGTTGTTGGGAGCCATCGCCGTTTTCTTTGATGTACGAATAGTCTCACGTAACTGCTTTTTTGATTCAAGAGTAGTCTCACATAGTTTCCCTTTAACTCATAAATAGTCTCACATAGCGTCCCTTTGATTTGTACGTAGTCTCACATAGTTTCCCTTTGATTTATATGCGGTGTCACATAGATTCTCCTTGACTTAAAAATAGCCTCTTGTAGTTTCCAACTAGTCTCCTGTATTTTCCTTTGATTTAAAAATAGTCTTGTGTAGTTTCCCTTTGATCTGTAAGTACTCTCACAAAGCTTCTTTGTTATTTATAAATAGTCCTACATAGCTTCTCCTTGACTCATAAATAATATCATAGCTTCTCTTTCATGTAGAAATAGTCTCAAACAGTTTGTCTTTTATTTTTAAATCGTCTCACGTAGTTTGTCTTTTATTTACACAGAGTCTCAGATAGCTTCTCGATCATTTATAAATAGTCTCAAATAGCTTCTTAATTATTTATAAACAGTCTCAAATAGTCCCTGCCCTTGCCCCCTTGCCAACAGATAAACAGGCCGACGTTAGTCCCAAGTCTACCCCAAACATAAAACAACAAACATGGAGGAGACCCCAAATCGTGTCCATGCCTGGTGACAGTACAAACCCCAACTGGTGTTTTGACAATGACCATGAGACATTTGTTCACCCGCATTTTCTGTCAGCGCACATCCACGCCTGCATTTGGACCATCTCTAGCAACAGCATCGCTCGTCGCCTCGGCGTGTCAAAGCCACGGCGCGAGGCGCCAAACTCAGAAAAGACAACTGATTTAGGGGTGTAAAGGGCCCCTAAAAAAGAGCCCCTAAAGGGAACCCCTTAGATAAAAAAGGGCCCCGAAAAAGCTGCACACAAGGGTGAAGGTATATTTATTGGCACAGTTCCCTTCACGTGGTGGGTTGTCTCAAACATGTAGCCCCTTTCCCTTTTAACAAGGATTGCAAAAAGGGGCCATAATTTTGAGAACCCTCCAGGTGGCTAGGGGGCATTGTGCCCCTTTCGCCCTGAATGGTGTCCTGGGCCTTTTTTAGGCCCTTGAGTCCGCTGCCCTGAACAAGCAAAACGGACCTGAATACCAATAATAATAATACCTTGCGGGTTGGTTATTCAAGGGGAATGGAAACTACCTCAGCTTTTGCTCCGCACTGAAAACCATAGTTCTAGAGGTCCAAATTCATGAAACCGTGACAAAAGAGATGCCAAACAATCGTCTGCCTCTGAAATCCACAAAACTCAAATCCATCATTCCATTTCAGGATGGGTATCAATCAAGCACCGCATAATATCGAGTCCCTCAAGGATTTTTGCCCGGCTGGCCCTTATTGTAGGTGCAAGTCCCACAGCAGCACCACATTCGTTTGCAGCCACTACAGCGCTCAACACAGAGAGAACGCGCTGGTACAACAAAACTTGGGCAAACGAACAAGCGTGGATACGGAGGGAGCGAAAATATGGGGGGATTCCCTTGGCGCCAATTCCCATATATCAAACTTAGTCAAGGTGCATGTAGGGGGAATCCTCCCGTATCCCTGATTCCCCCTGTATCCCTGCTAGTTGGTTTCCCTGAAAAGCGACGACGATAAGGATGATTAACAACGCCACCAGCAACAATAACCACGTTGCCACAACGCCGCACTCTATCTGTGCATTGCAAGAGGAATATGGGGAGATGAAGTTAGAGCAACCGTAACTCAGACTTGCTGGTGCTCAGTGGGGAATGCTCTTCCGAGTGTTGCTCATAGGAAACCACGAGGCATTGTTCATAGGAGTCAATCAAACTCATTCGGGTGTGTCTCAAAATAGAGGACCCCTCTATTTGGTTTGTTTCAAAGGGAAACTAGAGGAAGACGGACATTTGGCGGGGCCACCCATTTTGAGACACACCCATTGCCTGCCAATCGAACCAGCAAGCTCGCTTCCCGATGAAAGGGAGCCCCAGCGGCCCCAGCGAGCCCGAGGCCAAAACCTCTGATCTGTGCAACTTCCAGTCGAGCCCAGATCTGGAATTTTCAAGAACATCGTGGCCGGGCTCGTTTTGGGGTGGTGTTCGCTTTGAACACCTACCCCGACCGTCATGTTTGGGTTTCCCCCATGTCTGTAGCCTCGAGAGGTGAGAGACTTCGCCTAAAAAAAAGTTGGCTTGTGCAGGTAAGGGAATCACTTGGTTGACGTTGGAAGGGGAGCAAACATATAAATTTTAGCAGTTAAGTCTCAGTTAAGTGCTTGGATTTCCCCCTAAACCACAATAAGCAAAATGTAAAATCTTTCTCAACAGCAACCATGAACACACACACACACACACCCATCCACCCCCCGCCCCCCGTTCATTGAGGGGTATCATGGAGGCCTCAATTTCCATGGGAAACCCAACCAAAAACCTGAAAAGGAAAGCTGAAAGCAACGCCCAAAAGAAGCGAAAAGGGAAAAGGCGAAAGTCTCCAAAGGACTCCTGGAGACCAGTGCGCTCTGGGGCGCCTGCATGTCTCTGCCAGACTTCTCCGCGATCTGCCGATATACGTGCCATGAGTCAAAACCACACAGACATACACAAAAACACAGAAACACAAACACAAAAACACAACAACTCAAAAACACAAAACAAAAAACACAGCAAACAACACCAACAACATAAAAACACGAAACCACATACGCACAAAAAACAAAAAAACAAAAACAAACCAAAAAACAACCAAGAAGATGAACACGAACACGAAGACGAACACGAACACGAACACAAACACAAACACGAACACGAAGACGAACACGAACACGAACACAAACACAAACACAAACACGAACACAAACACAAACACAAACACAAACACAAACACAAAACACAAACACAAACACAAACACAAACACAAACACAAACACACACACACACAGACACACACACACAAACACACACAAACACACAAACACAAACACACACACACACAACCACAAACACACACAAACACACACAAACACACACAAACACACAAACACAAACACAAACACACACACAAACAAACACACACACACACATACACACACACACACACAAACACACAAACACGAACACGAACACGAACACGAACACAAACACAAACACAAACACAAACACACACACAAACACAAACACAAACACACACACACACACAGACACACACGCACAAACACACACACAAACACACACACACACAAACACACACACACACACACACACACACACAAACACGAACACGAACACGAACACAAACACGAACACGAACACGAACACGAACACAAACACAAGCACAAACACAAACACACCCAAACACACACACACACCACACGCACACAACCACACACACACACAAGCACACCAACACGCACACACACACACAAGCACAAATTCACACACACAAACACAACACACACACACACAAGCACAAATTCACACACACAAACACAACACACACACACACAAGCACAAATTCAACACAGACACACAGACACACAGACCCACACACACACAGACACACACACACACACAGACACACGCACAGAGCCACACAGCCACACAAACCCAAACACACAGGCGCACAAATACACAAACACACACGACACCAAAATGCGAAGCTGAAAAATGCAGAGTCCAAGTGTTCCCAACAGAAACAACAATAAACCTGTTGCTGCCAAGGTCCTCTTGCAGAGTTCCATCACGCAAGTTGGTACAAAAGGGCGTTCCCGTTTCTCCACATTTGTCTGTCCAAGATCTTCCATCTCCGAAAGTCTAGTCGAAATTACCTCAACTGCTGTACAAACGGGACCTTCGTAGGCTCATGTAGGCTCTTTTTTCCCCATCGGTCAACCAACTTGCTCCCAAGAACCTCCCACCATCCGCAATACCTGAAATCAGGCCTGAAATGCGTGGGTTTCCAAGTCAAGGACTGTCATACCGTTCGCTCCCCCCAAACCCCCCGCCCAGAATCGGCGAGCTCGAAACCGAACAAGGCGCTGCAATCGTCGCGCGATCGGCACCTTGGAAGCCAACTCCGGCGCAAGCTTCACTCCTTCCGCCGTGGCCACCTGGCAATTCCAGACCGAAGCACGACCGAAGCAGCCCCTTGCCGCTCCTAGCATGTGGTCAAGTGGTTTGCGAGCGCGCAGGTGGGGAAGCACGTGTCGGGGGGAGGGCTCTGGGCGTCAGCATTCCCAATTTTGTGTGTTGCTTGTACCCCGCTGGGTCCCTCAACTGCCCCAACCATGTCACCCTATATGCAAGGCTCCCTTGTCTGCCGTCTTTTCTGCCAAAGCAACCCGGAAAAAAAGGATAACAATGCACTCCACTCCCCCAACCAAAAATGAAACAACGACTACAGCCACCCCGCTCCCCCCTAAAAAAAGTGACACTTACACTCCCTCAGACTAACATGGAAGCTCTTAGAAGGTTTCTCTAAGTGGAAACAAATGAAACAAAGGGGTCCTGGGAGCTTCCATGTTAGTCTGGGGGAGCGCAGCAACAAAAAAGTGAAATCCGCCCCCAGCCCCTCGCCCGCTGTTTCAGGCACCGGCGGCCAAGAACTGCTCTGAGCGCAGCTCTCTGGCCGAAAGTTCCTCGAAGCGCCGCGAATTGCCTCGACGTAGGCGACTTGAGGGCCACATCTGCGGAAATATTAAGCATTGCCTCATCCACGTAGCCCAGGGCGCGGTGGACAGTGTCGGCCGCTGAGTCCGTCTGCGGCTCTTGCTTCAACTGACTCGTCGCTGCTCGTGTCTGAAACTCACCAAGGTTCTTGGTGGCTTCCCTCCCTTTTTGCGCAGCCCCACCAAAAATGGTCTGAGCCCGGCTAAAAAGGAATTGCACACCCTCCTGCTAAGCAATCAGGGTGTTCTACTCACGTCCAGGATGGTTCCCTGTATTTTCCTAGTTTCGACAACCCAGGAAGAACTTGGTTGACACCCCGCTCCCTGGCCAAATGGGGGTAGTCGGGAAGTCCTTCCGAAAACTAAGGCAACAATACTCATTTTGATTTGAAGTCTGTGGTTGAAATAGGGTTAAAATAAGCCGACCAATGTGAGGCTGAAATAGGGTGAAGCAATGAGAACTGAGCTTAATTAAATATTATGGCCATATTTCGGCTGAAGTCATGCTCAGTGAAGCGTCACCGTCTAGCGCGTTGCCCCCCTTTCCTTATTTAGGGCATATTTCTTAGGCACAAATAAGCCAAGGCCCGGCGAGCGGTGCCCTTGATTCTACAAAGGCCGAGATAGGCCTACTGAAGCCCCCAGAATCAGGGTCATTTAAGTTGCTCAAGACCTCTGGGTTGATGTCTACTTGGGTACTACCAAAACATGCCTCTGTCAAGGAAACCAACGCGACGGTGCAGCAGGCAGGTTCCCTGAAGGAAGTATTTCTCAAGCAGAGTGAAAAAGGCGCGAAGCACAGTTTCAGGAGCATACCCAGCCCGCGAACCCATTTTTTCAGGTTCTTGTGCGGGCCCCGGCCCATGTCCTTCTTGCTCTGTCCCCTATGTTAAGGCGTGCAAGGTACAGTACCCTCCAAACAAAACACCCGGAAATAAAGGCTACGCTTTGGGACTTTTACTAAAAATGGGAACGGGACCAAAAGGGTTCGAAGGTTGGACATGGAAACGGCCTTCAATTTTGCCCTTTACCCCGTGGCTTCACGGAAGCTCACCTGGGCCCACAAGGGTATATGTTTGAAGCCTTGAGAACATCTCCTAGGTCATCCAGCTTTGAGAGGTTAGAATAAGGGTACCCGATTTTTCTGTAGTCTATTGTAGGAGAACCCTCCCAACCAAAAAAGGGGTGAGAAAGGGCACTGGGGGACCTAGTCTCGGGCATCCTGAACCTCAAAGTGGACCCGTTTGAGGGCAATGGGACCTACAAGTTTCAAGGAAGCTCACCATCTGTGCACTAAAAGGGTTTATGGAGGTCCCTGAGGGTTCAATGATGGTTTTTAGGGTACGTACCCAAAACCTCAGATGCCCAGATCATCTTTAACCTTGACTATTGTCAAAAGGTCGATTCGCTTTGAACTGAGTATTTGGGATTGAGCTTTTTAGTACTAGGACCCTGCAATCAGTGGGTTCCAACTCTTCAAATTCCATCGGTTTTCGGAAACATTCACTTTTTGAGTGGATGAGCAAAAAGAGATATGTTTTGTTTAAGCACTAAAATTGGTCTAACAAAAAAGTCTGAAGTTTTTCATTTACCACTAACATGGTCTTCCCAAAAAGCTTAAACTCCAGGAACTCGGGAAGTCAGAACATCGGCTCATCTCTCGGTGGCCTTTGCCAGCACAGAAATCACCTCCTCGAAAGTCGGAGCACCTATCGAGCTCGGTGTGGAAGCCATGCGGATTTTCTGGGCCCTCGGTTTTCATTTTTTTTTTTTGGGGGGGGGGTTCAGTTACCACCATTAAAACAATGGCTGGGCTCATATTTTACCACCACTGTGTGCCGTTCAGGATTGTCATCATCCAAATTGGGTCAACCTGTGATTGAATGTAATGGGAGTTAAACTCCAGGGTCAGTTCCGCGCAAGTCCAACCAGTAGTGTGTTCCCCATAGACGGTTGCTTGTTTGTTGTCGTGCGTGGTGTGGTGTGTGGTGTGTGGTGTGTGACTGTGTGTGTGTGTGTGTGCGTGTGCGTGTCACTGTCACTCGAAACTACGAGCATGTCCAGTCGGTTGGTTTCCTACCAGCCAATCCAAGACAAACTCCTAATTTTTGTGTGAGACCCCCCCCCCCCAAACACGTATTTATTTTTGTGCACCTCTCAATGATTGGTTTACTTCGGTTTCCCTGTAAGCCAAAGCAGCCAGGGTCTAGTGCAGGAAACCGCATGTGCCTGTGGGAATCCGAAGTCTACGGCTCCCCAAGTGTACAGGCCAGGCACCGCCGCTAATCTTCGCCCCGAAACGTTTCCACATATTATTTAGACAAGGTCGAAGAGATGCGAACATGGCATCTCCAATAAAAGAGGTGCGAATAATTATTTGACCGAACAGGAAGTGGCGATTTGTTTGGCCCAGACGCCATTACAGCTTTTGCGAACGACAAATGCCATGTTTAGATTGTGGTCCATATGTGCGAACCTTTAAGGGCAAAAATGCAAACATACAGTATGTGATGCCTAGACGTGCTGCCATGCAGAAGCCATCTTTCTCGGTTGTTTTGCCCACGGCAGAAGTCGATATTTATTGATTTTTTATTTTACTTTTTGTTTAACACATATGTTGTTTTGGTGAGTGTGCCCTTTGATTTCCTTTACCACAGTAAAATGATGGTGAATGCGGACCGTTGATCATATAAACCCATTCATGCGACGGGATCACGTTGGAATATTACAAATAGCGTTCAAAGGACTCTCTCAGAATTCGGACCCTTGACTTACTCCTTCCGTGCATCTCATGAGTGCCTTTTCAGCACGTCTGCCAAAAACGGGCGTGCAGAAAGGACAAAGCGCCCAGCACCAGATTGAACCATGGTATGCCCAAACTACCATGTCCCCCTTGAAAAGCACACCCGGATACCCCCAGCTCCTTGGCTCGGCTCCCTTCCAACCACAAGCTCGCAAACCCATGCATGAAGAATCAGGAGAATCAAGGGATGGGGCCCTGCGTTTGTTTTTCCCCCTTTTTTTCCGGGCTTTGATGGGTTACTTCTTACGCAGCGATGGATTCCCCGGCCTACTCGGATCGGCAAACATCTGCTCCTTGACATGGGCCGCATTATCTCCGCTGTTTCTATTCTCCCTCTCCCTCCCTCTCCCTCCCTCTATTTGTGTCTCTCTCTCGCTCTCTCTCGCTCTCTCTTTCTCTCGCTCTCTCTCTCTGTCTATTTCCCATGCGCTATCAAGGCCAGACAATGCATGCCATCCCCACCCCTTCCAAACCACTGAGTTGTTCCTTCACAAACACACATATGTTCCCGTGAAGAACCGAGCAAACCATTGGAAGTCTTAACAAAAGGGCCCCTCAATTGATGTGGCCCCCCTCCCTATATTTGTATAGATTGAGGATGGGAATTCGAATGTGTGCAGACTTGCTTGGCACTTGTTTCAAGGATGGGAACATGGGGTCTCCTAGCATGGGTGTGCCCGTTGTACGGGACCCTCAAAATGGCATCGGTTTTCTTTTGGTTCTCCTTTCAAACCACAAAAGAAAAGGGGTACCCTCAAAAAAAAACGCTTTCACTTGCAGCCATCCATGAACACACAACACCTTCGCGACTCCTTCTCTTCGGCCTAGGTCACATCATCACTGGAAAAGGACATGACTCGCGAATACTCAGTTCTGCTGCCGGCTTTTTCGAGCACTCAACTCCCCCGTTTGACAGAGCTTTCCAGGGAAACCGAAACAACGAGGGGAACCGCCGGTTTCCCACAGAGCGGCAGAAAGAAAAGAGGTGATCCAGTCCGACAAGGTCGAAACTTGCGGGTGCAAAAGGCAGAACATGAGGGAATGACCCTCGTAAACTCTTTTGTGCGGTTTCCTTGACACAACTGATGAAAGAAGTACCTGCTGTGGATGGACATCCTGCATAAGTTAGGATGCGAATCCATTTCGAACCGTTCACAAACTCTGGAATGGTCTGATTCCCCCTGTAAATACCAACGAGCCAACGAGCAATCCCATGGCTTCATTTGGCCATGGGTCAATATCCCGTACCCCCAGTGAACATCCCAATCCCTACTAAAATAGGCTCTAAACTGGGTGGTGAATTCACCTACCCAAAATGGGATCCCAAAACGATTTTGACAACCACTGCCATTTCATGGTGCGAACGGATTTTGGTCCATCGACGTGAGGCATCCATCGCATCGGTCGCCAACGTCCTCAGGGGAGGGATGATCTTCGACGCGCTGTCCGCCAGCAGCACGATCCGGCAGGTCTCAGTTTTGGAAAAAAACGGGAAAAAACACACGACCGAGCCACGTCGCTTGGGTATGGGTCAAAATGAAATCGCCGGAAAACCGCAGGTTTTAGAACCCATGTTTCCATTTGTATACTAGAAATCGATTTCAGAACCTATTTTTGACCCACAGCCACTTGCCCATCTTGCCCTAAAACCACCGTTGAGCGCACGAAACGCACCCATTGACGGTTGGTTCCTGCCAACATGAGTGTATGTCCCGTTTTTGAGGCAAAGGGGGCCCTTTTTCCTGTTGCTCAAACGGAACCCACCTACACACCAACCATTTTAGGGGCACTGTTGAGTAATCAAAACTGATCGGCACTAAAATGGTCTACCCACCAGGAAAAAGACTTAGAAAACTTTTGCGGTTGGGATTATCCCTAAACCGTCATCTACCCGGGTTTTGATTGTGGCATTCGAGAAACGCCAACACGGTTGTGAAGGCTAGCCCAGAAGCCTATGAAGCCGAGTCGGTTCTATTGAAGGCAATGGACTCATGGAGGTGGGTCAATATGGATGTGTACGTGTTTTTAGTTGGTACCTTTTTGGGCTTGGTTTAAAGGGAAACCAGGAGGACACGGACCATGCGGGTGCCCTACTTTGAGACCAGCCCGTACACGGTTCGAACCGCTGACGATATTTGTATCTCTCTCGCTCTCGTGACACATTGCTGGCAGCAAACTCTAGTGAATGTGAGCGCATGTTTACCCCTTCCAGCCATTTGGAAAGGGGATGTCTGTTTCAAAGGAACGGCTGGCAGGCTGATCGGTGCATGGCCCTGTAAACCCATGACATGTTTTGTTGGTGGTTGTTCAACAGAAATCAGGTGCCAAACACTAAACAAGAACCATAAACCATTTTCAGGCACCCTTCCCCCTCCCAAAGAGCCCATCTAAATCGGTCTCTTATTTGGCCTCATCTGGTCTTCCTTGGCCAATGAGAAAGCTTGTTGATGCCTTATAAGTGCAGGGGTCCTTTGGGGAAGGGTCGTGGTAGGGTCCCATCATATAATGAATGGCAGGGCTGGATACTTGCGCATCCTGATTGTCCTGTCATGACGTAAGTTGGTTCGATAGTACCTCACGATCCCGGAATCATGATATTGGCCAGGCCCGTGGATGAAAACACACGACAAACCAAAAAACACCCTTGCAGCAGCTTTCTCAAACTCACTCAATCTTCCTTGCAGCTTGAGCATGCTACCGCAATCTATCGCATGTGGCTGTGGGTCAAAACCCTGTACCCCCAGTGAACATCCCAGTCCCCACTAAAATAGACCAAAATGGGTGGTGCATCTACCCCAAAATGGTACCATTGGTGTTGACGCATGGCCATGCAGCAACTATGTCAACACGGAAATAAAGTCCAATGGGCAAGCGGACCACCGAGATTCGGCATCGACATGGTCCCAAAACCATGGCATGACAAGGGCGGCGCCATTTTAGAGCTGCACCTGTCCCCTTTCCCTAAAAATCAAACCACCATTAAGACAATAGGGGGTTCAGGGGTTCACAACCATCGTTTGCCGTTCAGGATTGTCATCCAACTTGGGTCCTTGCCTTTCTTTTCATGTCCGTTGAACCCTTGGGCTTTACTAACCTTCACTTGCCAAGGTGTTGATGCATCTCCCGCCTTCATGTAGCGCTCCATGGTCCTTCTCAGGGCCGCCTCAGCTGACGGATTCCACCCCTGCAAAAACTTAACGTTTTGCTAATTTTGCTGGTTGAAAGGGAAAATACAGGCAAGCAAAGGCACAAAGGCACAAAGACCAGACGGCAAGCTAAGTCTGCAAGAAAATCTACGGTTGTTGTCCTTCTCCATTATGCAACGACGAGCTAGGTTTCATGTTGGTGTCCTTTGAAACCCCACCCCAAAGGACTCCCCAAGTCAGGGATGATGGGGTTGCCCCTCATTGCCGATGTAGCAGCAAAGGTGGGCAAGTTGAAGGTGCAGCCGTCGGCGAACCACAGCAAATCGGAAGCTCGCCATGATCTCCAGAAGCTGAATTGAAAGGGGGGTGCATGGATCTGGCTAAGTTAGTATAATGTGCAAGCGGGCATAAGAGGCATAGAAAAGGACCTTGATCATGAGCTCATTTTACCCCCCAGCTCGCAAACCATCTACCCAAATGAATGGACATATTGGGGTGCTTGTTTTGGGGTACCCTTTTGGGGGTTGGGTTGAAGGGCCATTCTTGGGGGGCTTTCTTTGACCTCTGCCCTCACAAATGGCGCTCGAAGCAGCAAAACGTACCGTCCCATACCTCCCGCCTGAGCTTCGTTGGAGAGAGCGCCAGCCTCCTCAATGACCACTACCTGGTCCAGTTGCCCTCGATTCGCTTCATACGCACGACAAGTGTGTGTGTGTGTGTGTGTGTGTGTGTGGGTGGGTGCGTGCGTGCGTGCATGCGTGCATGCGTGCGTGCGTGGGTGCGTGGGTGGGTGGGTGGGTGGGTGGGTGGGTGGGTGGGTGGGTGGGTGGGTGGGTGGGTGGGTGCGTGCGTGTGGGTGTGCGTGTGGGTGTGCGTGTGGGTGTGCGTGTGGGTGCGTGTGTGGGTGCGTGTGGGTGCGTGTGGGTGCGTGTGGGTGCGTGCGTGCGGGTGGGGTGCGTGCGTGCGTGCGGAGGCGTGCGTGGGCGTGCGTGCGTGCGTGCGTGCGTGCGTGGGTGGGTGGGTGGGTGGGTGGGCGGGCGGGTGGGTGGGTGGGTGGTTGTGTGTTTGTGTGTGTGTGTGTGTTTGCTTTTGTGTTTTGGAGGGTACCCTGTTCAGCTTGGTTTAAATGGGTGTAAACGAGGGGGCCTGTAAAAACTATTAAAACCACCTGATTGTGGCTTCTTTAAGGAAAACCAAGGTGGCTTTCCCTTGATTTCCCGTTAAAACAACCTTTGATGGGTTCTACCACAAAACACACACACACACACCCACAACTGTCTACAACCTGATTCCCCATTCCGCTCAACAGTCATTCTTTTCGAGAACTGGCAGTTTCCCGCTGCTGTTTTGGTGGTTTGCTGCGAGAAAACTGGAGATCAGGCAGAACTCAGCCCTAGAATTTGCCACGCGATGCACTGCAAATTGCGTCTACTTCACACCCATTTCGCCCCCGCCTTGAATCCATGACCTCCCAGCGGAGGATGGGAAGCCACCTGTGGCAAAACAAACTGAGCCCGAGCAACTGCTTGCTGGTTGCAAGGGGAAAGCTCGAAAAAGTCTGACTTTCTTATACATACACCAAAATGGACTTCCCAAAAGTCTAAGAGCAGGAACTCAGCCAGTGAGCCAATGGTTGTCTCCAGCCGTGGACATGGGGCCGAGGATAGACGTCTTCCAATCCCTCGCTTGCCACAAACTTCCCAGCCGTTTCTTGGCCAGGACGGTTTCCCTAAAATTATGGCTGTCCTTTTTGAGTGGTTGTGTTGCTTAAAATAGAGGGCCTTAGATCATCTTACAGGGCCATCGATTTCCCAAAAGGGCGCCGATGTCTACTGCACTCTGCTGGATGTGCCAGAGTGTCCTGACAAGTTGCAATTGCATGCAAGTTGCAATATTGACATTTCCAGGTTCGCGCACTGACAGTTGACCTCTCGCACGGAAGACATTCAGCTCCTTGAGCATCTCAGAGCTGGGGGTTCCCCTGTTTTCAGCAAGGTATGCGAGGGACCGAGTGCCCAACACCTTTTGATGCTTTGATTCTATTGGATCTATAAACATAGAAAACACCACCAAAAGGAGTTTTGGACGCTGCTCAAAGGAGCGACCAAAATCCATTGACTTTGGTTCTACTAAGATGGCTATAACGGTTTATACAAGCTCAAATATGACCACAATTAGTAGAACCACCTACTAAAATGGCCAATAGGAGTCTTGGACACTGCTCAAATGAGCTATCCAAGTCTCCCGTGCGAGGCTCCTATCCAGCAGCGTTACAAACTTATCAGTTCCACCAAATACTGCATCTTAAAACCGAGATGGCTGCACAGGCATTTACAATACGTCACTATGATTCTAATCATGGCATGCTAACATCACCACATCGTCTCAAAATAGGGACATGGACTTCACAAATTGGGGTTTTCCGTTTTGATTCCCTTCAAACCCCATCCAAAAAGAAAAAGGGAACCGCTGGATCGGCTAAGTTGGGCCTAAGCCTACCCCAATCTCCAGGATACTCCTAGCAGTGGCCGTCCTGCGCCCGTTTTGTGTGTCAATGAGAAAAGGCAACAACTGTTGTAAAACACGCAGCGCACACGATGAACCAGCTCTTGTTGACAGGAAGCACCTCTTGTTGAAAGGAAGCTCAACAGCACTTGCAGGCCCGGACAGTTTCAAGGGACGGTCTCCTTTTGCTTTGAGTTCTGTTTGCTCACTTGCCCAAAGGGTCCATGACTAAAAATGGACCAAAACTGGAACACCAAAAGGTGAAAAAGGACGGCTTTGGGAAACTGAGTTCTGTTTGTTGCAACAAAAAACAGTTTGTAGCCTCTAGGCCGCAGAGAGAGCTTCACCCCACGCTGATTTCTGATTCGGAAAACTGCGGGAAGGAGCCAAGCCCTTTTTGGCCGGCCAAAGCGAGGTGTCAAAGGACGAAGCAGAACCGACTCCAAATGTTGGTCTCGCAACTTTGTCAGCTATTACTTTGTTTTGCCTTTGTAGTAGCCATCAACTGAGATATGGCGTGGTAACTTATATTCACCAGTGGTTTGCAGGCGACCCCAAAACTTGCAATGGGGACTGGGGGCCTGCCTCCTTGATGAGCTGCATCACGACCGCCCGGTCCTTTAGGCTGACGAAGGAAGCCCCCGTGTGATGGAGAGGTGTATGGGAGGGTACGGGTTGTAATGTTAACCCCGGATCTAAGTAGAACCCCTGGTTGATTTTGATCGGGGGGTGTCTCCTTTTAGTGGGGATTCAGACCACTTTTGGAGGGAACACCCCCCTAAGAATGGGACGGGTTTATTAATCCTGGGTCAACATTACTGGGGGTTTTTGGGACATGCAGGGTGAAAGTCTCAGTTCCTGGGTTGGAAAAACGAAGTCCAAACTCTTATTTGCCACTACAATGGTCTTCCCAAAACAGGGCTTCCTATATTTCCCCCGAAACAAAAACGGAAAAAAGCACAACGAGGGATACTCACCTTTCATGGGCCAAGAAGGTGATGCTTACAACCGCCAAGCAGAGAATTAGAGGGACCCCTGCAAAAAAGAGACTCAGCCCGGGAACTTCCAGGAACTGAGTCGGGCTTCCAACTTTGGGTTTCCGGACCCGTACGAGTCCCACCCCCGACCCTTCCCCGGGTTTTTGGGCGTCTCCTTTCGGCCCAGGTCAGCCGGAGTGACCTGCAGGTGGTGGTTGGAGGTCACAACCTGCACGAAGCCGAGACAGAGGTCCTACAACTTCCCAAGGCCGCGAGTTTCATCCACTATCGTGGAGTATTGTCCATCACTATGATACCCTGGAAGGAAGGGAATTGCTCGCACCCTGATCAGAATGTGAGCTCGCTGTGATTTATCCAGACCAATCATTATTTAGGATGCTTTGAACAACAAAATTGAGCGCCATGATAGCAACAGGTTCAAAGATGCCATGACCCGCTCTTGTGGCATGGTCAACAGGCTTTACTTGAGCTCGGTTTGGATGATCATGGACCTCTGAATTTGCACATGTTGCCAAACATGGCTGTGGGTGAAAAGTAGGTACCCCCCCAAAAAAAAAGGAACCCTGGTAGTGGAAACACGGACTAAAACCTGCGGTCCACAGGTTTAGTTTCGACCCCTACCCGCATGATGCGGAATGTATGCCGATGGCCCACGAGACCATGGCTTACATCCCCTAGTCTGTGGTCACCTCGTCAAGGGCATGGGGCAAAAGTGAGTTGCAACCACAAAACCAAAGAGTAGAAACCCAAACAGGGATCCTTACATTATACGCCTGAACATGGCCTTGTAAATGCCGGTTTCCATTTAGTTTGGTGGAAGCCTTAAATGGCTATGGGTCAAAACCCAAAACGTACCCCCAGTGAACATCCGATTCAATCCAACCACTAAAATAGGTTCCAAAATGGGTGGTGAATTCACCTACCCCAAAATGGTACCATTCGTTTTGACCCACAGCCAAATATGTCACATTTAATAAGGGCAGCCTGTCCAAGTTGCCATGGACCCCAGATGTTGTTTTAAAATGTTAAAAGAACCGAGAGGGTCAAATCTTGTCGAGATTCTACAGCCCCTTTTGAGCATTACCCCAACCGATCAAAGACACCCATTGCGGGTTTCTGGAACCTCCGCTTGGAGGTAAAAAGATGGCCCTTTGCGCTTATGAAAAACCGCTGTGTTGAAGGTTTGGCTTCAGCCTTCGCACGGGAACAAGTATCCGGCTATTATTTTGCTGGAAGGAGTCTCTAGGTATGCTGAAAAGGTGTTTCTTCGAGGATTCTTGAAGATGAGCTGCTTGCTGCGGCCCTTTCCCACATTTGGCCCTTGCCAAGCAGAAACGGCGCAATGGATGAACACGAACACGAGACCCGAAGCATGAAACCGAGCAACGTGCTCAATGCGTGGAGTACTCTTGTCCTTTTGGTGTCCCTGTAAAACCAACCAAAAGAGAGCAAGCCCTGATGAACTTTCACAGGCACCTGTGCCAATGTGGCCATGTGAGGCAAGGATGCGAAAGAAGGCAAGCAAGTTCGCAGGTCCGGACATATTTTGCCAATGGGATACTTCCCCAGTTGCCTTGAGAAGCCTCAGAAAATGAAAAAACATATAAGTGCATCAGGTGTAGCCCGAACTGCTTGCAATGCAAGCCCCGGATTGATCAACCTACTAAAAATATCGGGGGAGTTGCCCCCGCAAAAATAAAAAATAAGCATGCAAAGGACTGCTTTTCAAGCTTCTCCGGGGTTCCAATTAACCCTTTCTACTGGTGGGTTGGCCTTGCTCAGCCCAGATTGAGAAACGGGTGAAAACCGTGCCTGGATGTCGACCGTGTTCGAGGGTGTGTTGGGATTTGGCGCAACCGACTTCGTCTCAACCTGGATCCGAGATGGACTCACAAACGAGGCATGAGCGCATAGCATTGGTGAAGGAGGTTCTTTACGTGATCTAGGTCCCAGATGTCCACTAGGGGATCTGAAAAAGATGTAAACAGTCACCCATCCCCTTTTGGTTCTTGGCCAACGTTGGCATGACTGCACATGACACAAATGAGCACTTCAGCAAACTCAGGTTCACATCGTGCAAGCCTAGAATCAGCATCAGCAGCCGTGATCAGACGTAACTTGAATCTGGTGTCACGTCGAGGCATCAAGAAAACGGACTGAAGACTGCGTGTCCGTGTGACTTTCCAAAGGCTTTGTTCCTTTGCGAAATCCTGCAAAGGAAGCGGGCACAAGATGGGAGAGGTAGATTGTATAAATTACACAAGCGTCTCGCGTTTAAGCTTTATGTATCACTGCGTGGACAGGCGCAATCCTAAGAGTGAGGCTTGAACCGCCAGCATGTGGCTGGACGAATTCTGCAAAGGCTACTGCTGCTTATCTTAGTGCACTAACCCTTTGGTGCATTTTAGAAAGTGGGATTTAAAGGGGCTGGGGCGAGGCTGGTCAAGTCATGGTACGCACGGCTGCCATTTCCTCAATCGTTACCTTTCATTTCGTAAAACTTGCCAACTTACCACAGCGGCATCTCTGCAACACGGATTTCGCTTTGGCCGATATTTTGGCAACATACCTGAGCATCACGAGCTATGCTACAAATGGAACGTCTCTCTTGTGCTTTGTTTGAACATGAACAGCTTCTTTGGCATGTGAGCCACAAGAAACTCATGCCAATGCTCTGCGTTAAGTACCGTCATAAAATCAACATGGATTTGTGTCCTCATGAGTGTTTCAGTTTCTTAGGGGCTCAGCTTGCGTTCAAATTATCTTCATTGTGTCCACGTCTCCGGTGTGTTGGTCCTCCCAGCTTGAGTCTTCTTTGCACCAGCCAGCCAACCAAGCTCAAATTAACTGCGCGCATCAGGCGACTTGTTTGGACTTCAAGAGGCGACTCGCTTGCTTTAGAAAAGCCGAGTAGATGCAGACTGTGCGCTTTTCAGCCCATGCTTTGCGCTCACATGTGAGCCCAAACTTTAGAAGCTGAGCTCGCCATTTTTTTCGCATCGCGATCACCTCTTCGGCCAAATGCCATCGAAAGCCGAGATCTCCCAAATATCCAGCCGCTCAAGCCTTGACATATCCAACCTGCGGGGTCCCCAATCCCTCGCCGTATTCAGTTTGGGTGACCCCTGGATGGGCTGCCCAGAGATCTCACAACTCTTGGGGTTTGACAGTGCCTGGATTCAAGCGATCCATGACCCACCCGAGGATTCAATTGCTTTTTGGGAAGCCCTCAACTCCGCCGACCTCGACTCGGCTCCTTTTCTTGGGGGAGCGTGGCGTGCAATTTGATGGTGCTGGCTCTTGTGTGCGAGTGTGCACAAATGTGCGCGCCTGTGTGTCTCCGTCCGTTCGTCTGTCCGTCCGTCCGTCTTTCTGTCTCTCTCTCTCTCTCTATCTGTCTGTCTGTCTGTCTGTCTGTCTGACTGACTGTCTGTCTGTCTGTCTGTCTGCCCGCCTTTCGGTCTGCGTGCGAGCGGGTATGTGTGTGTGTGTGTGCGTGTTTGTGTGGGCGGGGGGTGGCAAGGCCGACTGTGCCGAAGCGTTTCAGTATGCCTGACACCTGAAATAAGGTATTCCCAAGCGGTTAAAGAGGAGTCCCCAGATATACAGGGGATTTCCCATCGGAAAGCTCGCCAAATCGGCAGATTTCTTGGCCCGCCTTCACCGTGTCTACGCTGGCACCAAAGATGTCCCTGAGCAAAGCTCGCACACCTCCGGACGCGGAAGGCCCGAAGTGGGATATGTTTTTCTGGGGGCACCTCCGAAATAGGTGGTGTGTTTTGTAGAGATTGCCAAAACTTATGCGGGGCTTTGACCTTTTTCTTGGTAGCTCCCAGCCATCCCCTCAGCTTTTTAGCTTTTTAGTGTTTCGTGGATGGGTTTCCATTTAACCTACTCACAGTTCCTCACTTTTGTTGAGGCAGTTTGCGGCTCCAGCATCTTGACTTTTATGGAAGGGAGATGAGGCCAGCAACATCAGTCAACTCGCAGCCTGTTCATAAGAGCAAAACCTGCCACCTCCCCAAAATCCGAGAAGGGTTCTTATTAGAGTCTTCTTGGCAGGAGTCTGTAGATGTTCTTGGAAGATTCTGAGAACCATTCTGGTGCGTAAGAGGGCGCTCACGACTAGCCCTACGACCCAAGGACCCAGTAGCTCAAGGAGAGATTCATCCGCTGAGTTCACTTGTTGCAATGTCTCCGGGACAGCACCTAGACCACTCTGCAATCCAAGCGTTTTTGAGGATACTTTTAAACTTGTCATGCTCTTTTTTGGAAGGCGCCTGTTTAAGCGTCGTTTGGAGAGAAGCCGGTGGATCACTCTGCATTTGCGCCAGGCCGCGTGTGGACTTGCCAGCGCCGCTCGGGCCGCACATGAGGATGTGCGGCATCTCCCTGACGAGTCGGGTCTGTGACTTTGAAAACGTTCCCGTAACATGGCCGTGGGTCAAAACCGGTTTGAGATCCCATTTTGGGAAAGGTGCACCACCCATTTTAGAACCTATTTTAGTGGGGATTGGGATGTTCACTGGGGGTACGATTTGGATTTGACCCATGGCCACATGGGCTGGTGCATGTTTGGCCTTCAGACGGCCGAATGGGTCTGTCTTTGTTCGAGGGTACCCCTTCTGGGATGGGTTCAAGGGAAACCAAAAGGAAAACCTGTCCCCTTCAAAAAAGACACGCCCAAATGAACATCTGCGCACTTCCATGTTAGTGACGAGGGAGGGTCTTGGTGCCTTGCGGGAACGCAAGAAATCCCGGGCTGAAGCTCGAAACGAGGGCAGTCAGGAAGCTTCAAAGCCACAACACAAACCACATAGAGGATCCCAAATACAGTACAAGGGCGCCAAAAAGTTACTTGAGATTGCCCCCCCTTGGGATGGCCAATTAAATCAAGCGGAAACCAATCATTGAGGCCCCTACTTTTGCACACAACCTTTGTCTAGGGCCCATCAAAAATTATGGTGATCACTTTCTCAGCACACCAACCCTGAAGACCAAGGGGGCCCTCCAAAAACGTTACTGGTATTATCTAAGGTCACAATGGATGGCGGACACTCTCCCCGCACCATGTTGACCCCGGATTAATAAACCTTTGAATGTGGAGGCGGGGGCCCCTCCAAACCACCACATTTAGAAACAGGGGCGAAGTGATATGGGGTCAACATTAAGCTGTCATCAAACTCTGCACTTCCACAATTCCCAGGCCATCTGCAATGAATTGCACAGCAACAGCGTTTTCCGAAGAACGAAAGGGCCTGCGAGTTTCCTTTCTTTGGCGTCCACGTTGCTTCGGGGGGTCTTGTTGCCACCAAAGGGGAAAAACGATCGACCCCCTTGTAGTAAAGCATTCCTTGTTGAGGGGGTTGCCAATTTTCTCACAAAAGGTGGCAAAAAGACCCCCTGCGTCCCTGCGTTGCTTTCCGGAAATGAATTCGAACGCAGCCGCAAAGGCGGGAGCCCGGCCCGCTGCGCGCGATGCGGTGGAGGCGCTCGGAGAGATCTTTGTGGTAGTCCAACTGGCGAAATCAAAATCCACCCGGGGGCCTGGTCTGGTGGAACCCGAAATCTTCCAGTTGCGTAGCTTCTCTCTAAGTTAGGTGGCTTGGATTGGTGGTTTGGTGGTCATAGGGGTGGTTTCCCAGTTGCCCTCTATAAGAATCCGTGGTTCAAATCCAAATCCAAACTACGAATTCAAACCAATCAAGTAAGGGTTCCCTGATTTGTTGAAGTCCCCTGAACAAACAACACACATATTTCCAGTAGTGATAGATTCTCTTGAAAACTCAACAGGGAAAAATCGCAAAGCATATCTTCTTAAGCAAATGAACGAAACATGACTACGTTGTCCACCTGGCGTGACCTGGTGCCCTGAGCCCCTTCCGAAAGTGGCCACCGAAAGCCAAGGGCCTCTATGGCTTCACTGTTTGTTGGACGGCGGAGGGAAACCCGGCACGTGAATCACAATCAAAACCTGGTATCAAACAAAATGACCCAGAAGCATGTAAAGAATTTAAAAGGCGGCAGCCCCCATTTATTTGTTTGGGACTGGGCCTTACTATCGTTCATCTACCCGAATCGACTTTGAGCAAGTGGCTCACGTATTCTTCATATTCCTTTGTATAAAAGAGGACGACGTGGGCCCTGATATGGTCACCTCCCTCCATCGCTGGCAAGCCAGGGACAGCCCCAAAAAACCACAGACCCTCCGCCAAGTGAGGCCATGGGTGTGAACCCAAACCAAACACCCCAGCAAAAGAGGTGGTATATGATTATGACTGTATTCAAGTATACTAAGTGTAGCCACAATTCAGCCGAACATAGCCAAGTACTCTTCGCCAACTATGACTGTAGTATAGTACTTATACGGTAGCCAATAAGCCTGCATTTGACTGCCCCGATTTTCCCTCGGGCAATTAGTTGCTGGGATGGCCTTTCCAGGGGGGACTGGGGAGGGATTCCATCCTCTTTGGGGGTTGCTGAGGGAAACCAGGGGCCACCTTGACCCATTTCGACGGATAGAACTTGGGCACGAGCAAACCCGCAAGAAGTGCATTTTTGCTACGGGAAATACAGGGAATAGAAGTAAGAAAAACGGGTAAGCTAAATCTGGCGGAACCTGGTGGATTCTGCCGGTGTTCAACCAAGCTTGGTTCCCTCTGCAAAGGTTGTTGACTTTTTGTGGGTCTAATGGAGAATCCAACCTGTTTCCCAAAAGTTAAAGTCCAAAGTTTGTTGCCCAAATAGCCACAAAGGATGTCTCTCACTCTAGGGGGGCTCACTTGATTTCCTCTCCAAAGTTTCAACCAAAAAGTTTCCAAGCCCAAAGTTCGTCACCAAATAGCCATAAAGCAAATCCCCCTCAAAACAGATCTGCATCACTGGGCCTTGCACTCAAACAGGTTCAAGGGTCCAAGTCCTTCTTGAGCTTTGCCGCGAACCGTTTTCGCTTCTCACAGCTGTCAACGTAGCCCCAAGAACTAGAACTCAGATGCCCAGCTTGGCGCTCGAACGAAAAGGTGAACCTTATGGAAGCTCAACATATGGACCAAAATTGGAGGTCAAAAGGCTGGGCTTTCCACTGAGAGAATGGGGTTGGGCATCTCAAGTTCAAAGTGACAAAGAAGAGTATGACTTATTACCTCCTATGCCGATGACAAAGTATGGCTTGTTACATACTGTTCATAGTTTTAGCATGCCTTTGGTTCTCTGCATGGTGAGGGGTTTTCAAGGGAGACTAAAACACATAGTGAGACATGCACAACCACATACCGGTTTGTCTCAAAATACGGGAACCTTTCCAGAAGAAAGACACATCCATACTGCCTGAGAGCCATAGCCAGGCGAACTACAGGTCATGGCCTCAGCGGTCCTTAATAACCGCTAGTCGCTAATAACTGCCAGCCGCAATGACTCCCCAACTTCGGCTTCAACGAGAAAGATTCTTCAAATCAGAGGAACTCTTTATGAATCGGCTTCCTTGTTAAAGGGACCTGAAATTAGCCAAACCTACCACTATCCATAGGTCAAAACCAGCACATCTCCTCTGCAAAACGCGGGGGGAGGTGAGGACCTCCATATCCCTTGAAGGTCTTGGGGCTACGCTTCCATGAACTGCGCAGGATGGCAACACCTGCGTCGCTTCCGTCCCGCACCTCGGTGAGCGTGTGCGGCCGGTGCTTGTCCACCCAAAGCATCGCCTGGCACGGAGGCACGGACGGACAAACGTGGCATCTCTCCCAAAGAAAAGCTTCTGACAAGCAAAAGGCAGCTGCAGAACACTTGGAAGATGAGTTCTCTCTTGAAGGGACTCCTGTCAGATGCTTCCATGGGCACATCTCTTTCGGCGCTTGAGTCAGAATCAAAACCTGGTACTAAAATGGTGCACCCGGGACCATGTAAAAAAACTATATATAACAAAGCGGCATTCCGCACCCATTTATGGTTGGGATTCTCCCCTAACTTTCATCTACCCGAATCGGTTTTGAGGAAGTGGATCTTGAGCAACGTCCACACGGTGACGGGCATATAGCCCAGATGCCCAAGAAACACAACAACGTTCTCAAGATTTAGCTCTGGGCTGTCCTCAGATCCCCGGCTAAAAGCTTTACTTTTCGCGGGTCACATGGAAATCCAACCGCTAAAAAGCTAAGGAAGCGGATGGCTGGGAACCGCCAAGTCAAACGGTCCAAACCCCAAAAGTGGCGTAAGTCCGAAACGCTCAAGGGAGGTCTTATAAAGCTTCCTTCTAAAGCTTCCTTCTAAAGGAGCCTTTATAAAGGAGCCTTTACAAAGTGTAGAACTTGTGAAACCCTCCATTTCCATGGTTTTGAGGGTTTTACATTTTCTACACTTGCTTCTACAGGCTCTTATAAAGGCTTCTTTATAAAAGGTCTTATAAAGCTTCCTTATAAAGCTTCCTTCTAAAGGAGCCTGTATAAAGGAGCCGTCAGCAAAAGAGAAAAGCTGGCGGTTTGACACCGGTGGGGACAAAAGCGAAAATGACTGTCATGCCTGAGTTCTCTTTAAGCTTCAAACCATCCCAAAAAACAGGTGGAGTATACTTCACATTTCACAGATCCCTAGTATTTTCCGACTAGCCTAAAACCATGAAATAAATATATTGTCATCCTGCTAGTCTAGAGCAAAGATGCGACCAAACGTTTTGACCCATGACGTGCTCAACACCCCAAATCCGCCCAAAAACAAAAACGGCGACAACAAAAAGAAGCCGGGCCCACCATGGCTACACCTGAGATGGGTCGATTTATCGGTGGCTTCGTAAAGGGGTGACTGGGTACGTAATAAGTGCCAGTAAGCCTGGTTACAACCCACTTAGGAGACTTAGAGCTATGGTAAGTAGGTTATAACCAGGCTTATTTACCACTTATTCAGCTAAAAATTGAACCATTTGAAAGGCTTGCTTAGGTTTGCTTCTCCTTTAAAGTTAACCAAAACAGGGCTTGGGAAATACTCATAGGATGGGGGAGGGAATAAATCTGGGAGGGGACTAAACCCCATATGACCAAGATAAACACATATCTATATACATATGTATATACATACGGGACCCTGGGTTGATCAATATTCCTGGCCCCCAACAGACCATGGGTAACTTTTCCCATTTAGTGGAACATATCAACAAATCAGTCCACCAATGGTCATCCAATGTAAAGGATCCTTTCATGAACCCCATATGACCCCTATAAAGATATATATATATATACTAGGGGCTCCAGTAGGGAGGTTAGAATAAGGGTACCAACTTGTTTCTGTGGTCTATTTGAGTAGGGAACCCTCCCCCCAAAAAGGGTAAATGGGCACTACTGGGGTATATATATATGTATATACAGATATATATATATATATATTATAAACCACACCCCAAAGGACACCTTGGAAGGATGGGCAAACGCCTAGAAACCTCGGCAGGTGAAAAGGGAAGAGGAAACCACCCAGTCGAAATCGTGGAGGTTCCTCAATTGAATTGGGGAAATAATTTGTTGCGTCCTTTTTGAGGGTACCCCCCTTTTTTTTGGGTTCAAAGGAAAACCAAAAAGAACACCACCCACTATGTGGGGTCCCCAGAAAAACACGAGCCATACGTGCCATGATCAAAACTCTTCTTGCGGGTCATGGCCGTAGTTCCTTAAAAACAACCCTTACAGATTAAATTGCAATCTCTGAATCCTGTGTACGGGTTCATGACTGACCCCAACCCCAAGTAAAGCGGCTGTTTTGCGGAATGGCATGGCATTCAGCCAAGGTGTCTTTTCAAGGTTCACCACCCTTCGAGTCATTGGCCAGTCGCTCACAAATGTCCAACCCAACAACCATTGTTTGACCATGGCTCGGGTTGTCTCTAAATGCTGTCTTTTGTGTCAGGTTTGTTTTAAAGGAAGCTTAAACCAAAAAATAATATCATTCTAAGGGTCCCCCTAAACAAAAACCTGCCCAAGTAAGGGTAACCCTTTGACGGATGGTGCAGACCCTTTCCCAAGGAACACCATCGATAATTCTACCAGGGGCCATGTCCGATGACCCCTTGACAAACACGGTATGCTCCAACGGCCCTGTCACAACGGAGAAAGAAAAAAACTCCGCCAGCACCGAGTCTCGACGACTGCTTTTTCAACAGTACCCAGGAAACAGTTCTTGGGGGGTGCTGGCGGAGGGAAAACCAAGAATCCCTTGAACCCAATTTGCTACCCTAATCGGTTTTGCTCATTTTTTGCCGTCAATTCTCGGTGGGTGGTGGAATACGAAACGCTTCGTGAGCCCTCAGATTTCTGGGTACACTTTGGGACCAAGGCAGCTTTGCGCAAATATTTGAACGGCCAATTTTATCTCGTAGGATTCAGTCCCCATCAAAGGAAAGGTTGACCCAAATCGGATGATGACAATTCTTAGGTAAACAATGGTGGCTATATGAACCCCCAGTGGTTTAATTGTGGTACCTGAAGCCCAGGGTATAGATTCCAAAGCAGATTGCTTGAAGGGAGAATGCAGACCCAAGCCAGAAGCTGGCCATTTCACCTTAGACCTTATCGCAGTCAGGGCCCCCCGCGAGAAGGTACTTCGACAATCCCTGATAAGCTGGACCAAAAACGGCGCCGGGTTCGGTGCCGGAGATGTGGAAGCGCGCCAGGACCGAAGGCACGGCAATGAAGCGATGAGATGGATGTCTTTTTGTGATTGCCCTTTTGATCTCCCGTTAAGACCAAGGGTTGGCACCCTCCAGAAAAGGCACACCCAGATTGCGTACTTGTTCACAATGCCGTGCACACGCAGAGTTGCAAACATATGCATTGGGTACGTGCCTCGCTGTACCCAATGCATTTGCCGAGGTGGCAATGGCCGAGCTGGCTTCAAGTTATTGTTCCCGAGACCTCTGCGTCCGTTCCCGGCCTGGCCCTCACACCGAGATGTTTTTACATTCAACTCACCAACCTGAAACAAGCGACACCCTTGAAATGCCTCTTCGCCTCTGTTGGCTTGATTCCAAAGAATTGAGAATCAAAGGGCACCCGCCCCATACCCCATATCAAACAAGCAACCAACAGGCTTTAAGACTTCAAAAAAACAGTCCCGACGCGTGCCCATTTGTTCATGCGCCATCTTCTGACTTTTCAGCTTGGCTGAGGGCTGCATGTTGCAGCCATGGCGAACAATTGCAAGTGGAGACGCATCTGAAGACTTCCTCGCCACGTTTTGCGAACAAAGGACTGCTCAGGTTGGGAAAAAGGGCGTGAGCCCATCCGCTGACCTGTCAACTGTCAAAGTGTCCTTTGATTCTTCATGTAGAAACAGATGCGGTTCAAAGATTGCTATGAGGAAGCTGTTTCTCTCATTTCCAGACGGTGAGACAGGCGCCAGGCGCATTCAACTGATAGGAGCTTTAGCACGTTCAACGTCGGGACCCGCACGCTTCAAGGAACCCGGGACCCGCATCGGTTTCTGACACTAAAACAGCTGATGTGCCAAAAGCTGAACAGACTGGCTGGTCGGGCCGAGCAAACGTCAACACATCCCGACCCGAACAATTCTCGTGTGATTCTCGCTAAGAAATAACCTGCAGGACGTTGGCGTACCCACCAAATGATTGTTTGCGAACGTTGGCTTCCTGTCAAACTCCCTGCAGGTGTCTTAGGTATCTGGGTCGTGTCCAGACTCGGACCATTCGCCGGTGCGTGATGGAATGGGCAACGTATGTCTCGAGTGGCGCATTCGTGGCGCAGCATCCGAGGTGCTGAGTCTTTGAATTTGTGGCTCATACCTGGCGCATTGCGTTCTGAAGCTTTCTTTGGCATCCTCAAAGCACTCAAACCATGCTACTCATCAAAGCACTCATTGAGGGGCACTCATGGTGCCATGCTACTTCCAATGCTCCTTTCAGCTTGGCCGAGTCAACGTGTTCAAGGCTCATATGACCACGCTGGCGTCAAGCAGCAGGAGGAATTGATTTCAAACCATTCTGCTTCGTCCGCCAGCCTTTCCTGGGAGTATATGTGTCAAAACTTAACCCCAAAGTTCCTTGCCCCCATTAAAAGAAAGGTTGACGCAATTTGAATGATGACAATCCTTAGGCAATGGTGGGTTGAATCCCAGGGTTAATGTTCTCATGGCATTACACATATTTTGCCAATCCGCTGAACGTGAAGAACATCACAGTGCAGAGGTACCACTTGAGGCCTATTTATCGTACATGATGTGTTTTCGGGGTGCAACACGACAAGCGGAAGAACAGCTGCAACGCACACTGAGACATGCATGCAAACACACACACACAACTGCCAGAAAGAAACAAAGAACAAGTCTTGAGACGCCAAAAAACACACGCACGCGCGCGCGCACACACACACACAAAGAGCATTCAGCACTGAAATGGATGCAATAAGGCCGGGCAAGTCAGCAAACTGTCTGTTCATTGCAGCCCATCGTCAAACGAACACGCGGAAGCAAACAAGCGGCATACTGAAACACGTACCAAGACTGAAAGGAACAAAATCAGTTGAACAGAAGCAAAGAGCTAATAGGCAAGTGAGGGTGAAGGAGCCAAAGCCGTGTGCGCAAAGAACAACAATCTGCAGTCACACGTTGAGGGTTGTGAAAACAAAAGGCAAACCACTTCTTTTGAAAGGGGGACCTTAGCAAAAATGGCCTGTTGTCCTTTTGGCTTCCCTTTAAAACCACCCAAAAGGGGGAACCCCGTATAAAAAACTTGTTCTATGGAGAGTTCCCGTTCCCCTCCAAAAGTGGCCTGATTCCCACTAAACCAAGGACACCCCCGAGACTGGGGTTCCCATCAAATCGACTCAAACAGCAGCGGTTCGTTTTTTTTCAAGGGAAACCACTAGGACAACAGGCCATTTGTTGCTAAGGACCGCTTTCCCATTTTGCTAAGGTCCCCTTTCCAATGAACAATATATATATATATATGTAACATATATATATATATATATATACACCAACAATAAGCGGTTTGCCGTTTGGAGTCTCGGGTTTCGCGTCTGAGGCTCAGGCGCTCAAGGCTCCTTTGCCTGGCGAGGTTCGAATGGGAGCGTCCATCTTTTTGGAGTTGGCCACCCCTTTTTGGAGATGGATTGAAAGGGAAAGGGATGAGACGAGTTTCTCTAGCCTGGAGGAAGAAAAAGACTTAAAGAAGAAGGGAAACGAAAAGGAAAACCCGGCATGGGGGTTGCCTAAAAAAGGACGCACCCAAGAAAGGATGAGTTCGAAAGCCCAGTTCTCTGTTTACCAGAAAGAGTCTTAACATGGCAATGGGTGACTCAAAAGGCTACACGTAAATAAAAACTAGGTTTCTCTTGCTTTCCATGGGACCTGGAATGATCTGTCGTGACAAAGGGGTGTAAGTCAGGTGATGCCTGGCCTTGCAGCAACCCCCCTCATATAGGTGAGCAATGATGAAAACGCGCCCCTGCGTGCCCGCTCAATAGTGAGCCAACATGTGGACAGGCTGCAATCAGCCACCTGCCTCCAAACAAGAAACGAGCTGCTTTGGGGTTGCGCTCCTCACACACACGACAATCCACAGTGCAAAGGAACAACTCGCGCGGAAAATAACCAAGACATGCGCCAACAGACGACCTTCCTCTCTACCCTGGGGTTTCAAACTACCATGAAATTCAATGGGGGTTCATATAACAACCATGGCGTACCTAAGGATTGTCATCCACATTGGATCCACCATTCTTTCAGAGAATTTCAGAGCAAGGAATCCTGGGGCCCATGTATTCCGAGAGCAGCTCCTGCTCTCTTTCAGGCTACTTCGAAGAGCATGCCCCCGATCGCCCCACCTTTGCGGAGTCCAAATACTTCACCAGGTCCAGCAAAAACTGCCCCGCCTGACGGCATCGGCTGGCTGGCGGTTTGGCTTTTGGTGCGGCAGAAAAATTATGCGACCTGATATGCTTCCTGAACATAGACTGCTGATTGCTTCACTGGCCTTGCTGGTGCAAAAGGCAGGAAATGAGGGAATTACCCTTAAACAAAAACCATCCCTTGTAGTTTCGTTAAGCGGACCAAAGCCTGGGTTCATGCAACCACATTCCCGCAGCACACGCAAGTGTCATTTGCTCGGCTTCCGATCTGTCCCAACATGCGCGGTGAAGCACCCAAAGGAATTGACTCGATGGCAACGCTTTCGGTGAATCTTCCAGGGTCCAACTTGGTGCCTTGCAGGAATTTCCCCCTATGTTTGGCCTCCCGAATACCTCAAGAAGGTACTTGGACGCCCGAAGCAATGGCATGTTTGCTTTCTGCGGTAGATGGCCTCAACACGTTGTACAATAGGGAACACACGCGTGGTTGCCTCAGTGGAATTTGACACAAGACCCTGACAGCCTTGTAGAATCAAGCAAAACACAAAGCAAAACACAATCAACTCCACCCAGAACAAGCCACAAGCAAAGCCCTTCTGCAATACTTAATAGATGTAGCTCTTTTGCCTCCCCTCTTCAGACGGTCCAAAACAGGGCGAGGGCAAACCTTCGACACACACACACACACCCATACACATACACATATGATTAACAGTTCTAAACGGAATAAGTTTGGGTTATGCCTGTCCTTTTCTGGAAGGAAACCCGACTTTGCTTGGTTTTTAGGTTGGAAACCAAAGCGACCCCGCTTTCATCATTGGTGGGTTCCCCCATTCTCGAGACAAATCCATGTGGCAAAAGGCGCTTTCTGCGGGCCATAGCCATGCTGGCAAAAAAAACTGCTATGTGTGCTCGCCGTTTTCAGATCCCCTGCTAAAAGTGACTAACTTGTGGGTTAAATGGGAAACTCAACTACTAAACCAACTAAAAAGCTAATTATAAAGCAAAGGGGATGGCTGAGAGCCACCAAGGAATGGGGTTGTTGGGACTGAACAAAAAAAACATCTTGGCCCCAGAACGCAACATGCGAGCCAGTTGTCTCTTGGGAGCCCTTATGAGAAGGAGGTGTCCCTTGCTGTCTTTTAAACAAATCAAACCTAAGACACAAATGGGTCAAAATCCAATACCCGCGGTGAACATCCCAATCCCCACTAAAATAGGTTCTAAAATCTGTGGTGAATTCACCTACCAGCCAAAATGGGATCCCATTGGTGTTGACCACTGCCAAATCATTCGCGGCACATGCGACGGCTCATTTGGGCCTCCTTGACACTCACGGGCTCACGATCTTCCCTTGGTCCTCCGAAGTCGGGTTGGCGTCAGGGCGGAATGTAAAAGAGGGAATGCCTTGATGGCAAAACCCCACGGACGGGCTTCTGAGACGTGAATTGGCTTTCTTTCTAGGGGTAACTGCCTCATTCTTTCCAGGGATCCTTCTTTCTAGAAAACCACCAAAAACCCTGGGGACGTGGCTGGTTGTTGAAAAGAACGATGGCTGAAAAGAATGGGGAATCAACCCCTAGATCTTAGATCCCGCTCAGCAAGATGCCCGCTGAGAACTCCACCTGCCTTGACGCCCTGTATTCCATATTTAAGGGCTGCCCCCACTTGTTGCCCATGGTGAAAATGATGGGGAGGCGTCCGTTTGCGGGTTACGGCCTTCCATTGAGGGAATGGTGATTTGGCTGGCACGAAGAGCAAAGCAGGGACCACAGAGGTACAAAGACACGGAAAGGAGTGCACCCACCCGAGGTGACACGACGCAGCAATACAATATGCCAGGGATGCCGGACGGCGCTTACAGTGGGAGTCAGGCCGAATTGAGGAGCAATTTCGAACAAAGCCAACCAAAATGAGGGCAGTGCAGGCACAAAGGTTGGTAAAGGACGAGGGCAATGCAGGCACAAAGGTTGGTGCCCCGCTACTTTCCTTTGGCAGGGCCGTGGAAGGTTTCGTCTATATCGAATTGTCCAGACTTCGTCGTGGGGGTTGGCGTGCCAATTTGGCGTAGGCTGCGAGCCGTCCAGGCCCTCCAGGCAACCCATTGACCCGATGCCACATAGAGTCCAAGCCAGTGGAGCTTTGTTTTCCCGAAGGGAACCAAGACCCATTTTCTTGGGTTCTAGGCAGAGGTTCTAGACAGTTTGCAAAAAACTAGCCATATAATATAAAAGTGTGGAAGTGCTCTATCCGTGTTTTGGATGGCTTTGCTCCGCAAGAAGTTGCACCCCTCGGAAATGAGATGCCAAGTCAGCCGAAGCGCCTGGGCTCTTCTGGAGCAGCGGCAGCACTTGCTGGAAGGCCTTGTCCGCCTCGAGTGCGGTGCGCCCACTGCGAGTGCGCGCTATGGGGGGGTCGTTTTGGCCAAAATATGGGGCGACTCCTCGCCTTCCTCCTAAAATGGCACCTGTGATTACCTGCAAGATCAGTTTCCGCCCGGAGGGACCCTTGTTAGGCGTCATGGCAACGTGGGAGGGAGGGAAACCAGTTTGTTGAAACAAAAGGAAGTCGAGCAAGCAGGCTGAGGGGTTGTTTACGGCGCTGCAAAGTCGAGGCAGTCCATGCGGGAGCCCTACATCGGAAGCTTCAGCCAGATTTGCCACCCGCGCTTGGGCGGCGTGATTTGCTTTTCGAATTCGATTGTAACTGGATTGCTCCAAGCGATGAGCAAAAGGTCCATCACCTTAGGCTTAGTGGGAAAAAGCCATATATGTGTTTCCAACATGACCTAAGGGGCCGGATAAGGTCAAAGACCAGCCGTGGAAACTGGCTTGAAAGGGCTTCTTCCAAAGGTGTTGACTGCTGACTGGTCTGCGTCCGTCACCAGGGTAGGGGCAAGCCACGGCGTTTTCTCCATACATCACCCTGAGGATCCTGGAGATTCATTTCCAAATAGGGGACCACACAAATGGCGTGTTTCTGTGTGATTTCCCTTTCAAACCATGCAAAAGGAGGTCCACCACTTTGAGAAACCTCCATAGGCCTATGGATTTTTAAGGGAACCCCCTCAAAACCAGTAGCACCTGACACAAAGGGAAGGCAAGCGCAGGGCTCCAGTCCTGGATCCAAGAAGGAGGTTTACCTCCACTGTTTTTCGTCTGGAAAAAAATGTTTGGACATACTTCCAGTAGATTCCCTTAACCATGGGGAAACATAAACAACAATCAAGCAAGAGGAAGCCCCCACCGCCCAAACACTGCTTATTGGTTTCCGGACCAAGGGGATTTTGGACGTGGTTGAAACGGCAGTTGGCAGTTGGGGGCCGGGTGATGGCATTAGCCATGGTTAAAGCATGAATCGCCCAACCCCGAACTGGGATTTCACAAGAAAGCTGGGTACACAGCGTGACGTGCGGTGTGCGCACGGTTGTTTCTCTGTTACCCTGACAAAGAGGTGCAACCCCACCAATCCAAACCATTTACCCTCTCTCTAACATGGATTTGGGCAGGTGTTGGCCTTTTCAAGAGGCCTGTAGTCCAAAACCTTGTCTCGGCTTCTATGTTTGTACGAAGGGGCGTACTGATATTGCTACCATCTTAGTGCCGTTGCGGTCACCCTGATACTATGCCGTCGTTTTCAATTGCCCACAAAAACACGCAGGCAAGATGCCACACCGATATCACGCAAGGAGCCAGCTAATCCGCTTACCACAGGTTGAAACAAACAAGTGTCACACCAAGTTGATGGGTTCTAAACAACTTAAGGGGGTGTCCGAACAAAGACTATAATCCCCAGTCCTTTTGGTTGTAGGAAGTTGAGCAGCATGGGCTGTTTAGCACGTGCATGGCGAATGTTCATCAGGTGGAAGCAATGCAGAGATTGATCTGCTGGCCTTGGGAGCTAAGCTGGCGCAAGTCAAGGCATAGAGCTCAGTACGTAAAGTCATCGCTTTTTGGCCACCGCCAAAACGCCAAAACGCCCACCCGCAACAGCCACCGCCCATCCCTGAACACCGCCGCCACATCCCACAAGTTACAAGTTGGCCGACTCGGCGTTGCTCCCACCCCGAAATCGATTGCCTCCCCCAGCGAGATGTGCAGCGCCAACTTCTTCAGCTGCTCCGGATTTGCGCCCTGGATGCAACCCGGTGGCCGAAAAACAGGGGGAAAAGTGGATGCCACCATTCTCGGAAGGTGGGGCAAGCCAAGGGCATGACCAAATGGGCGAAATGTGCCAGCTACTTTCGCGTCATTGTCCACCCCCCCGCCCGCGTGGCTTCAACCTTTGCGTCTACAAGGCTGATTCATTGAAGGGCTAGCGGGTCAAACATACGTACCCAAAATGGAACCTATTGGGTAAATAGAGCCGAGGACCAGAACCTGCGGTCCATATCCTAAGGACCCATACCCAAATCGCAGCGCCGAAACGCCCAACGCGCCGATCGCGCTTCCCACGGCACCAAGGCGCAGATGTCGCTCGCTCGCTCGCTTCACTGGTGCACCTGCACTGAGGCCGCCGCCTGCTGCAAATGGGGCTTGCTCTTGTCAGTCTTCCTGATGAACCTGAATGCAAATGGGCCCGAAATGCTGCCCGGAGGGCTCAAACCTTTCAACCCGCTTCGGAATGGGACTGGGCCTGTAATGCTGCAGCGAGTTCAACACCTACGGCTGAAGTGTCCTTTTTTTGCATGGCCCTGGCCAGTTACTGGCCTAACCCTGGCACAGCCTGGCGTGCACGAAAGGAGACACCAACGAACAAAAGTTCTGGGGTGGGTTTAGGGTAGGTTTGGGGTAGTCTGTTTAGGGTAAGTACATGGCATCGTTTTAACATGCTAGGCATCATTTTTAAACCCACCCGAAACCAGCCCTCAATTAACCCACCCGAGACCAACCCCAAGAAGCCCCACCATAAACCAGCACTAAACCATCCACCTCAAGCACAGCCACCCCCACATTTGCTCTCAATAGGCCTCCGGAGCCAACCCCGAGCCAACCTGGAACCCACCGACCCACCCGAAACCCAGCCGAAAACGCTGAGGATCTTGAAAACGATGTTGAGGATGTTAAAACGATGCCGGGCCTTAACCTAACAGGACTACCCCCAAACCTACCCTAAACCTATCCTGAATCCAAAATCTTTGGCCCGAGCCGCCAACCAACCAACCAACCAACCAACGAACGAACCAGTGCCAGGGCTAGGCAAAAAAACAGCTGTCTTAAAAATGGTGTACCCAACACCAGGTAAAGCGCCTTGAAAAGGGCGGCCGGCGGCAGAACATGCAGACCGTGGCACCAGGATCTGACTCAGCCTTTTGGGATCCACTTGCCGCTGGCCAAGCAACGAAGCTCGAGACTCCTGCGAGTCATTCGCACGCTAGCGATTCTTTCCAGGTGGTCATTGAGCTACACAACCCAACAGGACCACAGGACCACGGGATCAGCCAAAAAAAGTCATTGGAGGTGTAGGTATACCCTGAGGTTCAACCCCCATTGCAAAAAAGGTTGACCCAATTGGATGATGACAACCCTTAGGAAAACAATGATGGCTAGGCTATGAACCTGTGAACCCCTGAACCCCCATTATTTGTGGTGGTTTGAACCCCAGGGTATATGTATGTGCCCCAACAGGTACCTGTGGCCTAGACCTGAGCTCCCCGCTCAGAGTGCTGCAGGATGCGGTCCAAAACCGCTGCGTGCGCCTGTCGCGGGACATTTCTGCTTTGCCACTTTTGCAAGGTTGACCATAACTCCCCTCATCACACTGACACACTAACCCCATTAATTTTACAACATTCGCAGTCACCCAAGTTCTACTGTGGACAGACAAAATCCATTTCGCACCGTTCAGAAACCCTGGAGTGATGCGATTCTACTGTGAATACCTACAAACATTAGGGTTTCAACCCTGGTTTCCTAGGTGCGAACGAATTTTGTCCATCCAGAGTAGGCTGAAGGGAAACAACCCCCCAATCTGTTGGAATGCCAACCCCAGTCAAAATCATACCGCCTAAGAGTCGAGACAACGCCCCAATCATAGGAGCGGGTGCATGTCGCCTTTTTTGGGCCCAAGGCCGTTAGGGTCAATAGCTATGAATTTCAACTTCCATTTGCTGAAGCTCCCTGGAAAAAACAAACTTCAAGTAGTGATAGATTGCTTTTAAAAGCAACACGGGTAAAATCAGACATGCTAATTTCAGCAAATGGAAAGTCATTTGCGGAACCTCAAAAGTGATTGGTGGATGCCAATCCCCACTGAATTTGGATGTCCATTTCGGGTCCCCAAGTCGTCATATGGAACCCTTCAACAGGGATCCTTGTATGATACACCTGAACATTGCCTTAGTTTCTGGTGGTTTCCCTGCATGTTGGTGGAAAAAGCAACATGTTTCAAATGGGCAAAACGTATCTTTTAAGGAGCCCTGTTCAAGGGGAATGTTTCTTTACGAAGCTCCTTTCAGCGCCTCCGTCTCCTTGGGCCCCACATCCGGCCTCGTGACAGAAAAACCATCTGACTTATGAGGCCGTCCTTCAAGGCAGTTGGGAATGGATTCTTTGGGTGTGGGTCAAAAATAGGTACCCAAAATGGAACCCTGGTAAATGGAAACAATGACTAAAACCTGCGGTCCCCTGGTGGCTTTACTTTGACCTATACCCATTTGTTGGAGGCCATAAAACATAATATACTGAACTAGGTCCTCCAGTAGAGAGGTTAGAATAATAAGGGCACCAACCGTTTTTTCTGTAGTCTATTTTAGTAGGCGAACCCTCCCCCAAAAAAGTTGGTACAAGGGCACTACTGGGGGACCTAGTGAAGGAACCCTGAAACATCGAGTGGTGCCAAAACTGGGTGCGGGCAGTGCGTGGGTCACGGCTGCGTGGGTGGGTGTGCATAAGTGGGGTGGTGCATGGCCGTGTGCAAGCGTGGGTGCGCGCGTGGGTGTGTGTGTGTGTCTCTCTGTGTGTGTGTGTGTGTGTCTCTGTGTGTGTGTGGGTGTGTCTCTGCGTGTGTCTCTGGGTGCGTGGGTATGCCGAAACACCAATCATTTGAGGGTGTTCCAAAATGGAAGAGCTCCTTTGTTTGGTGTTTCCAAGGCCGCAAAATTGGTGGACTCCTAAAGATCAGTGTGACGGGGTAGGGAAATAGGCGGTCAGAAGACCCTTTGGGGCAACTTTGTCCATTGTAGGTGGTTGGCACCAAGAAAAAACATGTCCAAAAACAAGCACCCCGACAAATGGCTGGCTTCCCCTGTGAACATCTGCTTTTGGTCCCTTGTCCGAAACACATGGAATGTACTGCTGGAAATCCTGCCCGGGATGTCCAAGGCAATAAGTTCAATGCTCATGTAATTCGGTGTTTCACATGCAACAACCTTGCAAAGACAAACATTTCAGCCTACAGGGCGTCCCTTTGTTTGAGGGAACCCTTTTGGGGGGTGGTTCAAAAGGAAATCAAAAGAAAAACACACATTTTGGGGGTCTAAAAAAGACACACCTATACACCTGCCCCGCCCTGGAAGTGACCGCAGTCCCCATGTTTACACAGATTCCTCCGGGTTATTCCAAATTCGGATCCCCAATCCTAACCAATCCGGGACACCGCAAGGGGACCACTACCATCTGGCATAGGGATCTTGCGGTTTGATGTCTCAGTTCATGTCCTCAGTCTGTGGCTCAGGGGCCAAGAACATTTTTATCGTCAATCGAAGCCCGATATTCAAATGGTCGCAATCCCAGAATCGTGCTTCAAGAACTAAGAAGGCGGATATCCGCAACTATTTCTGGCTGGGACTGCCCCTTACTAACCGGATCATCTACCCGGGTTTTGAGCAAGTGGCTCAATTGGCTCGAAGAGAAAAGGAAAGAACAGCTCGTAGTTAGTTGATCCCGCAAACGCTTTAAATTACACTTTGAGGGGATGTGTCAACGGTCGAAGTATCTGGCTGGGAACCGCCAAGGAAGGACTCTTGAGCCATGTGTGACATGGTCAGAAATACTGCGGGCCATGATTCCCTTGATGGAACCATGACCAGGACCATCGCTGCGAATTAAGCCCAAGCAAAGGGTGGCTTGAAATACAGGGAACCCTCAACACTCCACACATCACTTCTGGTGCTGATTGAAAGAAGCAAATGGAAAGCGACGCGACATGTCTGCTGACCGTTTGTTGACGCTACCAGGCTACTGGAAGGGGGTTAAAACTTTAGGGCTGTGGCAGTCCCAGGTCAGCATTTTCTGTGAGAATGAGGTCTAGGATTTCTCGCAAAGGACAAAAGGAGTTCCTTTAAAGGGTAGGAACCTGTTCCACATTTCTTTAAGTGAACAAACAACCTTTCCAGATTTGGGTGTGTCTGTTTTGCGGGAACTCTCTTTTGTTCGCGGTTTTAAAGGGACACCAGCTGGAAAACCAGATTAGTTTTTTGGGGGTCCGATACGCCAAAGGACCCTCCTCTTGGTTGACGTTGGAAGGGGAGCAAAATTTAAGCTTTAGCAGTTAAGTGGTTGGATTTCCCACTAAACCACAATAAGCAAAAATGTAAAATGTGTCCCAACAACCACCATGTTCTATTTTGAGCATGCCATGGATTCTCAGCTCTGGTCGTGGGCGTAGGAGCTGACTGACCTGGCGAACCTGACGCAGAGTTCTGTCTCAAAACCCTCGCTTACGATCCAGCGGATGGGCCAAGTCAAAATACGGCAGGGAAACGGTAGACATGATGAGGCCAGTTCCGAGCTATTAAAATAGTTAAAATCCATACATCATGTCAGATTGTGTAAAGAATAGGGGGACCCAAACACCGGCGAAGCCAAGCTGACAGGGCAAGCCTCAAAAAACACCTCCAGGCCCAGTTGTTCAAGCCCAGGAACTCAGGAAAAGAGAGAAATCGACATCGGAACCCCTCAGTTGCCCAGTGTTGCTATGCCATAATGAACCATCATCTGAGCAAGCGATTTTCAGAGTACCCCCGAAAAAATCTCTGGGCCATATTGTTGTGGCAAAAATGAACACACAAACATGTGTTGCGCTTTGGTTGATCAGTCCGCTCGGGGAGTGGGGTGTCAACAAATTTGGATTGGGGGGACCGTGTTGGTACAACAAGGCGGCACAAGAGGCTTGGTTGACGTTGGAAGGGGAGCAAAGTCAAGTGGTTGGATTTCCCACTGAACCACAACAAGCAAAAACAAAGCATGGTTCCCAACAGCAACCATGGAGGGGGCCATATTTTGACCACCAAGCGAATTTTCACCAACTTGAAACCACCCTTTTGGCTCACTTGCCCGCCGACACTGTGACCTTTTGGTTTCCCTGATTGGTAGCCATTTATAGCCAAGGTTCCAAAAGGTTGTGGGTCAAAAAAAGGTGCCCAAAATGGAACCCTGGCAAATGGAACCAAGTACCAAAAACCCGCGGTCCATATCCTGTGGATGAATTTACCCATACCAATATTTAGCTTATTCGAAACAACAAACAAATCTACATCCTTTGCAGCAGATTTTAACCAAATTCGACCTTCCCAAGCGTATAAAGCCCAGGGGTTCTGGGGAGTGACTTAAACTACCAATAGAAGCCGGAAAAAGAAACACCGGGTCAACTCGGGCCTCAACCTTGAAATTTAACATTTATATATATATATATATATACACATACATACACATGTGCAGTCATCTCTGCAACGCGCAAAACATGGTGGAATTGCACATCCCTAATGAGGGTAGCTGCAAGGGGGGGGCTACTTCATGCTATAGACATTCAGACGACCTCCAAAACCAATCCTCGCAGTTAAGGTCGACATTTCTGGCCCGACAAAATTACTTCCAGGGGGAGTCGGCGCACTTTCATGGTGTTTCGGTAGACGTCCCGAAGGGTTCCCTTTCCGATATATCCGTGATTTAATACCACCCCAAAGGTCGCTCGACTTGAATCTTGGCAACCGAACGGCGATGGCTTTACCAGGGCAATCCTACAAGGAGCCAACAACGGCTTTTTGGGCATGGGCACGGCTGGTCCCATCAAACGGAACGGGTGCAGACTTCAAAAGCCTTCCCTGTGTTTGTCGGTTTCCTGAGGATACCCCCCCAAAAAGGGTGGCAAACTTTGGGAAGTCACTCTCTTGAAGGCATCCATCCCTATTGTAAGACACCCCCCGTAACACAGGTCAGACTTCCCCTTTTAAAGGTGCAACTTGCTGGTGGTGTCCATTGGAACTGCCACGAAAGTGGAGGCAAGAGAAAAGTGGAGGGACGCCTGCCAGTTTTTAGACACGCCCCGAAGGAACCACACGCTTCCTTGCGAGGCCCCCGGCCGCGCCTTGCAAGGCCGCCTGCAGTACTTGGACCTCCGACTGGTCTCGATCTGGAAGGCCCTTCACATCCGGGCGACCTGCGAGCAAATCCACACTCAGTGCTTCCAGGTGAGTGTTCTCAGCACCAACTACTACTCTTGCACAGTAAGCTGGGTGTTTAAAAAAAACATGGAGAAAAAAAGAAGTTGGGGGGGGGGGGGCCGGCTTTGAAGGGCGCCGATTCCTTTCTGTAAACTTCCCAGACATAAGCAACTTACCTACCTGATCACTGGGAGCAGTGGGACACCTGCGGCAGGGCTACGAAACCAACTCGAGGGAAAAAAAACTCTGAGGGCACTTGCATGGCTAGAATGGCTCTTTGCACTTGCATGGCTGCTTTTCCATAGCCATCAGTCATCAGTTGGTTCACGTATGAACAAGGGGGTTGGCGAACTGGGCGCTGACTACGGGTAGGCCCGCCGCAGCTTTTCGAAGCATTTGTCAAGCACGGAAAGAGCTCTTCGGTATCCACATGGGCGTCTCAAAAGCTCCGGGACAACAGTCCAAACCAGCAAACATGGACCAAACGCACCATCCAAGAAATGACAAGCTGTATTCAATCCTGCACAGAAACGCCACAAACTTTGCATATGGCCATGGGTCAAAACCCCGTTGCCCCAGTGAACATCCCTATCCAACCACTAAAATAGGTTCTAAACTGGGTGGTGAATTCACCTATCCCAAAATGGGATCCCATGGGTTTTGACCCATGGCCATATCTAAAAAAAAAAACAAAGGGGGAGCACTCAACAGCGGCTTGGGACAGCACCATTGACAGTGCAAGTCCACGAGCTGGTCTACGTACTCAGCGTGTGCCCAGGCAACCGGCACGAAGACAAGGGCGGGAAGACAAATCCAAATGACGGCCAAACAAACGCAAAAACAGGATGACCCACAGAGACAACAAAGCAGAACTACGGAAGATGAGCCGAAATGAGGGCGCTACGAACAAAGCCACAGTAAACGTGGACCACGTGCGCGATTACCCCCGCCACCCCACCACCCCCCACCACCATCTCCTCCCCCCCGCCCATGCGAGAAGTGGTTGTGGAAATTGCGCCAAGCCACCAAAACGCGCCCACGACTCACATAACCACATCGCTACAACAATTCTAAATGCACCGCTTAGCCAGCAGCACACCCAACACAAATCAGCTCCAAGCCAGCCCCCAAAACAACCCACAGTCAACTCCAAACCCGCCCAGCCGCAGCCTGGATGTGAGCCCTTCGATTCGCCTAAATCAACTCCAAACCACCGCAACCAGGCCAGCCTAAACCCTCCCTAACTCAAACCAGCCCCCAGCAGCTCCCAACTGCCTCCCAATCAGAGCGATATGCCGGGGATGCGGCGAGCCGGCCAGCCAGCCAGCCAGCCAGCTAGCCAGCCAGCCAGCCAGCCAGCCAGCCAACCAACCAACCAACCAACCCACCCCTAGTATTAAACCACACAGCCCTAGGGCAACAACAGCAGGTGGGGGTTCAAATAAAGCAGCTTGGGCTCAAACAAACAGTTTGGGGTTGAAAAAAACAGGTTGGGGGGGTTCAAAAAACAGGTTCAAAAAACATCGAGGGGAGGGGTGGAGCGGGGAAAAAAACTAGATTGCGGGTCCCAAAAAAGAGCTTGGCAGGTCCAAAAAACTCGGGGGTAAACAAAAAAACACAGCTTGGAGGTTGGGGTCGAAAAACTGGTTGGGGATCAAACAAACCGTTGGGGGGGGTCAACAAAATCAGGTTGGGGGTCACAAAAGCTGGTGGGGGGGTCAGGAAAACCAAATGGGTGTCCAAACAACAGGTTGGGGGTCAACAAAAACAGCTGGTTCGGGGTCAACACAACAGGTTGGGGGTCGACAAAACCAGGTTGGGGGTCAGGTAGAAGTGGGTCAGAAAAACAGGTAGGGGGTAACAAAAGTTGTGGGTCAAAAAAAATGGGGTCAAAAAATGTTGGGGGTCCAGAAAAATGAGTGCAAAAAGCAGGTTTGGAGGGGGGCCGGGGGAGAAAAAAATTGGTGGTCAAACAAATTGGAGGTCCAACAAACTGTTTGGGGGCCAACAACAACAGGTAGGGGGTCAAAAACAGGTTGGGGGTCCAAGAACAGTTGAACGTCAACAAAAACTGGTGGGGAGTCAAACGAAACAGGCCGGGGTCAAGGCGGGTTTGGGGCTCAGGGTTGAAAAACAACGGCTTGGGCTCAAAAGGTTGGTCAGCAAAACAGGGTCTGGGGAAGCTGAACTTGGGGGTCAAAACCGGGTTGGGGGTCCAAAAAACAGGTTGGGGAGAAAACAAATCGGTTGGGGGTTAGAGAAGCAGTTGGGGGGTGAAACAAGCTGGGGGGTAAAAAACGGTTCAGGGTCGAAAACAGGTTGGGGGCTTAACAAACAGGTTGGCAAGTTGGAGGTGTCACAAAAAAGGTTGGGGGTCAAAAAAAACCGTTGGATTCAAAGAAAACTGGTCCCGGCAGAAAGAACTGCCCCTAGCCTTGAACAAATCCTTTGGATGTGGGCTTTCTTTGGCGGGTTGATGTTTTGTCAAAGAACTACTTGACTCTCTATTTGGATGGTGTCGCTTTTGGGCTTGTTAAAAACGGGCACCACGTGCTTTGTGTGAGATTTTTCTTAAACCAGCTACAAGTCTTGGTTAACGTTGGAATCCTGGAAGGGGAGCAAAAATTTATAATTTTAGCAGTGAAGTGGTTGGAGTTCCCACTAAACCACAATGAACAAAAATGTAAAATGCTTCCCAACAAGAACCATGAAGTAGCCTCCCACCAAAGCAAACATGGAACCTGACAGGGACCCGGTCCCTTTAAGACATTCAGCCGGAGAAAAAAACCCACCGGCCACCCGCAAGCCGTTTCGCCTGTGCTTGGCGCGGTGCTGGGCCGCGCCGGCCTGGGAGCTCGAGATGTTCGCTTTGCAGAGTGAGGCAAAGGGCGGGTGGATGTATGCGTATGCATATCTATATATATATGTATACCCTAGGCTTCCCAAAGGCCATTAAAAGAATGGTCGAGGTCGCTAGACTGTTTGTTGCCGAAAGACCGTGTTTTGCGCCTGGCCCTGAATGACCAAAAAACCATGGTTTTTGTTGCCCAAGGATTGCTTAGGGTCAGGTCACTGACAGTCACGCCGCCCTCATCCTCCCAGCTGCAAATGAGAGCACCCAAGCCACTCATTCCCCGGCTTGCCAAGCGTATGGTCAGATCACTTTTCAAAACCGCCAGGTGTCCTGCCTGCCGTATATGCGTGCATAGATGCTTCACATGTTGGTACTGAAGTCCGGCTTTTTTCAAAAATGTTGCAAACTTCGTGGCTTTGGGGCGTCGCTGCCTATCCGCCATACGTTGGGGGTTCCTGGGGGTATGGTTGTCCACGCTTTTAAATGCACTTTGCACGCTTTTAAATGTGCTTTCCACGCTTTTAATCGTACTTTCCACGGTTTGTCCATGGTTTGTCCACTCCTCATTCTCTTTCAACATCGGTTAAACAATCAACAAACAACACGCGATGAGACTCTGTGGAGCTGTGGACAAGAAGTGGAAAAGCACGCACGGGCGTGTGAGGGACAAGCCAAATTTACGCAGCATGGTGGCGGCCTGTGATTACAACGGGATGAAGCGACTTTAAAACATACTTAGCTTATTGCATAAAAGCAGCAATAATTTCCTCAACCTCTCACTGCACAGAAGCGCACGGGGATGTCAGGAGCCAGCCGTCTCAAGTTGGCTAAGTTTGTCTAGCCCTACTTTTCATGGTCGAGGGGACAATACTTTTATAGCCTTTCGTTTTTTAAATGGTCAAGGCTTTTTAAAGAATAGTCGAGGAAGCATAGGGTATATATATATATGTATGTGTACGTATGTATATAATTTGTGTTGAAGGGGGGCCCTGTTCAAACAACCTCCTCTTGAAGTTCCCCTAAGGGGGGGGGGGGCCTGGGTGTCTCCTGACTTGTTTCATTCGGAAATTGTGTTTTCTTCCATTTGCTGAAGCCTTAAGCCCCCTGCAAAAAAAAACAAATCTCCAGTAGTGATAGATTTCGTTTCAACCAAAACAGTATCATCTTCTTAAGCAAGTGGAAGTTGTGGATTCGCCATGTGTGCACCGTGCTTTCAATCAAGCAGGTGAGTTCGCTCAACGCGCAGGCGCAGAAGTCCCATACAGTCCGCACCCCGCAACAGCTTGAGCTGGAACCAGCCCAGAAGGTGACACGGGGTTTCTCAAACAAGTGAGGACACGTCCCCTAAAAGGCCTGCCTTCCCAACATGGATTCCGAATCTCCCGAAACGTCTGAAACTACCTAGTCCCTGGGGTTCAACCCCCGATCAAAAGAAAAGCAAGGCCCCCATTTGGATGACGATCTTTAAACAACGGTGGTGAAGTATGGTCCCAACCCGTTTTTTGCTGGTGGCCTGCTAGGTCCTCCAGTAGAGAGGTCAGAATAAGGGTACCCTTTTTCTGTAGTCTATTTTAGTAGGGGAACCCTCCCAGAAAAAAAGAAGTGAAAGGGCACTACCGTGGGAACTAGCCTAAATATCAGGGGAGTTGAACCAAAGGTCTCGAAGGCCTTGGGCTCAGGGCGAGTTGTTTCATGTGCCGGAGAGAGCCGCTCTCTGCTTCATGCATGAAACAACTAGCCCTGAGCGCATGAAACAGCATGACATCCCAGAGTTCTTTATGCGTGGCTTTTCCATGTCTCGGCTTCCGGCAATTCCGGCATGTCGGGCACTGGGATGTGTGGCAGGGAGGCACCGGAGGCACCTGGAGCCCCTCCAGCCCGAGCTTAAATGGAAACCACCACTAAACCACCTAAACCAAAAAAAATCCTGCAAAGCTAAGGAACCGGATGGCTGGGAGCCACTCAGTTCCCAATGATCTGCCAGAAGGTTTCCGGCGGCAATGGCCGACACAATTTGCTGCAATGCGCGAGAGCCATCCACGGGTTGAAGGAACTGTTTCCACCCCTTTAGATTCGGTTTGCCAGGAAGCCAAAAGGAAACCGTGACCAGTTTGAGTGAGACACGACTTTTTTCCCTGGGCAGCGAATTTCAGAGTTCCTTCAGGTTGGGCTTTCTGACTTCACGGCTGGGGGCGCCCTTTGAAGTGCCCCTTGATGCTTAATTCAGTTCCCGAAAAGACCCAGAAATAAAAGGCAACCTTTCTGGAACCTGGACCAAAAATGGTTGCCAAACCAGGGAAATGAAAAGGTATCTCAACCTGCTCCCAAGGAGAGTCGTCGAAGCAAACGGCGTTGCAGGGGGCCTTCGGTTATGGTCAAAGGTCAATGATACGGGGTTTCGATTTTCTGCGGTTCGCCGTGGTTTTGCAGTGATAGATATCGGCGTCACCTATCCGTTTCTGGTGGTCATATTGTCCGCTGGCACATTGTGTCCATCAGCGTTGGAATGTTGGCGACCGACCTCTATTTTTTCAATGGCAGGTGTGCCCCATGTCATGAGCTTTCCAGAGTAGATTTTGAATACTCACAGCTCAAACTTTCCCAAAGACATCAAGGAAATACGCCAAACTAATTCGGTACCGGCCGGCCCAAGGAGATCCAAAAGGGGAAATCTGAGGATCCGAAAGGAGTACAGAATACGGTTGAAAGATAGGGTAACGAGAGACGTGAGCAACGGCTCTCCGGATCATACATGGTGTCACTCGTGTTTTGTGTTTTGTGTTTTTTTGTTTTTACTAAATAAATCTTGGCCAGACTTCGACTCGGAGAGAGAGAGAAAAATCGTAGCATCTTGGTCACTAGTTTGGCCAGATATGGTCGACTCTCAGGAACCACACCTCTTCACACGAAGCTTTCAAACGGATCGTTTCTCAAGAAACAAAACGGGGAACAACTGGGCTTCTGGGGGCTTCTAAAACCACTTTGGGCGTTACTCCAATGCTGTTGAGTTTGGAGGTTACACGGTTTTCCCATACAATGTGGATTGTCAGGCCCAAAACCATTTTCACACGTTTCACATTTAGTCTGTCTTATTGTAAAAAAAAGAGCTTTGGGGTCGCAGACAAATCCAAGCCACCTACAGGGGGTTCCCTGCCAAAGAGTCAGGGGTCGAGTGCCAAAAATGACCCAAGAAAAAACGGCCGACCTGATGAGACAGCTTGTCGGGGCAAGCTGGTGAAGCTTGCGCTTCCTGGCCTGGCAGGCTCAGGTCTGTGAAACAGGGTTCCCTTAGACTCTTAGACCAAGACAATTTCAGTGGAGATTTCCATGGGAAAAACAAAAACGTGGAAACTATCGGCCCATGAGAAGCCTTCAGACATCTCTCAAACTAATCAACATGAACAAACTGGGAACAAGCTGCCACACGCTGACCAGGCTCTAAGATATCAACTCAAGCGCTTCCATCTGCTTACAGCTGTCTCTTGAATGTGGCTGTCCAGGGGGCCATGTCAGCAGCATAGGTATCTGGGCGGAGAATCACCATCCAAACTGCCAAAGCTCAAAAACAGCAAACACGTGGCATCCCCAGCATCATCAGGGGCTCTCTTTTGAGGGGGGAGGCGCTGCCAGCATCCCAGGGAGCCTGACCTAGCTAATGTTGGGGAGGCACGCACGCATGCGCATACGCACGGGCCCGTGCACACGTGAGCAAGTGCTCAGTAAGTGAGGAGGAATGAAGTCAAACAATAATCAAGTTGTTTTTGATAAGCAAGGTCACACGCTTTGTCAAGAAAGGCGAGGCGGCGAGGCCGGATGTGCATTAGTTTTAAAAGCACTAGCTGGTGTTCTCATGATGTTGCCCCACATGATCTTCAATTAATAAGTAGCGTAAGCCCAGTCTCTTTTGCAGTATCTCACGGGACCTATGGTGACATCTTGGCGCCCCGTCAACTCCAACCGTTAAGCAAAAGGCCTCTTAGGATTGGGAGACCGAGTTGAAGCATGAGTGCGTATGGAGACATACGTTTTTGTGTAATGTTCGGGTGAAGGATTTGATTGCTGGTGCTCAGTAGGTGGGGAAGGACCGAGACCAGATGTTGGGAATGAATCGTTCCAACTCACGCCCTGCCTGTCAAACCGCCACGACTAGTAAATGGACAGTAACCCTGGCAGAGAGACTAGGGTGAAAAACCAGGGTTGCCTGCCAGTAAGCCAACTCCCAGACCGTTTGAGTGGAAGTAGCGTCCAAAGTCAGGGGTGGCTTTTGTGACCCCTTGAATATTACCCCTGCTCGGCTCCTATACATGTGAAGGTGATATCCATCTAGATAACTAGATATATTAAGCACATATATATATATGCATAGATCAATGTATACTAAAAAGGTTGTCTCATACCCCCTGGTCCAAAATCGACGTTCCGCCTCGCGCTTCCGCGGATCTTCCGCGATGCAGGTAAAACCACGCTTTTTGGCATGCGTCTAACGTAAGTAGGCTACTGCAAGGAAGAAATAAAGCAGGCCAAGACAAAAAGCTGAAGCAGGAAGCAAGAGATAGAATAAGAATGTAACAACCACTGAACGAGGAACGGGCAGCAAAAGAAGCAGAACGAGCATGGAGACGCAGAGGTGGGAAGTGCTGCCGCAGGAAACCAGAGAACGAGAGGGAGACAAAAAAACGGCAACAAACCCAAGCTACGCTTCATACTGAAGTGGCCGGCCCGACGCAAGGTAACAGCTGCAATTCCAGGAGCTTTGTTTTGGCGTCGTATTTGGTCTCGTTTTCAGCGCTGGCACGCCGCTTGCCTGTGGGCGCCAACGACAAGCATGGGAAATGGAGCTTGAGGCAGGGCGCACAAGCAGCCAAGAGCATGCCAAGGTAGCAGCTACCGCTTCGGAATGGCAGGTATCCTTCGGGGTATGGTTCTCAGCGTACAGTGCAACTTTTCAGCAGTGCAGTACACGAGGGCCTCCCATGATGGAACATTAATTACTGTTAACTCCTCCGTGAAACTTCCGCTCACCCATCCGCGGACTTCCGCGACAGCGCCGCAACATCCACAAGGGGGTTTTGGTCGATCAGTTCGTTCGTTTGCCCTTCCGAAGCCTCGAAAAGGAGGTTTTGTTTGGGACAAGCCCACGTTGGGAACTCCGGCTCCGACCCCCCCCAGAAAAAAATGTGGACTCTAAACCCAGCTGGATGACCCTTCCTTTGTCTCCTGCCCTGCTCGCCGTGCTCCAAATACATACCTTTTGCGTTTGAGGGCATGCAATCAATTACCTGGCGTTGCACCCAATGAGGCAAAGACATTCTTCATTGTTTCTAGTTAAAGCCCAAGGGTGATGTTGGGCCATGATGACTGTAATTTGCTTAGGGTGTACCTTCAGGGCCGAATACAAAAACACCTTCGACTCATTTTCTTCGGCCCATTCGGACCTTTTGTTGCTCCGTTTCGGGTTGCGCAAAGAGAACCGCGAAAGTGCCTGCTGTGTTGCACCTGGACCGGCACTGCTGGCAGGAGACACACTACTCGGGTGCTCGGCACGCCAAACACTTGAAGAAGTCGTTGGAAACCCTGGTTATCACCCACTCATACCTGAGTCAACTTTATTTGGCAAACCTATACGTGAAGTATAACAGGGTTACAAACCACGACTCATGGGGCCGAACACCCAAGTGGAAAATGGAAGAGAACAGGGCCTGGTACTGAAGATTCCCAGGCGACTGCAACTTTGGTAAGTCTCAAAGGAAACAATTAGCGACCCGTGGAGTTTGTCCGCCTCTGTTTGTGCGGATCGAGGCAAGCACAACTGCCTCAAACTCGATTGTTCTGGACGGTTGCAGAACCATGGCTCAGAAAATAGACTACCACTTGAAAAGAAAAGCACCTGCTCAATCACTCCTTCACCAAGTCTTGGTGCGCTTTCGGGGGACTGACGGAAAGCCAGTCACATGCACGAAGGTGTTTTGCACCTGAATTGTCATCTCGTCTTCATCATCTTCTGGTCTGGGCATGGATGCGTTGCCATCTTCAACCTGGGTTGCTGCAACCCCCTGTGCACAACGCTCAACCTTTTATCAACTTCTTCGTTGCGCTTGTTGGACTTGATCTGTAGTCCGAAGCAAATTTTGAACTTCCGGGTTTACAGATCCAAGCAAGCAGCCAACTTCCCAAGTGCAAACCCTGACTATCCGAAGATGACGGCGGACTACAGATCAAATCCAACAACCTGTTGGTTTTGTATCTAAGCAAATAGCATCCAACTTCCCAATCAGAGCCCAACAACACATGACTTGGGACCATGCAGCCAACCAAACACGTCTTTTCCAACAAACAGCTGTTAAAGTCTAAAGATCCAACCAAGTAGACAACTTCCCAAGCAACGGCAATGAAACCCCAAAGTTCTCAAGATGACTTAGGTTTAGGGTTCAACCCCAGTAAAAGACAGGTTGACCCAATTTGGATTATGACAATGCTTAGGTAAACGTTATGGTGGTAAAACATGAACCCGACGGTGGCTTCAACCCCAGGGTTTGGAAGCCAAATATCTGTTGTTAAAAGTCGGAAGATCCGGGTTGAACTAGCAACCAACTTCTCAAGCAACGGCTTGCAAACCCCGCAACGTTCTCTGAAAAATCGCTGGACAATAGAAGACAAGCTGTTGCTGGTAGGAAAGCCAACCACGTCTTTTCCGAACAGCTAACGTCTAAGTATCCAACCAAATAGCAACCAACTGCCAAGCAACAGCAAAGCCAAAGTCCTAAAGGTGACTTGGGACTGTAGACCTGGGAAGACGCTCCTTTGTCGTTTCCCAAATGGCTTTTGGTGAAGCTTAAGATCCAAGCAGATAGGGGCTGATCAATATCCCTGGCCCCAAACCGCGTAACTTTTCCCATCTGGGACGTCTCGAATATGTTGTTGTGGTTTTCGAAGCAAGACGTTTTTGATAAACACTTCCTATTTACCAAATCAACAAGAACCATGGGTTCACAAACACTTCCAAAGTCTGCGAACTGAGGGGAAGGCTTCTCCAAATAGTCAAGGCGCCTTTTTTCTGAACCCTTCCTATGGTTTTGCCGAAAAATCAACAAGAACCACGGGCCCCAACAAATCACCGGAGAAAAATTACTGGCCTCCCTAGGCAAGGTTCGCACATCGTCCTGGGCTTCCGGTTCTCCGTGATGTTGGGCGTGTGCCGCTTCCCAGGAATCAGCTTCTCGTAGGCCACCTTCTGATAACGCCAGGCCTCCTGGAAGGCGGTGGACCTCGCGTCGGCCGTCGGGGGAAAAAAAAAAAAAAAAAAAAACGGGAGCTAGGTGCAACCTGGGTTTGGTGGGCCAACGTCAAACGGATTGCCTGTAAACCAAAAAACACAAAGTGGGCACAACACAAAAAGCAGGAACAAACGGTGGCACTAGTTCCCAACAAAAATGGCCATTGGTACTTTCCTTGTTGTTTGCCATTGCTTTGGTGAACTTGACGAAGCAACAAAAAGGCCGTCTTGGCTGATTAATCCCAGCCCGAAAAAAAAATGAGCCAGGTGTCAGCGGGGGGGGGGGGGGTTGGGGGGAAGGGGGGGGGGAAGGGGGGGGGAACGCCACATCAAGAGTGGTTGGCAAAAAAGAGAGACGCTGACCGCGAGTTCAGCCGCACTGCTTCCCACTGCGAGCGCTGCAGAACCGCCTGGAAGGGGACCAAGGGCTCCCCGTTCATGCTTTCGAAGACCTGGCGGTGGTTTTCGTTAGACCGTTTTGGTTGATCCCATTTTGATTTTGGTTGGGATTGGTGAATTAATTCACCCATTTTAGGCTTCCTTTTTCAGTGGTTGGATTGGTTGATGTTCACTGGGGGTACGATTTGGAATTTGAGCCATGGCCACCTGAATGTCAGCACCGATGACAGGCAGGAAAGCTCTCAAATATGCCGCCAAGGAGAAATCTTTGGCCTCTGGGCGGAACCAAAATCTGAAGGGCTCGTTTGTGGCCGACAGCTCCACGACGTGGCCTTCCGCCTTGGGCTTGCCTGGCAGCAAGGGCCATCCACCTTGGCAGGTGCGCAAGGTGAGTACGGTGTAAAACTTCTGATCCGCGTCCTGCAGCACGGGCAAGGAGATCACCACGGCCTGCACGGTGTGGTTCACGAGCTGAGACATCAAGTTCGCCATGGAAAGCAGCGGCGCTTTCGCCCAGGTCGCCAAATTCCTGGCCAGGAGACCCACAGTGGCCTGCAGCTGCCGGTGGTCCGACGGATGAGGCTCAAGCACAGAGACCGACGCAAAGTACTGCCCGACTTGCGAGCGGAAGCCTGTGCGCCAGCCATAGGGAATCGCTACCTGGGTGAGTACAACCCGCTGAGCGAAAATCACGCGAAACTGTTTGGCCCTCTGAGTGGGAAAATACCAAACAATATGTGAGTTGTTTTCCCTCAAACAGTGAAGTATCAAGTCTACTTGCCTAGAGTCTCCATGAAGCTTAAAAAAATGGGTCCATGACCCCATGACCCCCTTGTTTTGGGTAATGACCCCAATTTTTAAGGGTCATTTGGAGACTCCAGGTAGAGATCCCCGCCGTGCCACCATGCTCAGCGCCCTCTCCTTGGGGAAGTGCCGCCACTGGATGATGCGCTCCAACAGCTGACCCTTCCTAGGCTAGAATTAGGACCCCAGCAAAAACAAAACACTTTTTTTTTTGCCTTTTTGCCTGGGGAGTGGAAAACCCAGGGACCCCAAAAAAGCCCCCCCCCCCTCCTCAAAAAAAAAAAACGGCGGGCGGGGGGCCCCCCCCCGGGGAGGAAACGGGGAGAGTCGAAGCTTCGAGGTGGCGCCGGTGGGTTGGGATCCGGTGAGCACGGCCACGTGGGAGCCCACCTGCTGCAGCTCGTCGAACAAGCCGCCCTGCGCCATGGTGGCCACCAAGCAGTCCCCGGGGCTCCGGACCTGCTCCACCCGCTGCCTCGCGGAGAAAAAAGGAGAAAAAAAACACGCGGAAGAAAACACAGGGAAGCACAGAAGCGCGAAAGAATAAACAAACGGTGTTTCTAATAAAAAAGGGGGGGGAAGAACAGAAGAAAAAAAACAAACATGAAAAAAGGGAAAAAAGAAGGAGCGGCCCGAAACCCAAAACCCCAACTCCCCCCCCATATCTCGCTGGCGCCACGGCTAAAAGACCTGCTTTCTTGTGGGTTATGGTCATTGGTCACCTGGACCCTCAAGAATCAAACCAAATATTGGGCTATCCCAAAATTATGATGGGTGAATTATTTCATGGGTAGTTTCAGGGCTGAGGCAGATGCCAAAGGGTTCACCTTGTCAAACAATGGTAACCGGCTTTGGGGGTGTTTGCCCGGGTCAGTCTGCAGGAAAAACACACATTTTCCGGTAGGGAAACAAATGGGAGTGTCTTTGTTTGGCTCTCCAAAGCTACCGCAAAAATCGACCGACCCAAAGTTATGCTAGCGGGACCTTTGAAAAGCCAGTGACGTGTCTCAAACTTGTGGACTCAAAACGGAAGTCTTCCCAAGTTTGAGACCAATTGATGGATGGCTTTCCTTGAGTTTCCCTGAAACTATAAAAAAGCCATCTCCCGAATTAAAACCAGCCAAAAAGGCAAGAGGGGTCCCCAAACCCGTTGACAGAAAAAGGTCTCATTGGCCCGAGTTGCTGGTGGAAGTCATTCAGCGCCACTCCCAAGCGACTCAGCTGGCCCTCATCACAAAGCAGCTCTGGTCGGGCCAACTCTGCGATGTTGGAAGCGTCAACCTGCGTTTGCACCTCAGTGGCTCAACCGAAGCAGACCTCAGGGAAACTCCACTAGGTCCTCCAGTAGAGAGGTTAGAATAAGGGTACCCGATGTTTTTGTTTCCTTCTGTTTTTTTTATCCTTTTTTTTCCTGTAGTCTATTTTAGTAGGGGAACCCTCCCCCAAAAAAGGGTAAAAGGCTAGTAAAAGGGCACTACTGGGAAACCTGGTCCAGTCCCTTCAGAGCTGCCATGCCGTGCCAAAGCCCTGAAATAATTCAAGTGTTGAGCCAAATCGACTGAACAGAGTTCAACTTTGGTGTACACCTGAGCCGAAACCTACACAAAAGCACCCGCGCCAAGACTCAGCTCAACCTTTTCTTCGCCTATAGCTCACAGCTGCATTCCCCATTCCAAGTTGAATAGTTGGCCTCTGGCACCAGTAACCGAGGTGGAAGCTTGCAACCCTAATGCAAGGTGAACATACTTAATCCCTGGGATTCAGCTACCACCATTTAAGCAATGGTTGGGCTCATATTTCACCACCATGGTTTACCCTTCAGAATTCTCATCATCCAAATTGGGGCCGGCCTTGCCTTTCTTTTAAATGGGTGTTGAAGCCTAGGGTAATTGCATGCATATCTATGGTATCAGTCGCAGGTGCATGGAAGTAATATAGCTTTTAGGGCCCTTGATACAGCACGATCAAATGCACGAACCCCTGCATGTCTGTTGGTTATTCATTGCTTCACGCGGAAAGCTGCTTCTGAATTGTGCACGGCATGTTTCTCCAGTTCTGGAAATTAGAAAAAGCCTTCAGGATTAAGGGCAATGGCTTTCCGAATTTGCGTTTCTTATGCCAACTTTCGGTTCCAATTTTGAGAAACAGAACCAACTTCCAGGAGCTAAAATTTGTCGGAAACCCATGAGCTCCTTCGGGTCAACGGTATCCAACCCCCTAGTTCTCCGTTCTTCGCCAGCTTTTGGACCTTGGTTTCTGGCCGAGGTGGAGAAAACAAATGGGGGCGAACACCGCCCTCCCCATTTCGAGGATTTCGATTGGAAAGAAATCGAAATCCGCGAAGCAAATGAGGCCTGCGCTGAAAAGCGAAGGCGGAGCAAAAACAGCCCCGCTACATCCAGACTTTTGAAGCTCACGTCCAAGTCCTTCTTTTCACCCGCTTCCGGCTTTTCTCCAACCAGCTCCTGAAAGTTCCCGTGGTTGCCCCCCTTGAAACATCAGCCCCGAAAAGAGCTCCTGGAAACATGGGCCAAGTTTTTGGGCCAACATGACGAACTCACTTCCTGAGTTGATGGTATAGCAGAAGTCCAATTTTTTGTTTACCACCAAAATGGTCTTGCCAAAAAGTTATAGAGTGCAGGAACTCGGTTAGTGGGTTAAGGAACCGCTCGCTTGGTTTTGTCGGCCCCACGTCGGTGCTGTGCCAATGGCCCTGAAAGAGCTGCCGAGCGCAGCGCCGAAGGAATCGCTCGTCGCTCAGTTCCATGGAGTTGGCCGCTTCAGGCGCTTGAGCCGCCCATCCCCGAGGAAAAAACTATCTTCGCTTCGGACAGCTCTGAGGCACGCGCGGCTGTGCATGGAATTGTTTTTGCCTAGTGGCTCTCTGGCCGTGTCTTTAGACACCCCATATGGAAAGCGGCCACTGTTGTACTCAGATGCCAGTGGAGAAGAAAGGGCATCCTTTTTCGGTTCAGTTTAAAGGGAAACTCTTCCCCAAACAAATCGAAAGGGCGCCACTGGGCAACTGGGTGCACGTTGGTCGACTTTGATTTGCATTTTCCCACCAAGGAAACAAGGGCGCCACGTGATGGTCGCAGGACACATCCAACTGGCCGTAGGCAAATCAGCTAGTATGCCCATAGCATTTCAGGGATCAGCCCATAGCGCCGATTTCGAGGTAGAGGCTCACGAATCCGAGGCTAGCGACTTGGTCAAACGGATGGCTACAGGTAACATGGCATTAAAGCCTTCGATCAACCAGTGGAACCCATCTATTTCTGCCCATTCGAACTGATCAAATGGATGCCTATGAAGCCAAAAAAGGTTGGCAATGCTTGGGCCCCCCAACCTCCAGCGGCCACACCATCCCTTGAATCGATTTCTTTCCGCTGCCCACTGATACCCACTGATTGTTTGAGTTTTCCTTGAACCAACCAAGACGAGTAGTTTCAACGCATTTCACATCCAAATGGCAAAGCAATGATCTCATGGTGGCCATGATTCAAACCCAAATATTAGCCATGATTGGTCAACAAAGCGAAGGGGGCCCTGTGAATCTCAGCCAGTCTGGCCAGGAACAGTAGTTTGCAAGTTAGGGTCTGTCCAGTCACGCAAAGTGGAAGTGTGGAAGTGAAAGCGTGCTTCGGAAGCACGCTTCCAACAAGTCAACGTGTCTGTGTCAACGAGTCATTGTCTTGATGCTGAGTCTGTGGCCTAGGATGCGATGACTGTGGTCTGACTTTGGATCAACGATCTTCGCTCCGCTTCAACCATGGTGCCTAACTATGTCAAATCATGTCAACTCTCGGAATGTGGACAGCAGCTCCCTGAGCGGACCATTGCTTCAACCCATGAGGATTCCTTCGCGGACATCTTGCAAAGCTTGAGACGATTTAAGCGTCGAAACCAGGTTTGCGAAATGGAGCTCGCCTAGGCCCTCCGACCAATTCACATGGAACCGGACGTTCGGGGGCTCCTGGCTTGGAACATTTTCCGGTTCAAGGAACCCCCTAACAGGTTCCATGTGAATTGGTAGGGTAGACGATTGCCCGGACTTTGAACTTGGAACTCGCCAATCTGCCTCCCTAGGTGTGAGACTTGCATCGGTGCAAACATGAGACCCAGGCGACTGCACAACAAATCGAGAACAGTGCAACACCAAGTATAGCGTGCCTTTGAGTATATATATATATATTTATATACACGTCCTTGAAAAGGCATGTAACAAATTTGCAAATATAGACAACCCCATGTACTTGCTTGAGCAGGGCCATCCCACGTTGTAGCCCTCCCTCAACTTGCGAACCTGTCTCCATTGCCCTGCCTTTTGCGCAATGAGGCCTGGCCACGACAACTTGCCATGGCGGGAGAATGGGCTTCACTTGTACGGATTTCGTAATCTGTCGAAACGGAGATGTGAGTCGTGGCTCTCAAAATGGGGGCCCTACTGTGAACCAGCGAAATCCTGCTTTGGTTGGGATCGATCAAACATGAGACAGCCCTGCGGGTAAAACTATGAGGGTTCCCATCTTGCAAGGATGTCAGCATGTCATGATACTGATGATATCCGTAGAGCGTTGCAATCATTCTATCCATGTATCACAAAAGTGCCTTGAACCAGCCCGTGCCTTTCCGTGACCTTGTCTTCAGTGAGACATACCCTCCCTCGCACCAACACGGAAGCTGACAAAACGTATCCCTTCCATGTAAAGCCTGCGCTCGGAAAGCGAAGCCCTCTGAACCTGACGCTGATTGCCGCATGGCGGCTACTTGCGTTGATTGTCATATGCAAGCTGCCGCGTCGTCTCAGCGTCATGTGCTGGTATAACATCGTCTGGGGTGGCACCGCGGCATGACATGACAAAGGATATTCAAAGGGCTCAATGTGTTGGCCCATGTTGTTCATATGGATTCTTGGACGCAGAATGTACCGCAATCCTTTCTGCGAGGCCAAAGTGAAATCTCAGCAGAGTCACAACCAGAAACAGATACTCATGGTTCTGGGAAGACCCCATGCAACAAAGAATCACAAGGGCGGCAACAACTATTTATGTTTGTGACTGTCCACTAATCTTCAATTCCCTGGGTTTTGATTGAATCATGTGTGGTGGGATGTTATTTCTTCCATCTGCGAATACGCCCCCGAAAGAAAAAACAACAAGTGATAGATTCCCCTTTTAAACCAACAGGGGACATGGAACATATGGCTGTGGGTCAAAATAGGTACCCAAAATGGAACCCGGGCAAATGGACACATGGACGATTTAACCTGCACTCCCCTGGGGGTTGAATTTTGACCCATACCCATATTTGTTTTTAGACCCAACAGGGGAAATAGAACATATTCATTTCAGCGAATGGAAGATGTCCCAGCTCCATGCCGTCGGCCTCTGGCGAGAACCGTTGGCTCCGGCATTCGCTGCCGGAGGCCTCCGGCTGCTCGTTTGTTTTGACCATGTTCCGACAATGTGCCCGAAGGACATGGACAACTCTAGGGGTAACTTCCACATTCTTTCCAGGGATCCTTCTTTCTAGACAACCTCCGGAAACCCAGGGGAAATGGTTGGTTTATGCAAAGAACGATGGTTGAGAAGAATGGAATCGGAATCAACCCCTAGAACAATGTGCCCGAAGGACATGGACAACAACTCGCTTGCTTTCTGCTGCCCTGCTAAAAGCTTTAACTCTAGTGGTTTAATGGAAAACCAAGCTGGCAAAAGGTTAAAGTCCTAAATTCCAAGCAAAATGCAACAAAGACAAGTTGCTTCCCCATTCTTTTCAACCATCGTTCTTTTCAAACACCGGCTGTTTCCGCTGGGTGTTTGATGGTTTCCTGAAAAAAAAGATCCCTGGAAAGAATGGAAATGGAAGGTACCCCCAGAACATTGACAACTCTTGGGACCTTGACTCAAAATGGACCATGAGAAAATTCACTGGTCAAAAGGTTGATGCGACAAGTGGATGTTTGCATCAGTTTGCACAGCTGCTTCCTTTTGGCTTCCCATTCGGACTTCAAAAAAGGTCACCTGCAGATTGACCTGGAACCCCTAAAACCATCCGTTTCAAGCATGGCAATCATCGACGCTACCAGCTATGAGGCTATGAGTCTATGAGTATGGTCGCAACAGGCAAGTATCTCGACAATACGGAACAGCTAAAGGCCCGGAAGGGTAACAGTTGGCTGAAAAGCATATATAACAATCCAATACCAACAACTATTCTACCCAAACGCGGCTTGGCTATTGGCTCTGAGACACTCTGAGCTATTGCCACTCGTCCTATCGTCCGCCATCATGTCAGGTCACGCCCAAGAGCAGCGTTCACTTCCAACATTGAGTCACCTACAACCTTATTGGAGCATGCTGATGTCAGGTGTGTCTCAAAATCATGGACCCCCGAAAAAGGGCAGTTGGCTGGCGGTTTGCTCCCAAAAGGGGTTCTCACCCATTCGATCAATCTCAATGGGTTTAACTGAATCAAAGGCGCAGGGCGGCGTATCATTGTTTGCCACCCAAACGGGGGGCCCGGTGTGCGGCCCTTTCTTGGGACATGTGAGAAGCGCCCGTTCCACCCATCAACTGTTGGTTCTACCACCCTGGTTACATGAGGCTTGGGTCTTAATACGCCATCTAAGGCCCCAACCACCGCCCTTTAGGCTACTACCTGCCCCGAATTGTTCTAAAATACATCTTCATTGTATAAGGGTTATGTATCTATTATGATCTATCTTTGTATATCGCATATTATGTACTTCTGCAACCCTAGAACACACATTTCTGCAACCTGCACTCATGTTTTCAACTCGCAGGCTCAATGGGCTCCGATCGCTTGCACCGATCGCTTGATGGGTGTTTTCCGTTGATTTCGGAACCCGTTGGGGTGTCTCTTCTTTTAAGCCACCCCCCTTCCCCCAAACAAAACAACACAAACACACAAGCATTTCTCCCGCCCTCCCCTCCACAAAAAAACAAAACCAACCAGCCAACCAAACAAACAAACAAACACACAAACACAAACAAACACAAAAGCATGGCTTGGGTCCTCATTTTCACTTCCCTAAGACGACAAAAAAAAGGTACCCTCAAACCAAGACGACTCGATCGCCTGTCGCCGGCTTCGCTGCTTCTCCTGGCCGATGAAAAAAAGGGAGAGCGGGTCGATAGAAAATCGCAACCTCCCCCAAATTGACATGGCTGTGGGTCAAAAGCGAACCTCCAGTGTCATGGCTGTTGACAAAATCGCAACCTCCCCCCGTACCCACAGTGAACATCCCAATCCCCACTAAAATAGACTAAAATGGGTGGTGCACCTACCCCAAAATGGTACCATTGGTTTTGACCCACAGCCACATACTCAAAGGGTTGTTGGGTTACAGGCGATTCTACCAGAAAGAAGCTGGTTTTACGGTGTCTTGGGGACATGTCCCGGAGAGTTTCCTGCAACCAAACCCTTTGAAACATACTTAAAGGAGATTCGGTACCCTTGGTTACCTGCTATGCAGGCACACAGAATCAGGAAACACGCAAGACATCCTATGTCACATGATCAGACTATCGTTCCAATGTGCTTCCACATTGTCAAACACGTTCTACCCTCACAGAGTGCTAGAAAGACGTGCAAAGCTGAACATGGTATGTTTAGCACGGTTGGACGATTCAAGGCTAGCCACATCAACCAAGCAAGAGCAGGCAACACGCCTAGCTTCTAGGCTGACATCAGCCTACCCTTGCCCGCGGCATATCACAAGCCTCACACGTCCCGATGGAACCCACAGTGCTCTCTCTCTCTCTCAAGATAGGGGAACCCTTTTGGGCATGGTTCCAACAGGAGACCAAAACCAACCGTTTTCAACCGGAAATCCAACGCATGTTGAGAGACCGTTAACATTTTCACAGCCATCGGCTGTCAGCTTTCCGACTCGATGCGCCCGGCCGACCCGGCCTGATCAGTGAGTCTGCGGAAGACCAACTGAACTTGGTTCCTTGGAGAAGCCCGCTGATTGCCCAGGCCAAAAACCCACTGCTCTGGCAAGAGTGAAGGTTTATATGGTGGTGTCTTTTTTGGAGCGGACCATTTGTTGGATCTGTTTTTAAGGGAAACAAAGGGGGGGTCCCCTAACAACAGGACAGATTCCGCCCCGAAGTTGGCCCAAAACACACACCACACACACACACACATTCGTTTGGGGGATCAAAACGACCTTTCTGGGGGAAGGTGGTGACTCAATGTGTCTCCTGACTCCTCAGTGCATGACACAATAAAACTGAATGTGCACGTAGCCCTGTCAAATTCTACGGAATTCAAAAACGCCTGAGACGAAACTGGATTGAACATATGCTACCTTTCGCAAGGCTCGGTACAAACAAAACCCACCTTCCTTGCCTAGCGACGAAATCAAAGCCTCCCAGAGAAGGTTCAGAAGCGACCTTCTTACAAGGGGTTCCCATCAAAAGGCGCCCGATTCCAAATAGCGACAGCATGCCGTGGCGGGGAAAACAGAGTCCACTGGATGCCTGCCGAAACTGCATCTTGCGACCAAACAGAGCTCTATGCAAACCTAGGTAGCCTCCCTAAAAGTGGGGGGGGGGACCTCTTTGAGGAAAGCGAACACAAAGTAAAGCATCTTGAGTTGAATTCATATCTCAATGGGACTTCCTCCTTTCCGCCTTTTCAACAGGAAGAGCAAAACCAAAACGAGTGGGCCGCAGCTGAGCTGCCCACAAATTCGACAAGTCTGAGCACGCCTCCCAGCCGCTCTTGCCTAGGGCGTGTGGCAAACCCATGCATTCAAATCAGATCAAATGAGTAGCGCCGAAATTGGTTGGCTTTGGATTCTAGCAGCATAACTATACGGTTTATGTTGGCCTGATTATAGTGCCCATTGAGCCAAGGTAGTAGAACCCCATACGAAAACAAACACGGCCAAAGGGGGAAAATGCATGGGGTTGTCTCCAAACGTGGCAAGAATCATAGGCAAGGTGTTTTTTTCTTGAGGGAACCTTTTTTTTGGGGTTGGTCTTAAAGGAAACTAGAAGGAAACTTTTTTTTTTAACGGGGGGGGGGGGCTCAAAAGACAGACTCATATCTTGGACTTGATCACTTGGAGCAAACTAGAAACGGGGTTGGTGGGTGCTTGGATCCAAAAGAGTAGCATACCGGGCGAAGCGGTAAATCAAATCGGGAAAGCCGAGCACCCTTCATTGGTTGTGATTGGTGATTTGGGAGGTTGAACCTCTGCTTCGTGTAGAGGTGAAATGGGAAGGTTACAGATATGATTTTGTGCTGGCAAAGGCCAGCCTAAGGGAGATGAGTCGATGATTCGCAAAGGGTACCACCCCAAGCCTGCTTGCCCGCAGTTGGTGGTTTGGATTGTTTTCTGCTTCTTCTTCTTTTTGCGGGGGTTGAACCTCTGGTTCTTGTAGAATGGGAGGTTTTCCCGGTGACCTCCAACAAAGGAAGCTTTACTCCCTGAGTTCCTGGGCTTGCCTTTTTTGGTTTTGGTTCATTTTAGTGGTAAACACCACAGTGCCTGGGTTGCCTTTGACTGATCCACTTAGGAAGTAAGTCCCTTAACGGTAACGGGTGGTGACTGACCTCTTACCTGACCCCTCCAAAAGTGATCATTCCCCCCCCCCAAACCCAGGGACAATTGCTAGTAACAAACTGGGGTTGACTAATATGGGGTCCACATTACCTACACCCACAGACACCAAACCGCACCACACCACACATAACCACCCACTCACCCACTCACCCACCCAAGCACCTACGCTCTTATCTTCAAGGAAATCACCGATTTTGCTTTCAAGTTCGCCACCAGCACTGTGTCTTCCTGATCCATGTTCCCGTGTTGTGAGTTGGCCCATTGCGTTCTTTGGCAACCTGGATACAGTCTTACTCCGAATTCCTTGGATGAAAGGAACACATAACGGAAACGGTTCACCGATGTCCTTGCCCTTTGGGTTGGGACACCTTCGTAAGGGCGGCCATGAAAAGACACAATCTCGCCATTTTGGCAAGTTGGTTTCAGATCAACGGAAATCATCCCACCATAAACAGGGGCAGGAGCAGTCCCATGTCTTCCCCTATCTGCGCAAGAAACCTTTGGAATACGGAGGAAATGTGGAGGTCTCCCATGAATCGAACGGAAAAGGATGATTAGGCCATTCAGCTTCCCGGCCGTTCAGCTTCACCAACTCGTCCCCGCGCTGCAGGAAGTCTTCGCCCTTGTCTTGGCGTTCCTGCGGTTTAAGGTCCACCGGCAGAGAATGGTCTGTGTCAAGCTGTAAGACGGGTTCACCAAATGTTTCCGGCTAGCTGCTGTTTGTCCGGCTGGAAAAGCAACCCTTAAGACTATGCATGAAAAACAAGCTGTCGAAATGTTGCTTTTGCTTATGTTTGTTGACAGAAAATCACTTCTGTGTTTGTGCTTTGTCCATGGTTGGGGATTGTGGGGAACCAAACGTTGCCGTCTTCAAGGTGCCGGAAATGGGAGAGTTGTTCTTGTTTTCCTTGGTCCAAGCCCAACGCGGGCCCCACGGAATGTAGTGGCAAGAAGTCGGAGGGGGGTCGGGGGGTGAGGGGGGGGGGAAGGACAGTCTTATGGAGGGTGGAATTACATCAGTCAATATTTTGAGAGGGTATTGTTTTTGGCTGCAACCAAACGAAAAACCTCATGTTGAACCATTCCCCCCCTGTTTTAAGACACACGCCACACGGCTTATGCACAGCTGATCCAACTTTCAAGGCCTTTTGCCCGCGAAACCGACACCGAATCAGCCAGACTTCTACGCGGCCAACGGTTTGCTGGGAACGCACTTCAGGAAAACTTCAAATGGAAAGACGGCAATCCGAATCTGGTTCGTCACAAAAACATGGTATCAAAATGGTCTACAATAATCTAAAGAATCTTCCAAAGGCCGGCTGCCTGGATTGCCCCCAATCAAAAGTTGATCATTTTTGACGGGTGGTTTCCATTGAAATCGCCACAGGATCGCTTGCTCAGAAACGCGGCACCGCATGGTTGAGCAAACCATACGAAACATCTGGGTCTATCTTTTTGGAGGGTCCTCTTCTTAGTTTTGGAATGGAAACCAACAGGACAACCACATTTTGGGGGGTCCCCCAAAGAAGGCAAAAGCCACCTGCTTGGCTTTATGGCTGTTGAAGGGACGCCAAAAAAGGGAAACCAAAGCCAGGCGCGAGATCCGTGCCTGGTTCCAAAGCCCCACCGGACTTTGTGGTACGACCGCCTGTCGGATGGAAAGCGATCAAGTCGCCTTCCCGGTTTCACGGAAGCTCCCACGAGAAAAGGACCCGCCTGCTCGCTTTCTTGATGGCCTGAGAAGTTTATAATCCTCGTAAATGGGAGTGGTTGAGTGACCCCGGTAATCGAACCGAGGCCAAGATTGAACTGTTCGAACAAAAGCCAACCAAGAACCAAGGGGCCGAATTCCCACCGGCTCCGCTGCCAGGTCACCATAATTTGCCTAGAAGCCAACAGTGCGGGTGGTTGAAAAATCATTCTCCTGACAGTGGGTCTCAAATGAGATGAGTCAACGCCATAAGTGCTATGATTCGCAACGGTCACTGGATGTCCTCTCCAAAAGTTGATCAATTTACTGGTGGTGTCCATTGAAACCTCACTTTTGGAGGTCCAGACAAGGTAAATGAAGGAACGACACAAACGGTTTTCAATTATGCTGCATGGTCACTGGTCCACAGTCCAGTCCCGCCAGTGAACAATTGCATAATGACTGGCTAGAGCCTTCAAGGCTCCATGTTGAACTGTGAACTGTTTCAAAATATCCCTTCCGCAGTTGCAAGGCCAAAAACAGTCCAAACTGTTCGTTTGCCACTGGAATGGTCTTCCCAACAAGCCCAGAGTCCAGGAACACAGGGAGCGAGAAGTCATGCCCGACACCATGCAAGGAATCGAAGGGGCGCCCGCCCGCTTTCCGACAATCATGCAAGCGAACAGGAGAGCTGAGTAAAGGTTGCTGTCCTCTTAAACAGGCCGGTTGTCCACTTCCATTGTTGGCAAGGAAAAAGTAACGATTCTGCCAGGTTCCGATTCTTGCTGTGGCAGGTGAGGTAAGCCTATGAGTCAATCAATGAATCAAGGACTGGGTTGCCCTTGAGGCAAAAAAGACCACCCCATAAGGGGATCACCCTCGATCAAGTATCTGTAAGGTCGAATTGTTTTTCTTTTTTTTTTTGCCTTCCGGCGCCCTTTCGCGAAACTTACGCTTTCTTTCGCGCCCACAGTGGGGCGCACATGGTCGACAACCCTCGGTCGACAACACCACTAAAGCCATGCGCCAAAAGCCTGCTTTGGGAACCAACAACCCAACCCGAATGCTATTTTCCAATGCCCAGTGCCCAAAACAGGTTTTGGAGGTGCCTGGTCTGTATTCTCAAGGAAAAGACTCGATTGAAACTTCCGCCCCTTGGCCTGCAAACCAACCCGGAACCTGCCCAAATGTTATTTTCCAGTGCCAAAAACAGGTTTTGGAGGTGCCTAGTCTGTGTTCTCAAGGAAAAGACTCGTTTGGACACTTTCCGCCCCTTGGCCTGCAAACCAACCCAAAACCTGCCCAAATGTTATTTTCCAGTGCCCAAAACAGCTTTTGGAGGTGCCTGGTCTGTATTCTCAAGGAAAAGACTCGTTTGGACACTTTCCGCCCCTTGGCCTGCAAACCAACCCGCAACCTGCCCAAATGTTATTTTCCAGTGCCAAAAACAGGTTTTGGAGGTGCCTAGTCTGTGTTCTCAAGGAAAAGACTCGTTTGGACACTTTCCGCCCCTTGGCCTGCAAACCAACCCGGAAGTTGCCCAAATAATATTTTCCAGTGCCCAAAACAAGTTTTGGGGGCTCCCTAGTCTGTACCCTGAAGGAAAAGACCATTTGGACACTTTCGGCCCCTTGGCCTGCAAACCAACCCAAAACCTGCCCAAATGTTATTTTCCAGCGCCCAAAGCAAGTTTTGGGGGCTCTCTAGTCTGTACCCTCAAGGAAAAGACTCATTTCGACACTTTTGGCTTGTTGATATTATTTTCCATTGCCCAAAGGGTCTGTATTCTCATCCGTCCATCCACACACCTATACATCCACCCACCCCCCATCCACCATCCATCCATCCATCCATCCATCCATCCATCCACCATCCATCCATCCATCCATCCACACATCCACACATCTTGAAGGAAAAGACTCATTTGGACACTTTTGGCGGGTCACTGCCCAAATGTTATTTTCCAGTGCCCAAAACGGTGCCTTCTTAAGGAAAAGACTCATTTGGACACTTTTGGCTGGTCACTGCCCAAATGTTATTTTCCAGCGCCCAAAACAAGTTTCGGGGGTGTACCCTCAAGGAAAAGACTCTTCGGCCCCTTGGCCTGCAAACCAACCCAGAACCTGCCCAAATGTTATTTTCCAGTCTTGAAAACAGGTTTTGGGGGTGCCCTGGTCTGCATTCTCAAGGAAAGACTAACCTGCCCAAATGTTATTTTCCAATGCCAAAAAACAGGTTTTGGGGGTGCCCTGGTTGGAATCTTGTGGACCAACCCCGAAACGCCCAAATGTTATTTGGCCTTGGCCGAAATAGCTTTTGGGCAACCCCCAACAACGGCATACCAACATGCAGGCGCGAGGAGCACATATGGCAGAAACAACAGTCCAAAAGCTATTTCTACAGCATTGAAAAATGTTCACACCATTCAGAGTGCTAAATCAGCATCCTTTATCATCATTGTGGCCAGCCCTTTCGCCAAACCTTCCGGCGCCCACTCGCGACCTTTCGCGCGCGCAGCGCCCGAACACATGAATATGCTCCTTACTAAACTTTTACACATGGGTTTGTGACCGTCGCCCAAGTGGGTGTGCAAAAGGCGAGTAGTTCTCAACGTGAACACGTTGGTTTCCAAGAGGAAAACCACCCATCGCCGGGGTCCCCAAAAAAGAGATATTCTTGTCATAGGTTAGTTAACCCCCCCCCCCCGTATCCCCCCCTCCCAAATGTCAAAATATCAGTAAGACTCACCGAGTGTTGCTGAGCCGACATTATAATCCCATATGCAACAATAGCTCGAAAGAAGGAACCGACCCCTCTTTTCGTTGGTTATTCCCCCATTTGCGGTGGCTGATTTCCAGTAGTGATAGCTTACCTTTGAAACCAACAGGGGAATACAAAACACCCTCACTTCAGCAAATGGAAGATTTTGAAGGGGACACCCACCCCAACCAAACACAACGTCATCGGAGGTCCTTTCCACCGAGTTTCTGCAGTCGAGGCCTCAATGACGCGGGTCTTTTTCTCGAAACACTTCCGATCCTGGCAGTCTGGCGTCTGGTCAAGGGACTTTTTGTACCAACATTGTTGTATTAAACTTTTGTGGGCTGGGGCAAAGTTTGCCCGAGGCTGGGAAGAGCTCGTCTGTAACAGACTCGAGAGTTGTTTGGCGCAGTCAGGGAGCTGTGGTATTTGGGTGGAAAAATGTTGCCTTTGAGGATTCCCCTTTTAGGTTGGATTGAAAAGGAAACCAACATGAACACACACCATGTTTGGATCCCCTGTTTTGCAAGCCTTGTCACCAGGAAGTAGAAGCTTAAATGATATGTCCAACCCGTGGCATGGTACCAGCAAACTCTTTTTTTGCAGCCCCCTACGAAAAATGAACGGACCAAAACAAAACAAACAACTCGCCAACAACAGTGAGGCGATAACTTAAATGGCCCAGGGTGTTGGGCGCCCAACTGGATGAGGAGTGTTTCGCAACGGAACTGGACCACTCCGCGAATGAAGAACTGTGCCCCGGGACTCAAGCATACATCCTTATGAATCACTTACATACCTCTTACATAGGTTGCTAACCCCAGTGTGAAGGGGAAATGTGCTTGGGCACGTACTCAGCGGCACATGTTTAGTCCAGTTGACTGCCGATGGCTTGTTTCCCTTTGGTGTCCTTGAAACATCCAACAAAGGGTTCCCCACTCTCAGAAACCAACTGACTCAACTAGCTCTCAGAACAATGTCTGGCGGATTGGGAGAATGTGTCCGCTTACAATTCTGAAGCGGGATTCAGCTTTATGCTGCTCATTGCAATCAAACTCGCAGGGGTTGGACAATCACAACATCCAGTATCTCCCAACAACTGCCTCTTCTCATGTCCAAAATCCCAAGTACGGTAACCAGAAAGCACTAGTTGGGGGCTGCTGGATTGGACATCCAAGTTTCTTCACCCGATTTTGGCATTGAAGCCACGCACACACACGCCACAAGCCGAAGCAGGAGGGGTGCGCCCACAGCAGGCCCCAGGACGGCTGAGTGGAATCTCGCTGGAGCGATACCTGGCAGCCGGATTTCGAGAGGAGGATTTGCCTCAACCTGCGGCCGCTTGGTGTTCCGTGGTGGTTTCCCATTGATCCAGGGGTTGATTCCCCGCTGGTTTCCACCATCGGTTTTTTCAACGACCAACTTAACCAACTGTCTCCCCTGGGATGTTTGCTGAAATGGTTTCCTGAAAAGAAGGATGCCTGGAAAGAATAGGGAAGCTTCCCCTAAAACTTACCCACAAGAACCAGGGGTCGAGAGTAGCCACACACAGACACACACCTAAATGTTAACCCCGGATTAATAAACCCCTAGTTGATTAATAGGGGGGGTGTCCCCTTTTAGTGGGGATTCAGACCACTTTTGGTTGGAACACCCCCGAATAGGACGGGTTCTACTTAGATCCTGGGTCAACATGACTGGCCTTACTTGGGCTTTGGCCTTCATTCACTAGGTCCTCCAGCAGCGAGGTTAAAATAAGGGTACCAACTTTTTACTGCAGTGATTTTTGGTAAGGGAACCCTCCCCCAAAAAAGAAACGGTAAAAGGGTACTTTGGGGGACCTGGTTCATAACTCTTGACCCTTCGCTCTTGACCGCTCTTTCGCTCGAGGCGATGGCCTCGATCTTTGTCACGCTGACTCTGCAGCAGCACTCAAGAATGTCTGACTTGGAGATATTTGTTTTTAGGCACGTCACGTGACAGCTTCAGTGGTTCCCAAAAACCGGCAAGAGATCCACCTCTTGGGCTTGCACTTCATGTTGTTTTTTCCGTTCGGTTGCAAAAAGGGGCTCGTCTATCACTATCCATTTGCGAATACGTCCCCTGGACAAAATGAGAAAGTATGTCCAGTAGTGAAATTGCTTCCCTTTCAAGCCACCAGGGAAGATAAACTCAACATGCATTCCAGCAAGTGGAAGCTGTGCAATCAAGCGAGCAAAGGCGGGGATGTAACCCAATGGATGAACAAAGACAAATAAGGTCCGGGGTTCAGCTATCATTCATCCAATTCGGGACAACCTTTCTTTCAATGGGGGTTGAACCCTCGGGGTTGGGCTTCTGGTATCCCCGCGGTGCATGTGCCAAACACGAGCAAGAAGACTGAGCAAAAGCTTGACTGCCGCCCTAGTCCCCACACATGCTAGCCGCTAGCCTGAAAAACCAGGCGTAACCCCCGGCCAACATGGCCATGAGCCATGATGCTTTGCTCAAAACAGACCCTGGGCGCTCTCATTTTCTGGGCTCCTGGTTGGAAGCTCCCCCGCCGATGCGCCTCCAGTAGCCTGCCGCAGGGCTCTTCCCTGGCCGGAATCACATCCGCATGGTCTGGGGGCAAAGGCATAGTATTGTTCTGCAACTGTTGTAATAATTCGAAAATATGAATTCAGGGATCCTCAAGTAAAGGACCTTTACCATGGTGAGCTCGGTATATTCGCAGGTCAGCTCCCTATAAAATAGGCAGGAGAGTGTTCGGTCGAAAACGACCCAAACATGCTGGCCACATACCACTATCAAACGCCCCCCCCCCCCGAGGTACGGTTAAACGGAAACAACCAATTCTTGGTTGCTTTCTGCTCCCCTGCTAAATGTTCGACTTTTAGTGCTTAAATGGAAAACCCGTCGGTTGGCAAAAAGTTAAAGTCCTGACATCCAAGCAAAATGCACCAATGAACTCCAGTTGCCCACTTTGATAAACCCAAAACACCGCCCCCCCACCCCACGGCAACCAGGAGCACCCTGAACAAACGCCTTAGGTCGCTAAAATCGGCCGTGGAGAATCTGCAAACAAAAAATGGGGGCCCTTGACAATTTGAATCAACGGGTTCTGAAAGCATCCTGCCCTCCTTGCAATCTTGGGGTACCCGGAGTGGTCATATAATGCCCTAAAAGAGTGGGGCCCCAAAATGTCGCTACAAGGAATATCCTAATCTTTATGATTTTGGCCTGCGCGAAAATGAGATGACAAGGGCACCAGTGAAATACCGCTGTTTCTAGCTATACCATCTCTAGCTTCTGAACACAAGGCTTGGTGAAGAGGAATCAAACCCGTCACCGACATGTGCACACACACACAACCTCTTTCTGCCACCTCGAAATTCGAGTTTTACTCTCTGACAAGAGTTAATTCGAGATTTTGGTGTGCGCGGTGGAACAAATGGGTGTCTTTTGTTAGGAACCCCCAGATAGTGGTTGCCCCTTGGCATTGTCCCTTTCCCCCCAAAAGTGTAGCCTCGTTAAAGAATAATTATAAATAAAAAAAAGGGGAGAAAAGGGCCACCCATGCATTTACCTCGTTCGTCCGATGGACTGACTGGTACACCAAACCTGTCAGCTGCACATCTCCTCTTTTTCTTTCCGCAATCGACCTTCCGCACTCCTGGCAGCTTCGCAGCGAAACAAATGTTGTTCAACCACAAAAAAGGGGTACCCTCCCACCAATTAACATGGAACCTCACGTTTCGGGGGTCCTGGTTTGGACCATTTTCCTTTGAAGGAACCCCCTGTCAGGGTCCGTTTCAATTGTTGCGAGGGTACACAAAGTCATACTTTCAGACCGTCTGAAAGTATGAGTTTGACTTTCAGAGTCTGTTTTATCCTACACACAGTGGATCCCAGTTGCCCTTATTGTAGGTAGCCAGCCCATTTTCCATTTGGTTTTTAAAGGGTGGTTCCCCGGCTATCTACTGTACAGGCACATGGGTCCACGGGAGTAGTTTTTGAGGCCCCAACAGCACATAGATGCAAAGAGTTATTTTGGAACTCCCGGGTCGCATTCTTTGGCGAAAGAAACCATGTTGGTCGAATTCGATGCGAAATTTATGGGAGGTGCTCTCTGGGGATTCACGGATTCGTGGAACGAATTCTTGGGCTACATGTTGGAGAGGAGCGCCCTGATTACTTGGTTGACGTTGGAAGGGGAGCAAAAACTTATTATTGCAATTAAGTGGGGATTTCCCACTAAACCACAATAAACACAAATGTACAATGTTTGCCATCAAGAACCATGAATTATATCAGTTGATTATCTTGCCACAACCGGTAAGACATGGACTGGACCCGAAAACTGATACCTATTAACCTGCAAAACCAAGGAAGAACCACCCAAAACAAGATGTCTAACCTGTTTGTTGCGCACGAGATCCCCCAATGCACAAGTTGGAACTGACTGAGCCTAGCATCCCGGCTTGAAGTCCAGTCATTGCTGTGTGGCAAGGGAGCTTAAGGGTAGATTCCTTTGCCGGAGTACTCACCTACGCGGAAACCCAACATCTCTCATTTTGGATGACCCCTTCAAGTTGCAGGAGCGTGAAGGGGTACTCGCCAAAACCCCGTGTGAGTTGTACATGCAAAGCATATTCAGAAGTTTCTGCCCGTGGCATGGACGCGCAAGTGCTTCATAGTGTCTTGGTGATTGTTTCCCATCGGTCGGTCACAGGGATGCTAACTAGAAATTAGGTGATCTTTGCCAAGGGCTACCCTCAAAGCATGGACCAATGATCATCTTCCATTTGGTTCAGACCCCTGGAAAAAATCAAGTTGTGATAAATTCATTATAAAACCAACAAGGAAAAACATCTTAAGCAAATGTAAGTCATGTGTGCCATAGAAAAAAAACATCTGCCATGGGGTTAGGGATGGGCATGGACTCCTTTACACGGGATTTAGACATCCATTGCCAGGATTCCTTTCCAAAGGAACCATGACTATGACACACAGATCTGGAGTTTCTAACCTGGCACACGTGACCGTGCCATGAACACTTGCAAGGGTCTTGTCAGTGTACCCCGCACTTCCTAGCAACATTCCAGCTACGTTTTGTCCAATCCAGCGCTACTTTCAGGCGTGTTGGCACTCCCTGAATCCAAAGAACAGCCAAATCGTGGCATCTAAGTCAAGGTTGATCAACTGCTGCTTCACTGACCAACAAGGCGAATCATGCGTCTATGGTCATTTGTGTGTGTGTGTGTGGGTCGTGGCCATGGCTCTTGCATACTGGTCACACTAAGTGTGGCCATGTAGAAGTATCCTCACTTGTTTCTTCGTCTTTCTGGCAAAGCAGCGCCTTCGTTTGATGCCCGCACCATGCGTATCTATGAGATGACACGAGCATCCTCACATCCTAAGTGCACATCCCTTCAAGAGCACCCAGCCGCGCCTGGCCGAGTTGGGACCCTCCTGCCGAAACTCTCCGATGGAAGATCTTGTTTTGGGGGAAGAAAGGGTAGGGTCCGACTTGCAAGTGGCTTTGGGCTTCCCAAACTTCCCAAGGAAGGTCTAGGTGCCCAGATTTCTCCGTTGCAAAGATTAGTCCCAGGATGCTAAACCTCAAAGGAAGTCGGTCCTGGCAAAACCCTCGAAATCATGACCGGTTTTGGAACCGTGCTTTTTTGTTCTGGCAAAAGGTATCCCTGGGGTTCAAATACCACCATTAAAACCATGGTTGGGTTCATACACATCATGATTTAACGTTCAGGATTGTCATCATCCAATTTGGGTCAACCGTTCTTTTAATGGGGTTGAACCCTAGGGGTAAGACAATTCTCGGGGTTCCCTGAAACACACGGATTCCCTCATTTTGAGCAGGTCTCCTTGGAAGACGTACCAACGCGTGTTCAATGACTGGGCGCACGTGTCCGCAATGTGAGGGCGGCAAATGATACCTGTCGACCCAACTTTAGCAAGCCGAGTGGCGCTCTTGTTCATAGCAACAAATACAACAATGTGGCAAGTCTGGTAGCAGGAAGAAAAAGGCACGTGTTGCCGGGTGGGGGCTGGGGAAGGGGGAGGGTTAACTGTATGCATATCAGCAAGTTGTATTTTTCTGCTTTCCCATTGCCTGCTTACCTGAAAAAGTAAATACATCAAGCCCCAGCATGTCAGGGCAAGAGCCAAATATGCTGATGTTCAGGCGTTCAAGCCTTGCGTGTCTTGATGCGGCGAATTAACTCATCAGCTCGAGGTACCAGGGAAACACTGGCATTCTTGCGCGCAAAGCAACACTCAGAGCCGGCCATGACGAAGATACGGACTGTGTTCCCAAAAGCAGGCATAGCTCTTCCGCAGAAGAGGTCATGTTGCAACTCCAGTGCGGAAAGGCTTGGGTTGCATCAACGCCGTGCAAAGTATATACAGTGTTTTGTACTGAGGTCCTTAACCCAAAAGTCAGGGGCACAAGTCGTCTTGGCTGTTCCCGGATCCCCTGCTAAAAGTCTAATTAAAAAGGTTCAACGATCACCAAACCCGAACAAATCCTGAACAAAACTTCAGGAACCAGCTGGCACAAGATTTGTCGAGGAAACTCTTGGGAATGGACCCCCCTTTGTTAACTAGGGAGTACTGAGCCTCAATGTGGAACCGGATGCCCGGTGGAACCACATGTTTCTCTGAGAAACGCGAGCGGGACTGGCTGTGACTCTCCTCGATCACTGCCAGCGCTGGCTCTGGACTTCGCCTCGGCACAAAAAAAAGGCATGCTGCTTCGATACGGTAATGAGAAATGGAATGACACTAACAAAATGGAATGACCCGAAAAAAAGAGAGGAACAAACCCGTAAAAAAAGAAACATGGAATGACCCCCGCAAAAAAAAATGGAAAGACCCCCGAGAAAGAAAAAGGAATGACCCCCGAAAAAGAAAAAGGAATGACCCCCCGAAAAATGAAATGACCCCCGAAAAAAATGGAATGACCCCGAACAAAAAGAAGGAAACTAACCTGTAGAAAAAGAAACATGGAATGACCCCCGAAAAAGAAAATGGAATTGACCTTAGGACCAACGTGGGCGTGTTTATTTCAGAGTTCTGTTTTTTAGGAGAAACTATTTGAAACTATTTATAAAAATCCCAGAAACTATTTGAGACTATTTATAAGAATCCCAGACTGTTTGAGACTATTTATCTTTTTTAAAAAAGCCTAGAAACTGTTTGAGACCATTTATAGAAACACAGCAAGAAACTGTTTTGAGACTATTTGTAAAAAAGAAGCAGGCAACCGTTGGTGTATGTGCAAAAGTAAGGGCCTTATTTGAGCAAGAAGGCAGACAAATGGACACTGTCTATAACCATGTTTTAGGCACTGGGCGCTTCTGGACCTTTGGGTCCAAAAACAAATAGAACTTACCTCAACAAACGGAAACTAGTTGAAATTATTTCTTTAAATTTAGGAAACTATTTGAAACTATTTGTAAATTGCAGGAAACTATTCGAGACTATTCTTACAATTCCTGGGCAATACTTGAAACATTGTTGTTTTCTTAATGTTGGTATTTGAAACTATTGATAAATGTTTAGTAAGCTCTCCGAAACTAGTTATAAACCGACGTCTGAAAGCTATCTGAAACCGATCATAAACAAATGAGTTAACTACGTTGAAAGATGCACAAACTACTTCTGAAATTTGGAGAAGCTATTCGGAGCCAGTTTCGAAGGTTGTGCGTTTATTCACATGTATCATTTGGTATTCCCATTGGTATTCCCAAACAGCAAGGGAATACTGAGTACAGCGACAGCAAGGAAGTAAATTGCCTTGAGCCGCCCAGTTCTGCAATTCTTTGCCTTGACAGTGTGAGCTCAAGCTGTTTCCGCAATGGGGGGGGGGCAGAAGCTTAAGTGTCATGTCTGCGCTGGTTGTTAGCATTATTTCGGAAGCGGGTTGAGCGGCAAGGGGCCTTGCCCAATTGAACGATTTGCGAGGACGGGTGGGCGCAGACGGTTCGTCAGCATTGAACTAACCATTCTACACGGCACAGCTGCCACACATTGTAGTTTGTGTGTGTTGCTGGTGGCAAGTCGAAAAAACGAAGAAGATCGCAAACCCACTGAGCTGTTGTCTTCTGAAGGATGTGCAGCTGAGCACATCGCGATGCGGCGTGCTGCGCGGCACGCAGAAAAAGCCTGTGGCAATTGTGTCAACCAGAAGCGGCAGGCGCTTGCAGTAAGCTTCAAGTTGGCGGCCCGCCGTGAACGCAATCGGCGGAAAGGAGGTTGTTTGGTGGCTGCGCGAGTAGGTGATGTCTCATCATGCAGGTTTCGCTGGGCGTTGCCGTCGGTGGCCGAACCTACGCCCAGCAACATCCTGACAGAGACGCTGCTTCCAAAACAACGCCTCTGTACAGAATGTTGTAGATTTCGTTAACTGGCGTCAAGTGTGTAAGGTGATGTGATGCGCCCGAGGGCATGCTTTCTTTGACTTTTGGTTGCGCAGGTATCCAAATGGTGCTACGCAATGGTTATGGTACAAAAAAGAGGTTATGTTCTGCCTCTGGATTCGGATCCCGGCCAGGCGTCCAATTAGTTGGCCAATACAAAGGCCGTTTGTTTGCGAGTGATCTGGTTGCGGACTTGTAGCGTGACTGGATGCCCATCTAGGCAAACCTAACTGCAACATGATGGAACTAAGAGCCGCCGCCGTTGTTGCGGACTAACGTGTTGCGTGGCAACTTCCTCTACTTGTGCTTGCCCTAGCGTTGAATCACTGAGAGTTGGTCTTGCGCTGTTGGCAGTCTTCACGCAGCTCACAGAGCCCTAAGCCAAGCTGGGATGGGGAAAGGTCAGGAGGCGGGCCGCCAGCTTACTGCGAACGCCCCGGCGGCCCGCGGAGTCGCGCCGGCCACCCGTAGTCCGAAAGGCTATGCAGAGCGTTGAAAGCTGGCTGCACGCTGGCCCAACGTAAAAGCCGCGTTAACTTTGCCCTGGGCGGCCGGGGGAGTGGCTCGGGCGGACTGACGGTGTCAAGTGGGGTGTGAGGGGACCGGTCGTGGACTGACGGGGACGGGCCGGGGACTGACGGGGACAGCCGTGGACTGACGGGTGTGTGGGCTCACGCAACACCTCACTTAAAAAAGAAGTGGAAACTATTTCTAAATTGTGCCGAAACTATTTGAGACTATTTATAAAATTTCGAGAAACTATTCGAAACCACTTCTAAATTTGCTGACTTTTTCAAAGACCGCAGATCTTTGGCTGGGGCCCAGAGACTTGGGTCGTAGCCTGGGTTGGCAGGGCGGCGATCATTCCCCGCAGGCCCGCCCTGCAGAACCCGCCTCATCCCACCCCCCGGCCCGGCCAGCCCGCCCAAGCCCAAAAGCGGATTTGCCAAGCTGGCGAAGGAGGCGGGGCTCGGGCTCTCGAACTTGCGCTGCACCTAGTGGGTGAATGCCCTGGCAACGCCCCAGGTTCTTCATGGTCGGGCGTGCTGCTTCAAAAAAGACACAAACCGCTGCGATCTGTTGCAACACTTCACTCCTGCTTTGAGAGTCGCCCCAAGCCTTTTCAAGCCATTGCCTGGTTTTTCCAGATCCTGTTTTAGAAATAGTCTCAAACCGTCCCGAACCGTTTCCCGCTATTTCTAGATCCTGTTTTAGAAATAGTCCCAAACCGTCCCGGACCGTTTCACGCTATTTCTAGATCCTGTTTTAGAAATAGTCCTAAACCGTCCCAAACCGTTTTCCGCTACTTCTAAGTCTTGTTTTAGAAGTAGTCCCAGACCGTTTCAAACCGCTTCCCGCTATTTCTAAAACGATTTTAGAAATAGTTCCAAACCGTTCGAAACCGTTTCCCGCTATTTGTAAGCATTGGGCTGCCCAGAGCCACTTTTCGCTTCGCATAGTCTCAAATAGTTCCAAATAGTTTCAAATAGTTTTGCATAGTTTCCGGCTTCAGCATGCTTACAAATGGTCGCAAACCGTCCCAAACCGTTCCCCGCTATTTTTAAAATCTTTTTAGAAATAGTTCCAAACCGTCCCGAACCGTTTCTTGCTATTTCTAAACACATGTTTAGAAATAGTCCCAAACCGTTTCGAACCGCTTCCGGCTGTTTCTAAAATCCTTTTTAGAAATAGTCCCAAACCGTCCCGAACCGTTTCCCGCTATGTCTAAAACCTGTTCTAGAAATAGTCCCAAACCGTCCCGAACCGTTTCCCGCTATGTCTAAAACTTGTTTTAGTTTGAGATAGCCCCAGACCGTCCCTAACTGTTTCATGCTGTTACAAACTCCTGCTTTAGACAGCCCGTTTGGCGCCATGTCTAAAAGTGCCTTGGCGTTGTTGCCACCAGCGCCAACGCAGATTTCTCTATCAGCCAACATGTGGCTTGAACATGTTTTCCAACGGGTCAGGTTGTGTTGCGCAGCTGCTGTTGCAATTCTGGGCCTGCTTGTCTTGACCGGTGTGATGGGGTGAGCTTTCAGGCGCGTCGTGCTTTCGCTACGAATTGCAAGCAATGGTGTCAGGGGGGCCAAGAATCAGCTGCGCCTCAGCCTTCTCTTGCAACTTCTGCGCGCCTTTGTTTGCGAAAGGATGAAGTTTCCTCGGAGTTAGAAACAGCCTCATTGCAGCTCCCTATGATTTGTTGTTGGGAGCCATCGCAGTTTTCTTTGATGTACGAATAGTCTCACGTAACTGCTTTTTTGATTCAAGAGTAGTCTCACATAGTTTCCCTTTAACTCATAAATAGTCTCACATAGCGTCCCTTTGATTTGTACGTAGTCTCACATAGTTTCCCTTTGATTTATATGCGGTGTCACATAGATTCTCCTTGACTTAAAAATAGCCTCTTGTAGTTTCCAACTAGTCTCCTGTAGTTTCCTTTGATTTAAAAATAGTCTTGTGTAGTTTCCCTTTGATCTGTAAGTACTCTCACAAAGCTTCTTTGTTATTTATAAATAGTCCTACATAGCTTCTCCTTGACTCATAAATAATATCATAGCTTCTCTTTCATGTAGAAATACTCTCAAATAGTTTGTCTATTATTTTTAAATCGTCTCACGTAGTTTGTCTTTTATTTATACAGAGTCTCAGATAGCTTCTCGATCATTTATCAATAGTCTCAAATAGCTTCTCAATTATTTATAAACAGTCTCAAATAGTCCCTGCCCTTGCCCCCTTGCCAACAGATAAACAGGCCGACGTTAGTCCACAAAAAAGGAATGACCCCCGAAACAAAAAATGGAATGATTCTATTTTTTGTTTCGGGGGTCATTCCATTTCCTTTTTCGTGGGTCAATTCCATTTTCTTTTTCGGGGGTCATTCCCCGAAAAAAATGGAATGACCCCGAAAAAATGGAAGGACCCGGAAAAAATGGAGTGACCCCCGAAAAAGAAAAAGGAATGATCCCCCGAAAAATGGAATGGCCCCCCTCCCAAAAAAATGGAATGACCCCCGCAAAAGAAAATGGAATGACCCCCAAAAAGATGGAATGACCCTCGAAACAAGTGCAATGACCGCCCCCAAAAAATGAAATGTCCCCCGAAACAAAAAATGGAATGATTACTGAAAAAATCGAATGACCCCGAAAAACATGGAATGACCCCCAAAAACAAAAAATGGAATGTCCCCGAAACAATTGGAATGACTCCCGCAACAGAAAATGGAATGACCCACCCAAAAAAATGGACTGACCCCCGAAAGAAAAAAGTGAAATTACCCCGAAACAATTGGAATGACCCCCGCAGAAGAAAATGGAATGCCCCCCCAAAAAATGGAATGACCTCCCAAAAATGGATTGGACCCGGAAAAAATGGAATGACCCACGAAACAAAAAATGGAATGACCCCCGAAAAAGAAAATGGAACGACCCCCGAAAAAAAAATGACCCCCGAAAAATGGAATGACCCCCGAAACAAAAAGTAAAATAACCCCGAAAAAATGGAATGGCCCACGAAACAAAAAATGGAATGACCCCGAACAACATGGACTGACCCATGACCCCCCAAACAATGGAATGAGCCCCGAAAAAGAAAATGGAATGACCCAAAAAAATCGAATGACCCCGAAACAAAAAATGGATTGACCCCGAAAAAATGGAATGACCCCCCCAAACAAAATGGAATGACCCCCGAAAAGAACATGGAATGACCCCCCCCAACAAATGAAATGACCCCCGAAACAAAAAATGGAATGACCCACAAAACAAAAATGGAATGACCCCGAAAAAAATGGAATGACCCCCGAAAAAGAACATATATTGATCCCCGAAAAAGAAAAAGGAATCACCCCCCCCGAAAAATGGAATGATCCCGGAATGGAATGACCCCCGCAAAAGAAAATGGAATGACCCCGAAAAAATGGAATGACCCCCCCAAACAAAATGGAATGACCCCGAAAGAATTGGAATGACCCCCGAAAAGAACATGGAATGACCCCCCAAAAAAATGAAATGACCCCCGAAACAAAAAATGGAATGACCCCGAAAAAAATGGAATGACCCCGAAACAAAAAATGGAATGCCCCCGAAAAAATGGAATGACCAGCGAAACAGAAAATGGAACGACCCTGAAAAAATGGAATGACCCCGGAACAATTGGAATGACCTCCGCAAAAGAAAATGGAATGACCCCGAAAAAATGGAATGACCCCCCCAAACAAAATGGAATGACCCCGAAAGAATTGGAATGACCCCCGAAAAGAACATGGAATGACCCCCCAAAAAAATGAAATGACCCCCGAAACAAAAAATGGAATGACCCCGAAAAAAATGGAATGACCCCGAAACAAAAAATGGAATGCCCCCGAAAAAATGGAATGACCAGCGAAACAGAAAATGGAATGACCCTGAAAAAATGGAATGACCCCGGAACAATTGGAATGACCTCCGCAAAAGAAAATGGAATGACCCCCCTCCCAAAAAAAATGGAATGACCCCCTAATCAATAAACGGAAGGACCACGAAACAATTGGAATGACCCCCGGAAAAGAAAATGGAATGACCCCCCCACAAAATGGAATGACCCCCGAAACAAAAAATGGAATGACCCCGAAAAAATGGAATGAAAAAAACAAGAAGAAAACAAAACGAGGTAAAATATCAACACACGCGGAATTGGCATCTCCCCGGAACCGAACTCCGAGGGATCTTCGCGGAGCCCTCCTGAATGCCGCGTGCCCAAACCCAAAACTTGGAGCACAGAAAATCAGTTGCGGGGTGGGTCCCACCCCGTTTCCCCTCTACCAACGCCGGGAAAACAATCCCCAAACCCAGAACCCAAACCATGGGTGCAACACCAATTAAAAGAATGGCCTTGGGACCCAAGTTGGGTGTGAACCCACATCTCAAACCACCGACCCTTGGGTTCCCAAGAACACCATTAAAAGAAGGGCCTTGGGACCCAATTTGGGTGATGACAATCCTGAACGGTAAATCATGGTGATGATATGAACCCAACCATTGTTTTCATGGTGGCCAAAAATGCTTGAACCATCGAAAGGGGAAGCACCTGCAACCCTTCACACTGTGCTTCTGGCAACTCCCGCAGCGCCGGTGGCTCCTGTTCGAAGCTGCGGGTGCTTAAATGGGTGGGTGTCAAAATATGGGGGCCCCAAAAAACCATAGAAAACGGTTTGGATGTGGCTGTTGTGGAACCCACCCTGTAGCATGTTAAAAGAGTACTAAAACAGAACCTACAGGGGCAAGAACAGGTGAAATCCACAGAAAAGCGCATCCAAACCATGTTCTAGTATAATGGGTTGCATTGTTTTAATCGTTGTTTTTAGAGCGCAAATGGTACCCTCAAACATGTATTTTCCTGTTGGTTTCCTCTGAACCAACCTTCAACAGGGCACCCTCGCAGAGAAAAACAAGAAAACAAGTTGGTGTCCCTGTTGGTTTCCCTTTCAAGGTGAAAAGGGCACCCTCAAAACAAACAAACACACACACACAAATAATCGGCTTACGGTCGCAGCCTTCGGAAAATTGTCAATCCAGCTGCATGACACGAAGGACCCCTTTCTGTTTTGGGGCTGCTGCCACAAGCACCATGCGCCCCATTTCGGGAACTCGCGAAGGTTGAGTCTCTTTAAAAGCCATGTCCCTTTAACCCAAGAATCGCATTGCGCGAATCGCAACGCTGCTTGAACTTCACTTCGAGAGGAAGGCTTGCATGGCTGTGAAAAATGAATCAGTTTCTTGTTTGACTCCATTTCTGAGTGGTTTGACATCCAACCAGGACTTCATCACTTTGAAGTGGAATCCCCCGCCTTGTTCCAAGGGCCACTCACACGAAGTGACAACCGCAAATCACATGTTCGGCAACCCATGCTTAAAGATGATGCGTGCCGCAGTTCCCGAGAAAAGGATCCATTTTCTGCACTGTTTTGAACGAACATGGCCCGGGCAAATGTGCTCCAAATAGAATCGCTTTTCCCGGGAGGACACGACAAATTGGGCGGGCCCTATGACTTTTGTGGGAATTTGGGTTGGGCCCCATATGTCCTCGCCAAACCAACGGCAGACTACCAAAACTCTAGGGGGTTGATTCCTCATTCTTTTCAACCATCGTTCTTTTCAGAAACCAGCTGTTTCCCCAGGGTTTTGGGTGGTTTTGTAGAAAAACGGAAGCCTGGAAAGAATAGGGAAGGTAATTAGCCCTAGAAAAACTTGGTCAGGCCTAGGACAACCAACCTCCCTCTGTATAGCATTGCCCGGCCCCGCCCACCGCCCATGCACCTGCGGCGGTGGCATAGGAACGGACACGCAGGACAAAGAGCCGGTAGACATAGACCTCAAACCGGCGGCTTTTCGAACCCCCATGAATTTCAATACGGGACATGCTCCAAAAATGGTACATCAACGCCCAGGCACAGGTCCACCAAAGGGACGCCATTCAATACACAAAAGGGGGGGGTAACAGGTGAAAGCCCCCTTTTCAAGTCCCCTTTGATTGCTCCTGATTCTTTATGCATCGGAATCAAGAAATGCCATTGCCTCAGTAACCAAAAGCAACTCTTTCCTCCGAGGGTGTCTTGCCTTTACTCCCAAACAAACATGAGCACAACCTTCCAGAAGTGGGGCTGAGGCTAATCCACAAACATCGGGCCAATGGCAAAGAAAGCCGTACCGTACATGGGCTTAGTGCATTCTTGATTCCAATCCGTAAAGAATCAGGAGCAATCAAAGGGGGCTTGGAAAGGGGGCTTTCACCTATTATCACCCCCCTTTTGTGTATTGAATTGTCGTCCCTTTGGTGGATTTGTGCCTGGGCGCTGATGTACCATTTTTAGAGCATTTCCGAGCGCTTCTCTTTGCTCGCTTCGGAAAACCGGCACCAACTGCGCTCGGCTTTCAGCAGTTTCAGTGGAGTGAGGCCTGGCTCTTCTCTTTGCTTCAGTTCAGTGTAGAAATGCAAGAATTTGGACCCCAAATTCATCAACCCCAGCTTATTAATAGGGGAGTGTCTCTGGGCCTTTTTCCCAACACTTCAAGAACCAATCCCAAACAAAGGTTGCTTAAGACTTCTTTGGGTTGGCTGGCTTCCCTTTCTTTCCAACCCTATGGGCTTGCAAAAGAAGACCTGTTTCTTAGCAGCCCCCCTACTAAAAATAGACAGACCCAAAGAAACCAAAAAGCCCAAAAAGCCATCGCAACGACAAATTGCGCAGCTTTGGCTTCCAATTGTACACCAACCCCCCACGAAACGAGAACCGTTGAACCACCAAAAAGCGCCATGGGCCAAGCTGGGCTCGTGGCATAGCACGAGGGCCTCGCAGATGTTCCAAGACCTCCTGGCCCAGCCGTGGCTTCAGGGCTCGGTGTTCTTGCGATCCGTGCGATAGGGAATCCACAGAGGGGGGTTGGGGGTTGGGGGTTGGGGGTTGGGGGAAAAAACTGTAAAGTAGGGGGCCTGGGGGGTGGTCTGTTGATGGTTGCCTTTTCTGTTTTTTATGTCCATCTCAAACCTGTTAACCACCTTATTCGTTCTTAATATAGGGTTTTTGGGGAGCTTATTATATATAGTTTCGTTAAGGTGGTCAATTGGGTAAATGCCCTCCAATTTCATTCTTGGGCTGGGGACTGACGTTTTGTTCATTTGAAAGAGTTAACCCTTTTAGTAGTTGTTATGTCTGGGGTGTTGGGCGGTGCATTTGTTTTGACATTGTTTTTGTCATTAAACATGTGTTATGGGTTAAAATTATAGTATAATGAAAGGGTATACGATTTACATTGTTTAATCATATGTTAATTAAACAATATGAATAAACAATCATTTTATATATATATAATATTATATATATATATATAACAGTGTCGCCACTCTCCTATTCCATCCCATCCACTACTGATGGGGTCATTGAAATTGTAGTGTATCAGAATTCTATCATCGTCGTTGGTTTCGGTTTCCTTGTAGAAGTGGTTTAACACGGTTAGAAGTGCATAATAATTGGCATTGTTTGCATGTCTACTCTCTTGTTTATGGTTTGACCATTTCTTTTAATAGGTCTTGTGTCAAATGGGTCGTATATTTCTTTCATCCACTCATGATTTTGTTGACCATATTCGGAGTTTATCATGATACCCATTCCGGTTGGTTCGTTCATGATTATCTCGTGCACTTGTTCAAATGAAGAGTAGGGATTGTCCTTGATGAACTTTAAAAACTTCTTCCTGTCTCTTTCTAATTATTTTTTCTGACACTCCTAATATTGGCATATTTATATTATCATATTAAGTTGGGTTTTCTTTACGTATTTTTCATAATTGTACTAAAGGTTTATTACTTTTGTTATGTGTTCTCTTATTCCGTCTTCATCGCAGTATTCTTTATATTCACTGATTAATGCTTTGGTGTATTTATTTCTATAATTTGTTTTACCTTAACGCGTTGCGTTGCTTCATGTCAGCATACCAATGAAAACGTACTGAAATGTGGTGGGTGTGGTTCCAGTATCTCTTTACAAAAGACTTCACCGCTGAAACAAACATTCTATTCTTCTTAAACTCTTGTTTAAATTATTCATTGTCTAACACTTGGTCAAGTTCTCTCTTGAAAACACGAAGATTTGTTTTATTTGTTTTTGATAAGAGACATAGGCGGGTTCATACACTCTTTGAAGAAAAGTATTTGTTGCTCTGGTGTTGTTAGTATTTTTTTTGCTACGATGTTCTTCTTAAAAAAAGACTCCGTTTCCTTCTGGTGTAGGTCTGAACACTTTGAAAAGTAGAGGTTGTAATCACATATCATATCACAAATACCAGCAGGAAACAGATTGTTTAACAAAACCTTAACATTTGTCATTTATTTCTTGCAACATCTACATTTTTTAAAGTAGTGTTTAGCTGGGGGGTTGCTGGTTACCATAACAGGGTTTCAGGATTGAATTAATCGTCTTAACCTTCAAGTTAGTTTATAAACAGTTGTTTAATCATATTATAATTAAATAATTTAAATAAACAGTTCTATTGTTTATCCAAATTGAATTTCAACAATAATCTGATTAGAATAACTTCCCAACCCTTTTCTACAACAATAATGTTCATATATCATTTTATTAATTGGTCTTTGCAAATTTCAATTACATCGCTTAATATATCTCTCATATAACATTTGTTCTTTCTATATTCCCACCACATATTTAAATTCGGAATATCTCCAATAGTCTTACCTGCTTGTAAAAGGTTAATTTCTCTAGATTGAATTCGAACTGTGTTAACTTCATCAATATTATTTTTGCAGTATGATTTAATCGCTTGATAATACATTTCATATGTTTAAATCGCTCTTTTACTTCCTCGTTATCAAATAATATATCAATTTGTTTTTTTGTCTTTGCCCTTACGACAGTAATTAGAACAAATGTTTGTCCATACTATTAATATTAAAACATGTAAACGCAAAACTTATAGTTCTATCTTATTTAATCCTTCTGCAGGTAACTCATTATTATTCATAGACATGTTTTATTGTTCTTTCAAAAAGCAACATTTGTTACACTTTAAATTATGAATCACCAATAAGATTACAAACATTAACATGTAATTTATTTGCTGATGCTACAGCCGATTTACATTTCATATTTTTACAAGGACACTTGCTATAATTAAACAGTGTCAGTTTCCTCTTAATATATTATATTTTGTATTTTTACAGTAGTTGTTGAGGGGGTTATGTTGGTAAGTTATTTTCTCATAAATAATATAATGGCAAGACGATTAACAACACACGAGATTATCAGTAATGTTTATTACAATCTGGATACTGGGTATGGTAGTATTCAAGCAACTCACAAGAAGGCATAAGAAGAAGATCCAACATTAACATTAGAAGATGTAAAAACCTTCTTGAAGAAACAGCCAAATAAACAAATCAAGAAATATAGAGGTTCAAATTCCTTCACCGCACCGTTCGCCCGTTACGAATACAAAATAGACATAATGCACATGACACCGCTGGCAAAAGACAAGAACGTTCCACAGTATGCTTTAGTCGTGATTGATATCTTCAGCAAATTAGCGGATGTAATACCGATGGAGGAAAGAGACGGAGAGCACGTTTTGAAGGCGTTGAGAGCAAGTTTTAAACAGATGGGTTATCCGATGTCCGTGTATTCTGATGATGGAGCAGTTGCAACTAAAAACCAAGTTCAGGATTTCTTCAACAGCGAGGGCATCAACCACATCGTAACGAAGACACACGCAAACGTGGCGGAGTGTTTTATTAGGACGATGAAAAACAAAATCCACGATAGAGTTAGGTTTGGACAACATGAAATGGACCGATGCCCAACACCAGCATTGAAACAGTATAACAGCACATTGCACTCATCAACAAGGATGACACCAACCGAAGCACACAAGGACGACAACGAAATAAATGCACAGGTCAATCTGAAACTATAAGAAAAGAACAAAAGACAGTATCCCAGAATAGAGGAGAACGATAAGGTAAAAGTGCTTCAAAAGAAAAGGGGCAATTACACCGACAGAAAAAAAGTATGTCAGCCGTTGGAGTAATAACTTATTTAAAGTTGATAAAATTGAATATGATATTATGGGTAATAAAACTTACAAAGTAGCTGGAATAGACAAACCGCTTTTGAGACATTTTGTTAGTTGATGATTAAACATATTTCTTGGCATCTTCAATATACTTGACTTGATAGTAATCCAAACTTCATTGTATAGGTTATTTAATGACTTGTTCATTAAGTTGTTTAACATACATGTTTTGTTTATTTGTGTATTCGCTACTGTCTCTATCTACTTCTATCACTTGATAATTGTTATTGCTATTATATCTAGGTTTAGTATTCATGCTCTTTCAGATTTCATTATGTTTTCATGTTGTACCAACAGTTGTTTTTTGTTTATTTTTAGTTGTTTGTCTAATCTTGGAAACAACAACTCCAAACTACTGTCAGTGTTATGTAAATGTTCCTCCATATATACCACCTTATATAACTTTCAAAACTGAATGTTTCAATTATGTTAAATCCACTCTTTTCATTTTTTTCTTATAAAAGTTGTTTCATTGTATCGTCTTTATTCCATCTATATTCTACAATCTTCTGATGATGATTTGAATTTAGATGTTTAAATAAATGTTTGTCATCATAAGTTTTACCACAACTACAATGGACAAAAATCATATAAATAATAAGATGACATAATATATATAAATAATTTTATACGTATTCATAATATTAATTTGTTCTGCCTGAAGTTCCAATAATAAAACCAATACACATAACTGAATACACGTCCAAGCAATCAAAATATGAGCATGTACCAAAACTACCCTTTCGTTAAATCGTTGTTGCTTCATCAACAAGTGGCAAAACAGCTTTAATCCAAAACCTTTTCCTAAATGTTTATAGGGATTGCTTCGCCCGTATATTCATCTTTAGTCCGTCTGTTCATAACGACCCGACCTTCGTTGAAGTCAAGAATTACCAAAAAGACCGAATGAAGGTTGATGATGAAAAAGAAAAGTTATATTATGACACCAACCAACCTGAAGAACTGGAAGGAATCATCGAATCAACGGGATTCACCCTGGGATGTTTCTCATGGTTTGAGATTGGTTGAATTCATTCCGGCCCACGTGTCCCCACAAATGCTTTTTCCAATGTCCAAAGCCCCAGGTATTGTCCAAAAAGCGGAGCTCTGGAATTCTCAGGAACCTGCGCCGCGGAAGGCAAGTCAACATGACAGACCCTTGCTAAATGGATGCGCACTAGTTGCTGCTCATCCGGGGTCCCATTCTCTGGATCGTCTTGAACCATTGTTCTTTTCTGCAACCAACCATTCTATTAGGGCTTGAGACCATTTCTGAAGACAATAATCCCTGAACAAAGTGGGGAGGGTGCGGCTAGGCATCACTGGATGTCCACTTCGAATCTTGGCCAGTTTATTTGTGGGTTCCAAATAACTTTTGGAGCTTTAACAACAAGGCAATTAAGGAAGCCTTGTGTTTCCCCTATTTTAAGGAAGTGTTTGGGTTTCGTTGGCAAGCAGTTGATGAATGAGTTAGTTTGTGAATTTGTTGTTGGAGTTGGTTTAGGTGGGCTATGGGTTTAGTTTCGGTGGGTCGGGTTTGGCTTCGGGTCAATCTGGGTTGGTTTTTGGCAAGTTTGAGGCTGGTTGAAGTGGGTCAGAAGTTGGCTTTATTTGTTTGAACTGAGGATTTAGCTTTAGGGTTTAGAGTTCATTTCATTGATGACCTGAGGAGGGTTTAGCATTGGCTTTGGGATAGTTTCGACGGGAGGAAGGCTGAATTGTGTTCTGGCTAGGCAGAGGGTGTTTTCGTTTAGGGAAGGCTTTCGCTTGGCTTCCTGGTTGGCTTCCTGAGAAGGTTTCAGCTCAGGATTCAGAGTGGGTTCCTGGCTGTTTGGTGTCAAATGCGGGTTGGTGTGTGGGATGGACCCTGTGAAAACTGGGATAAATCCACAGGAGAGGCTTATTGGTGTGTCTTTGTTTGAGGGTACCCATGTTTGGGCCGTTTTAGAGGACAACCCAAAAGGACAACCTTTTTTGGGGGGGAGGGGGGGCGGGGGGTACCGCAAAGAAAGACACACCCCTATGACCGAAATTGCCAGCTGGGGTGGTTTCATTCGACCGAATTTGACATGGCCTTTCCTGGACAGGGTGTTCCCCCCCCAAAAAAAACAAAAAACAAAGCTGACCAGCATCCGGGTAAGTGCCAGGAGGGCATTTTGGACATGGGAAGGGGTGCTTACCACTTCTCCAGCTAAAGACGTTAAAGGAGGTTTGCTCAGAAATCATCTTGAGGCCGAATGCGTACTCCTAATTGGTCCAACAAGGGCAGTCAAAACATCTAAAACCCAGCCCTTCCACACAGCTCCCTCCCTCTCCCTCCCTCCCTCCCTCCCTCCCTCCCTCCCTCCCTGCCTCCCTCCCCGAAAGGTTTCCCAAAAGTTTCCAACGGCTCTAAACAGCCAAACCATGTAGATAACAAGGGCAGTCAAAACAAAGGTATAGCCCAAAAAAAACCGTTTCCCTCCCCGAACCCGCGCCTCCAGCAGCCCTTCCATCCGATCCATGCGTCGCGCCAGGTCCCCCGCGTTGAGGCCGTCCAAGGCCACCAGATCTCGAAGCGCGCGGCCGAAAGTGAAGGACGCAAAGGCCGGTGGTTTTTGTTCGGTTCCCTTCAAAGCAGCCCTCAAAAACGGCATCCTAAAAACCCCAGGCTGCAGAATCCGAAACGTCCAACGTCAGCCCATGAGTCCAGTTGCCATGTCATCCGTACCTACAACCCTGAAAACTCCTGATATCCTGATAATCCATTCTCAAAATCCTGAAAACTGGTTGCCTCGAATCAATTATTCTGCGCCTCAGAGTTGACTGGCACATGATTCCAGTTAGGCCCAGTTACAGAATGGATACTTTGTTGTTTGTTCCAATTTGAGTCACTTGTAAAATGCAAAATGTATCCTTAGTCAAACTCGGAGCCCTGCGGGGTTTTTGGGAGAACTCGAAACTCGGCTTCCCTCAAGGGTGGTTTGCAGCCCGAGCAGTGGCTCGGTGTTCCGGGGGTGGCTTCCCATTTACCCCTACAAGAAGCCCTCAAAACCACCAATCCAAAGCACCAGCCAAGGGGAACCTGAGAAACCCATGTCCCCAGCCCTGCGGTTCTCTTGGGAGAACTGAGGAAGGGCAAAACAGCTCCTTTTTGTTGCACCTCGACCACGCCGATCCCGGCAGAACCCTCCGCGCGCTCAAGAAAAAAAGGCCAACACAACACCACAGATCGAGTTGTCCAAATCGATCACTCCGATCCCTGCACAAGGTTGCGCTCAAGAAGCAGTTGCAAAACAATCCATTTTTGCGCATCGACCACGCCAATTCCGCACAAAATTATGCAAAACACTCCAGGTTTTGCACATGGGCCACGCCGATGCACGCAGAAAAGTTCTGCGCGCTCAAGAAGTTGAAAACCACTCAGTTTGAAAGTCAACCACCCCGATTTTGGCAGAAGGTTGCGCGCGCTCAAGGAACAGTGGCAACGCACTCCAGTTTTTGCACATCGATCGTGCCGACCGCAGCAGAAATTTAATGCAAGCTCAAGAAAAAGCTGCAAAACACTCCAGTTCTGGCACATCGACCGCGCCGTTCCTCGCAAAGGGTTAACATTCGACAGCTTTCGTCGCCCTACCCCGCTGCCAACAAGAGAAGATTAAATAGTTGAGAAGGGTAAGTTAAAGCAAGAAAATGCTGAAAAATAACATCTTGAAGGTGACGTTCACATGAGAATAGCGCCCGAGTTGCACACTGCGACAGAGACCCCAAAGCTTGAAAGGGACCTTCTCGTTGTTAATCACACCTCAAAAGTGTTGAATGTGATTTTCGCACTGTGTTTACATGTGTTGAACATGGAGATTAAAACGGAAAAAATAAATAAAAATAAAAATAAAAGGACAACAAAACATGAATGTGATTTGATGATGTCTTTTTTTGAAGACGTGTTTATCATAATAATAAGCTTAAGCTGGTGTAGTCTAAAGCCGTTCTTTTAGAAGAGCCCTTCGCAATGCTTCCGGGAGAAAAAACAGACTTCAATTGTGAACCAGGCTGGCTCATTTTAATTTGACATGGCTTCCCTTTCGCCCACCAGGGACCCGAACAGGGATGTGACTTCAATCGCTCGCTCTGAGGGTCGAGCTCGACATCAGCGCCTCCACGTACTCTTCTGAAAGACCTTGGCAACGACTGACCTACAAAACACTTAGTTTCGCTACCAGAGATCAGATTGCAAGCTGCACACTGGTAAATGGCAGAAAACCCCAGCTTCCAAACTTCACATATATATATATATATTATATATATATATATATATATATTCCAGTCTGCAGGCCGCCTATTCCCCCCCCCCCAAGGGTAGGGTCCCCCCCTCCCTGCATCATCTGCATCATGGGGATGATGCTGGCAATTCTGCGGATGCTGTCGAGTACAGTGCGCCCTGCAGCTCCGGTCCCAGACTCCCACCCCTTTCACCCCGTGAACCCGCACCCCAGCACCCCTTGCCCACAACCCTAAACCAACATCCTACCCTACAAAACCAAACACACATCCTAAACCAACCCTGAAGCAACCCGAAGCCAACCCTTAACCAGCACAACCCCTAAACCAACCCACCCTGCATTACCCTCAACCCCAAACCTATCCCTAAAATCAACCTTAACCAACCCTAAGCTTCACCCACAGTAAACCAACCCTATATAACCCTAAACCAACCCACCAACCCTAAACCAACTCAAACCACACCCCAACCACCTACCCCTTGATCTGATGGGAACCCTTGTTGCAAGTGGCAGTAAAGTCCCTGCAGTTCAGTTACCAGCATGAATAATAGTGGTTGGGCACCATTCATTTCAGTTCAGGATTGTCATCATGCGAATTGGGTCCCAAGACCTTTCTTTTAATGGCGGTTGAAGCGTCCTTGCCATTCCTTTCACAGGGCCAAGGAACCGGGAAGTGTTGTTCAAGGAAACCCTCGTTGATCCAGCCCTTTCAACACTCACTCCCCCCGCCCCAAGAAAAAAAAAAGAAGCTTGCACCAACATCAAGAGGGCGATGCTTAAATTGGCCTCAAGGGATCCGAAGCTGAAGGGACGCGTCGAAATGGTCAACCCGCTCCTTATGCGCTGGGCCTGCCATGCTGACTGTAAGGCATGAAAACCACGAATTCTGTGATACCCTTGAGTGGTTGTTGTTCATCCCTACTGATGGATAAATCCCACTTCGGTGATGGATCAAACCTGGGACAAAGCATGCGGGGTTGGCTCACCGAAAGTGGCGAAGATGTCCATGTCGGTACCGGTGTCCTCTCATTTCTTGGCTGGAATTAGGACCCCAGCGAGAAAACAAAAATTAATATGGCTTGCCTTTTTAGACCAAAGGGAACCCGACAAAAGCCAAAAAACAACAACGAGGGGAGCTCCGTCTCACAACAAGATTCGAGATGCTCAGCTTCCAGGGACCGGACGGGCCGCAGCAACTCTTCATATTCCTCTTGGCCAAGCTTGAAGTCCCCAACCCAGTTTACGAATGTTGGATAGGCTTCTGGCCTTCCATTTTCTCAAGCCTCCTGGATATGATTATGTTATGAATACTTCCAGTAGTGATAGATTCCCTTTTAAACCCAAAAAGGAAAAGTGAAAAAGCTATCATTTGAGCAAATGGAAGTAGCTCCGGGTTCCGTCTCCTGAAGAACCACCAAAAACGCATTGCTCTGAGGAAACGGCCAGCGCTCCTCATGGAAGCGGTGAAGCCAACGCCTGTCCATCGAAAAGCGATGGGTGGCTCGTCTTTTTGTGAGGCTCGGTGTCCCCGTTTTTGTTTGTGGGGTTTTAAAGGAAAGCCGTTAGGAACATCACCTTTTTGCGGCTGCAGAGTGTGTCGCTTTTGGAGGGTACCCTTGGTTTTTGGTGTTTTCAAGGGAAATTGAAAGGAGCTCCGTTGCGCCATGTCCGGGGTCTAAACCAGACACACCCCTACGGGATCCTGGGCCCGCCTGGAATGGACGAAGGCCTACCCGAAACTCCACTCAAAGTTCGTTTCGGGTGGGGAAATTACCAACTGCCCCCAATCAACCCCTACCCCCCCAACACACCCGCTCCCCCACCACCCCCCAACACCCGCCCCCCACAACCAACCATGTCTCTCTTTCGTCTTAAATATGTTTCCTCTCACTTTTTTAACTGTCAACCATCCCAGCCCCCCAACCAACACTTCCCCAACAACACTTCCCCAATGTCTCTTTCTTTCGTGGCTAGATTTGGCAGGGCAAGCCGCTCGCCTGCAAATGCTGGGAAGAATGCCAGTGAAGAAGTGCAACTGGGTGCCATTGCACCAACAATCATGAAAATCGTGGACATCAGGGTTCGGCGGGGATTCATGTCCAACCACTTTTACTGGTCCAACTCTTTAAAATTCATCGCCATGGAAGTGCCTGGGCTCTTGCAAGACTTTCCATGTAAACTTTTAGCCTAGAATGCTACTCGGATTCTGTTGCTCGGCCAATATACCTGGCCGGACCAAAGCTGGGTTCAACTCCCCCAGGTACAGCCGGGACCGCTTGAGTACCGGGAAAATCTCAAAGGCTTCCGTTCGGCTGAACTTTTGGGCCTGTGCACCAATTCCTTGTTCGGTTGAGGTGCACACACCTTGCGAGGGAAGCATTTGGATGTGTCTTTGCAGGATAATAATATTTTTGGGTTTTTGGTTTGAAAGGGAAACCCTTTCAACAACGAAGCGTTAGACGAAGCCATAGTGCTTTCTGGGATGCCCACCACCGAATCTACGCAACTGGAGTCGAGCGGCTTGCTCTTCCGGCCGCTTTTCATCCCACACCCAGAGAAAGTCCCTTACCCTTTTAGAAGCACTGGGCTGTCTCCTCCCAGCCAACTTGGACTCGGGAAAGCGGTTGCATGTCCAAAGGCCGGCTCTACATATCACATACCTTCGCGCCAAGACTTCCAAGAATAGGCGCTACAACATGCCAGTCGATGCGACAGGCTTGCTTATCTTGAAAGACATGGCTTGTTAGATTTTGTGAAGCTTAAAGCGCCCCTGTCCGAAGAAGCTAGCTCGACTAGCAATCGGGTTCAATTAGCTTCCTGCTGTTGCTTGTCGCAGTATGTCCTGTGCAAACAAAAACAACCATCCTTGAATCTAGAGAAAACAAACTGTAAGTACTATTATGTACATACATATATACATACATCTACACGTGTATCTTTGTTACATGTGTTATACTCCCCTCACACCCCCAAAAACAAAACACAAAAGAAACAAACGAACACACATCAAACACAAAACGGGGGCTTTGGAGGGGTGTTTCCGTATGCTTCTTTTTGCGTAAACGAAAGGGGGCACCTTGAAACATCGCCATCCCCTGCAATCCAGTCTCATGCCTCCGCGAGGTAGAGCAAAGGAGGTATCGTCCATTCCAGTGCTGGGGGCTCGCCCGGCCTCGGTGGCAAAAACATGCTCACGACAGGGTGTCCCCTTGTGTGCGTTTTTTTGGCGTTATTCGTCAACATTAATGACATGGTGGTGGGCCCTTATGTTCTTGCGTTGTTTGTCGTTGTGGTTATTTTGTTGTTGCTACTTATTGTTATTTGCCAGAACTAAAAACAGTGTGGATTGGTAGAGGGGCCTCCCTCAGAAACAAATCTGAAGGACCCCTCTTAACTGGGACACCTCCTTTATAAATGAATCAGGGGCTTATTTATCCCGGGTCAAAATGAATGACTCGCACACTCTCCACAGAGATGGGGGACTTGCGAAAGATCTGCCTGCGTCAGGTGGAGCAAACACCAACAATGGATTTGTCTCACTGGAAAAACCCAGAATGGTTGGTTCCGCTTCCAAAAGCAACTCGATGGTTTCCAAAAGGAAAACACACCAAGATCGAGCACCCGGGTCCCAACCACTGTTTTTTCCATGTCCACAATCCCAAGTACTGTCCAACCAGCAGCTGGGGTATGCTGGTTGCTTGGTTTTCTCCGGGTCAAAACCGGGGTCAGCTCCGATCCGAGGGTACTTGGACGCGAAGTCTTCGCGGTTCTGTGCCCTTCGACCCTTCCGGGCCAGAACTGTCCTTCTGCCACCCTCAAATAGTAAAGAGCACTTGGAGGTGCCCTCAGATGCTCCAACGCCACTCTTCATTCCAAGTGCCCTCACATGGTAACTGAAGATTCAAAGAGCCGCGAAAATTGGTGTACCGCAAAGGGATCGAGATTCCTTTATAAAACTATGCCCTGGGTTCCGTGCTACTCTGATGGACCCTCACCTACACCGTTCCAAAATGTCCAGTGTCAATTGGTCCAAATGGATCCGCTGGGGTGCAGAAGAAGCTGCCTGTATCAAAGAGTTCCCATGACCCAACTTTACAGGACACTCCCTCTATCCCCGACACTGGCCCAAAAAAAACCACATGCTGCGCCATGACTCTCTTGGAGCATCGCCACAGAACCCGGACGCCGCCAAACCCGCTCGATCCGGGCCCACTGGGCCCCCTGGCCGCGAAGGCGGCTTGGATGGCAGAGCCGTCCTCGAAGTCCTGGGACAAATCCACACTTCAACACATCAGCCCAACGGACCCAGAAATGAAAGGCGATCACCTTCTCTGGGCGAAGACTCTTCAGATCCCTTCCTAGTGGGAACCAACATGTTGCTTTATGTCCAACTTTGGGTGTTCCCCACCTAGGCCCTCTGGACCCAAAGCGTCCCATAAACTACTTGAAGTTGGACCCCCATAAGGCGGGTCCGTTTAATCAGAACCTTCCCGCGAAAAGGCGCCTGAGGGTATTTGGAAGATCAACTTCTTGTGCTGTCCGTTTTGATCCCAAAGCTCAACTGATCCCAGGTGAAATGGAAACCCAACCACTTGACGTTGGAAGGGGATTTCAACCACAAAACCACAACAAGCAAAAATGCATAAAATGTGTCCCAACAACAACCATGACCACCAAACCAACCAAAACTCCTAAAACAGCTAGGGAACCGGACGGCCAGGAACCGGCCCCTCAAGTAGGCGCAACATGTTTCAACAGGTGGGTTCGTCAGATTCTCCCCCCCCAAAAAAACAAAAAACATATATATATATATATATATAACTAAAAAACTCCCCCCCCCCCCGCCCCAAATGGCTTCCATTGTCCGTTGCGTTTCCATAGCCAACCTATCCCGAAAACCCCGCCCAGGCCAACTTTGTCCTGCGCCATCCTCTCGAGCTTCTCCTCGAGGCCCTGCCAAAAAATGGCGCTGAAACCAACACCCGCAACACCTTCACCTTGCCCCCATGAACAAGAAAGGCTCAAGGGGACCCAAACACCCATCACCTTCCGCCGTTCCAAACTCCGAGAAAGAAAAACTTCAGCCTAGGGTTCCCAAGTTGCCCCCATGACAAAAGAATGGTCTTGGGACCCAATTTGGAGGATGACCATCCTGAACAGCAAATTATGGTGGCGCTAGGGTTCCTTGCCCCCATCAAAAGCATGGTTGACCCAACTTGGATGACAATCCTGAACGGAAAACAATGGTGATGTGAACCCTCATTGTTTTAATGCTGGATTGAACCCCAGGGTTCAGCCGTTCCGAGATCCGAAAAGGACCACACGGGCCTTCGCCAACCATTGTCCTTTTTGGATGAAACAAAAACATCTGAACGCGTTTTGGGAAGGGTTAAACACCCCCCGGTTTGGCAAAAGGCGACTCAAATTCTTCACCCGTGACGTGTCCGAGTCCTTTGGCGAGTCCAAGTGGGCCCATGAAACGAATTTACAAATCCTTTGGCTGGAATCCGCTTTGCACCCGGGTCCCAACTGCTGCTTGGCGGACAGTGCCAAGGGGATCTTGGACACGGCCAAAAGGCAAGTTGGGACCTGGGTGCTTGTGGCTCCCTTGATAACATAAACTAGTTCCTCTAGTGGAGAGGTTAGAATAAGGGTACCCTTTCTGTAGTCTATTTTGCTAGGGGAACCCTCCCAACCAAAAACAAAAAGGCGATAAAAAGGGCACCTAGCTGGGGACCTTGTGGCTCCCTTGATAACATAAAGCGAAGCTTGATGCACCGGAGGCCCTGAACTCCAGCGCCGGACAAGGAGGTTGCTCTCAAAGGACCCAAAAAAGGATTCGGGGCGCGTTTTTCCACGCCTGCAGCTGATTTGGGAAGATCCCCTTGCAAAGCAGTTTTTTTTTGGGACAATCCTTTGTGGGACGCCCAAGCGGGTCGGCCAACACACAAACAAATACCGCTATAGAATGATCCTGTACCGCATACTGAGTGGATCCAGGCAAGAGGCAGGCAAGGGGAACCGCCCCTTTAAAAACAAAATGGAACATGGCTGTTCCCGGGTGACCTACAGCGTAGCTGGGATCCATTGGGCCCAACTAGGTTGGGGCTTGTGGTTGAAATATTAAAGGTATGGTTCTAGGGTTTGATTCCTTTTCCATTCGTTTTTCACAAACCGGCCGTCTTCCCTGGGTTGAGTGAGGTTTTTTGGAAAGAAGGATCCTTGGAAAGAAGGGGGTAGGTACCCCTAGAAGGGTGACTGAGAACATGGGACATTGCTTCCCATGCCCCGCACGCCTTCACCTTGCTCGAGAGGTCCTGCGGAAGAGGACTTTTTCACAAAGTCCATGGGGTCTCGTGGGTTTTTGCACAAAAAGTCTAGCCTGGGGGGAGGGGGGGAAAAATGCCCCACACTTCGTGCACAAGCGCTTTGATGGAAGAGTGAACTCTCCCATTTGCAGGCGCTCCTGCAACAAAGACTCAAAGATCACTTGGCAGCGGCTTGAAAAGGGGTTTGCTGCCCCTTTGATTAGTTGGGTTACCCACATTTTTGGGGTAAGTCAGCAAGGCCCAACAGCGATCTTCCAGGACCTGTTTTGCATTCTGACTTGCCACCTGGAAACCAAACCCTTGTGGATAAACCTTAAGAGCTCGATGCGCTATGCGGAGTAGTCCGTCTACCCAAAGCTGTTTTTGTACGTGTTGGTTAAAAATAACAGATTTGGAGAAGCGCCCAGATTCGTAACCCACTTGGAATTTGCGGATCTTTGCCAATCTCAGTCCGAGAAAACTGAACTCTGAAGGCCACAGGTGCCAATCTCACTTCTCAAGCGGAAAGCAAGGTTCCCAAAAGGTTAGCTTGGTACCCTCTGGCGGATCTGAGGAATCTCGAATTGACAACTCCCCTGGAACAAAACCCAAAACCGATATCAGTCATAGTCAAAACCTGGTAGTAAAATGGTCGTAATCCCAGAACCATGTGAAGAATTAGGAAGGCGGCCGCAGCTGTTTATGGTTGGGGTTGTCCCTTACCAACCTTCATCTACCCGAATCGGTTTGGCTCATATGGGGTACAATTGGGTCCTCTGGCAAGGTCGTGCCCCTTCTGGGCCCCTCCCCCGACAAAGAACTCGTGTCTATTGGAGACCGGCGCCCTCAGAGACGACTTCAGTGGCATCGATGGCGCAGTGGCCGATGCTCGGGTGGCTCTGTCTTAGGGGAGCAGTGCTTGAGGGGAAGCCAAATGGAAACCTATGGACACCTGCTTCTCCCAGGCTGTTAAGGAGACAAAAGGAAACCAACCACCAGGGGTCATCCATGTTTTCTGATTTTTTTTGGGGGTGTCCCCCCCCTTTTGCTAGACACCCGGTGCGACTCTGGACCCACGGGGCCTCTTCACTGCTCCGCACTTCTGGTAGCGACCTCCGGTGAAGGCAGCTGCAGCTGTCGAACCCCGCACTTTAGGGAAGCCTCCGGTGCTTTTTGGACTGAGGCGAACTAAGGCAAACTGTTCAGACGTGGCTTTCTTCTTTTTTTTTGGGGGGGGAAGCGTTGCAGTCAGTTTGGCCAAGGAGTAAGCAGGGGGTATTTGGACATAGCTGCTGCTGCCCAAAAGAATGTTTGGTAGTTGCTACCTGCGTTGAGGTTATTGTAAGGTCTGTGCAAACCAGAATCACGTATGTCGCGAAATGAAAGGGTCAATGGAAGCGACCGTGGACGTGCGCACTCTGGAGACCAGTCTTGTCGAAAATCATACCCTTGCTCGGCACCACGGCCAGACTGCCCACAAAGGGCGAAATTGCATCAAACTAAACAAGGAAACCTAGAGCAGTGGCAACATCAACAGGGTGAATCGACTCCTTACTTGCCCCCCGACTGAGGCCCTGGAACTACGAGTAAAAGGTTCACTTGCCACTAAAAATGGGTGCCAAGGGGATTCGCGCAAAGGTCTCCGGTGCACGCGCAAAGGGCAATCGGAGAGACAGCAACACCCGGACGACCAACATCCAACCCAAGCCGCTTCTTTCTGCAAACCGCGTGTCGCGTCGGCCGGTCTTTGTCTGGCTTCGTGCCAGGAAAAGCAACTGACGAGAGAGAGGGGCCATCCGATTCGCATGGAGTGGGTTGACATGGTGGGTGTTTGGAGGACCGGTGTTAAACGTGGCACAGCATGATTCAGAATGACATACCCTCCCACCAGTTAGCATGGAACCTGACGGGGCCGTCCTCGACAATTTTCCTTTTAAAGGGAACCCAAGGTAAAACAATTTGGGGTTCATGCTAGCTGCAAGACGTCTAAGTTTCAGCGGATCCTCGCTCATGATGGCTCCAACTCTCGCATGATTGCTGTGCCCGCTGCGCACGTGCCAAAAAAGCAGCAGACAATGTTCGCGTTCAGCCGGGGCAAAACAGGCAGGTCTGCAAGCAACACCAGAAAGCTCCAGCACTGTGCAATGGGTACTGTTCAATTGTGGCAACGTTCCATGAAGCGGCTCTTCCACCTTTAGTGACACCGTACTTTCCCGCCATTGTAAATGAGCACTCATCACATTGTCAATCAAGTCACTCGAAACATGCGCTGTCCAAAGGCTACAAACAAAGGCAAAGGGGCCCAACTGCGCTGCTGAAATCTACCCCAGACAGACAATTGGATAGCAACATGCCCTTCAACATGCGCAAGGGGTCCAAGATTCCCAATCGAAGATGAACAGAACCACCTCCTCCTCAAGAAAGCATGTTTACCCAATGGTCATCGTCAATTGGAAGGGGAGCTGACCGTGGCACCAAGTTTTCGTTGGGCCCTAGCCTTCATCTAATTGCTCCATTGGTGTTGACTGTGGTTTTGATGGGGTTGTCCCTCCCCCCAAAAATCAAACAAACCTGTGGTTCATTTGGTGTATTTGTGTAAACAAAAACAAACAACGAAAGACATCGAGATGTAACTCAAAAAGGGAATCCCACGTTCTACTGGTTGATCCACCCTCCTTTCCCCCATCTTTCTCACAGGAGACCACCAAGGTTCCCGCGATTTTAGCTGTTGGCAACTTTCCAAACAATAAACCAAGCGCAGACCAAAAAACATACTTTGCAGATGTCTGATGTTGGCGACTCTCCGGAAATAAAACCAAAACATACTTTCGAGGGGGCACCACAACTCTTGATTAGTGGCACTGTGGAAAGGTTCGAACTTTGTCTCGCCTGCAATGCGACATGCTGACTCGCGGTCACTTCTCAGGCGCGTTGCGTCTCCGCGCTGCGACCATGCTTGGTGGCTTCGCATCTATCGTCTATACAAGAACCAGGGGTGCGAGCCGCCAAACCATCAATCCAAACCACCAAAAGGTTACCTCATAAGGATTCTAAAGGGAAGCCTCGCCATGACACTCAGAACGAGCTTGATTTGCAAATAGGAGGGTGTTGTTCTCCGCGGATGACTCAATTCGAGTATGAAGTTAGCTGCAACCCGTCTCAAAATAGGAGGCCCCTCCATTTTCGGTGATCCTTGTGGTCGAAAAAAAGGACAAGCCAAACAAGCTGCGCCCTGTCGCATTTCGTGCCAACTTCCAGGTTGGGCAGGCAATTCGAGCGGGGCCGTCCCAACCGTCTCAGAAACGATTCTAATTGCCATGGTTTCACGTGCTTAAGCATAGACCGACACGTAGCCCCCGAAGAAACCAAGTAATCAATTGAAACAATCCCAAGATTAGCATGGGCCGCACATCGGCGTCCGAAAATTGGCATCCGAACATGTTCGCCAAGACACCGGGCAATAAAAACCATTCCTACCCAATGACCTCTCGGAGTTTGTTTTGGCACTCGCGCTTGAGGCTCTCCAAAGCTCTCCTCACACCCGTCACTCTGTGCCTTGGAATTGCAACGCGGCGTCCGCTTTTTCGCAGGGCGGAGGCTTGTCACTTTTGGGTAGACCCTTTTTCCAGGCTTTTAAGGGCACCCCCATGTCTCCGGGTTTAGGCATGGGTCTGAGGGTTGGAAACTTCCACATTATCAGATGTGAACCAATACTCCGGGGGCTGGAAGGACCTCCCCTGACTTATGGCCATAGTGCCCCCAAAGCCCACCAAGATTCCCCGGATTCTCAAAGGGGAGGGGTAGGGGTGGCCTGCAATTCATTTGTCTAGCTTATTCAACAAAAGGAAACATATAACGATCAATAGGATTACAGGGGTCAATATGCTCCACCCCCACTTTTTTTTTTTTAAAGTTTTTGCAATGTGGGGATGTCAATACGCATTTTTTTGGGGCATCTTAAATTCTAAACCACCGCCATCTTTTGGGTGTTTTCAATTCCATGGCGATTGTTGCCAGGGAACACCTCACGGGCCACTGCTTGCCAGGCATACCTAAAATACCAACCAATTGCAACAAGAAGGCTCGCTTTGATGTTGCGAAGCAGTGCTGAACCACTTGATCCCAAGGAATGTGGCTTCGTGGTCGTTGGATCTCAACTCCCACCTCAAAACGATCCAGCCTAAAGTCTGCAACTTGATGTGTCCTGCTTCAACTTTGCTCTAGTGGTAACTGTCCTACTTGCTCTTGCAATACATCAGGGATCCTCCTTGCCTGAATACAAGAAAAAAACAACAGGCTGAGTTCGAACTAGACAGGGAAGCAGCCCCCGTGAAGAAAACACACGCACAAACACACAACCCGGCCCTATTTATTTGATCTCGGCGAATTTTTTATATGTCGCAAATCGGAAACAAGGAATCTCCCAGTGAAGGACCTTCACGGGTGGAGGTCATCTGATGCAAATGTGGAGTGCCATCTTTTCCAACCAAAAAACCCACCTGGAACCCACTCCTCACCTGGGTTTGGCTTTTAAACCGGGGGCTTTGTGAAGCCCTCATGGATTTCCTGGCTGAACTTCTCAGCAAACCGGTTGGCGGCCAGGTTCTCCTGCAAACAGGTTGCAGAGTCAAATACGCCCATCGTCCTAAGCTGCTACGAACCCCAAAGCTTCTCACAGGGACCTCAAACCTTTCAGCTCTGGGCACACCTCGAACCCTTTTCAGGGGTTCACACCAAAAACAATCCCAGGAGCCCCAAAGGGGTGGGGGGGTAATACCAAAAGGAACCCCAGGAACTTCGGGAGTCCCTTCGTCCCAAACCCTATATCAACCCTAAACCCTGAACCCTAAGCCCAGGCACCCCCTCAGCGGTTCCTGAGACCTCTGCCCTCAGATCCCCCGCTAAAAGCTTAACTTTTAGTGGGTCAAATGGAAACCCCCACTAAAAACACTGAAAGTCTAAAAAGCTAAGGGGACGGCTGGGAACCATCAAGGTTTGTGCGACCGGGCGTTTCGGCCAGGCGCCGGGCGCTTGCCCCTGGTCTTCCCGTTGGGCGGCGATGCAGAGGAAGCCGCGGCCTCGTTGCCCGTCCTCGGACCGATCTTCCGATCGGCAGATCTCGCGAGGCGGACATCAAGTGAAGTCGACATGAAAATCCGGTGTCTTAACACAAACCTGGGTGTGTCTCCAAAACTGGGCTGTCCTCAGATTCTCTGCCAAAAGTTTAACTTTTAGTGGGTTAAATGGAAACTACCACTAAACCCTAAAAGCCTAAAAAGCTAAGGGGACGGCTGGGGGCCACAAAGAAAATAGAAAAATAGAACATCCGAACTTCAAATGGCACCGGTGTCCTGGCGTTCCTTTAAACGGATGCATACATAATTACCCTCAAAAAGGACAAACCCACCAAAAATTCGCTCCTTCTCGGAGATCCGCACCGATCGATTGGGACTGCCCCTTGTCCGCTCAAGTGGAGAAGCAAAGTAATTGTGGGAAGCCCAACAGGGAAACGGTCCAAATTTGGGGCTTTTGTTGTTGGAGGGCTGTTTTAAGAAGAGAAGCCAGAATGAAACAAGAACAAATCAATTGCTGAATTCTCGCAGTTTTCTTTACCAGGAGTTCATTTTGGGTACCTATTTTCCACCCCACAGCCCTGGGTGATTTTCTACTGGGAGCCCTTTTTGTTGCGCCTGCCACCCATGGCTTGCAGGAAACCACAGGGGATGGTGTTTGTTCGGGGCAATTCCCTCATCCCCTGCTGAAAACCACCAAGTTTGGATATTGAATGCGCTTCAACAATATGGCTACTTAAAGAGGTTGAATATATATATATATATCGGAAAGCCTACAATGTCGATGATCCTGCATAGCAAGACATCTTCGCAGCTTCTGGTGGTCACCAACTCGGTTTCCAGCTGTGTCCGCATGATCCAACGACCGATTGAGTGGATTCGATTGCTTGCCCATGTACCCGTGAACAAAAAAGAACAGGCTGCCATGTGGGAAAACTTAGCTCACAGGATCTGGCAAAAAACGGCAACCCTTTTGCCAGCACCCAGGTCCCAGATGTCCAAAATCCCAAGTGGCCCACAGCAGTTGGGACTCGGGTGCTC